CAACACGTTTGGCCCCCGTTCTCGACAGCGTCGATAGCGTGAGTGAGATAGCAGGGCGCCGTGCAGCGCAGGCTGGCTGAGATGCCAGCAGCAGAGCCTGAGCCCCACACGCATCTTCCTTTGCGCGGCTGCGCGCGACCTGTGTGTTGTGCGATTTGGTTTGAGCTCTTGCCAATTAGGGCGAGCGCTGCGAGGCAACTAGCGGTTCCGGGCGGTAGGTAGGCGCAGTCCCTTTGTGTTGGCCGGATGTCGCGAAAAGAGCCAGCCGCAAAGCCGGAGGAGGACTTCTCGGCCCAGAGGAACGCAGCCTATGACTATGTTGATAGAGTGTTCAAGATCGAGGAGATCTATGGCGAACGCGGGTCTCAAATTGTCCAACGTCTTGCTGCACGAGCATCTACGCCGGCGATGCCTCTGGGGCTGTCTTTGCAGATAGCCCTTTGCAGCTGCGCCAACGGTGCCGTTGTAGAAGTGTTTCCAGGCTCTTCTTCGCCTCTCAGCCTCATTGCTCTCAATTGCAATGTGACCCAGACACGCAAGTCGCAGCTTACCCAAGTGCTTGATGACATTTCGGCCGTCATTGATGAGGCGTGCCAGAGAAGGGCCGCGCAGCATGGTCCAGAGGAGCCAGGGAAACTTACCAGTGTCATGTTGGCTATGTTCACGGAGCAGGCATTCCTCCAACGCTGCAGCCCTCAGTGGCCGCAGGTGCAGTGGTCTGACGGTAGTACTGGCAGGGTGCACATGTCCAACCTCCTCAATCTGGACGAAGCGTATCGCTTCCTGCGGATGGTCGGATTGATTGGGAGCGGCGCCAGCGCTAAGTCCGGCGAGGCTGCGGAGCTGGCGTCCGAACTGAATCGCATTCTCCAGACGGGGCGAAGTTCTTACGCATGCAAGAACGCGGGGTCTTTCGGCACCACGAGGAACAAGGCCCCAGTTGGTGTGCTCGGCTTTGGCAATGTTCATCCCTCCAAGTACGTGCCTTGCTTGACCGGCGCCAGCGGCTCGCACGACGTTGCTTGTCGCGAGCGCCTGCTGCAAACGTGCGGAAGACCAGTTGACCCGCATGCCCCGCTCCCCGCCAGCCTGGACGTCCCAGCTGACTTTGATCCGTGGACACTTAGACTTGGTCCTTCTTTATTTGATTTGGGGGCCGCGGTTTTCATTTCAAATGGGTAACTCCTGGCAAGTTCTGAGGATCTGGGCGCCGTTGTTGGACTGCATGCTCGAGCCCCTCGGGCTGCCTGCTGGCGCGAACCGCCACCAGGTGGCTGCGAAGTTGTTCGCCCCAGCCTGCCGCGACGCTGACGGGCATGGGGATCAGGTGTACAACATGGTCCTTGCCGATGGCACCGAGACTTTGCTTCGGTTCCGCGTGGCGGAGGCATCTTGACCTTAAGAAGGTTTGTCGTTTCTGCACAAGTTTCCTGTAAGCGGCCGGTTCTCCCGTTTTCGTTCAGGTTGACAGCGATGCTCAAAAGCATGCACGCCTGTGTGTTGGTGTCACTTGGCTGGCCCAGGTCAAGGGGGGGCAGAGGTACTACAAGGCCCACTTTCGAACCAGCAACAGAAACATCCCCATGCCAGAAGGTGAAGACGTTCAGTCCCTTGCACGAAGAGTTGTCTCATTCTTCGAGACGGCTAACTCCCGCATCGACATGAGCGCGGAAGCCCGGGCAGTCTTCACAGGTCTGCAGGCGTGCTGCAACACACGCGGCGCCTTGCTCAGAAACGGAGCAGATGACAATGGGAGCGCTGCACGCGCAGGCTGCGCTCCGTGGCACATTGCCATGTTGGCGGCTGCCAACCTGATTTGGGAACTTTCCATTGAGGAGACCACGCAGGTGCAGATCCAGGATCACCACATCTTGAGGGCCTGGGAACAAGTCCAAGTTTCCCACGCGCTTGTCGACATTTGGTGTCAGCAGGAGGCATTTGCGAAGGTGGAGGACTCAGGGGCTTGGACTTTGTCTGCAGCCCAGAAGTTGGCAGCAGCGCAGGAAGCGGGCAGGTTACCAACGTCGCAGTTCGGGGCTTTCGAAGCGGTGGAGGATGATGACGTTCTTGCAGAAGCTGGGGAAGAGTTGCCAGCGCTTCTCACCATAATGGACCCTGACGTCCCTGCCCTGACGTGTGGATACGGGGAGAACGGAGCTTCGGTGCAAGACCCGGCGCTGGGAGAAGTTGTGATGAGCGACAGAGTGCTGCAGGCTGAAACTAGCAAGCCTGTGTGCAAGCATTTGAGTTTTCGTCAAGTTCCCGGAAGCATGGGTTCTTTTCCTAAAGGCGGCTACAAACTTCGCCTGCAACATCTCATGCGAACTTTTCGCAAGTTACTTCGCCTGCCAGCCTCTCCTGCCAACCGTGATTCTTCTTCTGAGCCGGCAAACCCTCTGCGGAGCTATTCGACTCTCGCCGTGGCTCCGTGCGAATGCGTCTTGAGCTCGGCAAGCCCTTGGGTGAGACCAAGCTCTCGCTGTGGCGCCGTGCGAATATGCCGAAATTCGGTGAGTCTTTTGTAGAGATTGCGCGTGTCGATGCGCCCTCACTCCGCGTCAAAGCGCTCTCGTCGCGGCGCTGTGTTGACCTCGGCGAACCTTCGAGGTGCGCACTTTGAATATGTCTTGACCTCGGCGTTGCCTCTGCGGAGACCCTGCGTGTCGAAGCGTTCTCGCTGTGGCTCTGTGCGAATGCATTGTGGTCGCGGCGAACCCCGTGCGGAGGTTCCAGAACTTGCAGAGGCTATGCTTGGGCGGGGGCATTGACGTGCTTGTGTTTTGCAGAGGAGATGTCAGAGTGTGCCTGTCCTATTTCCATTCTTCCGAGCCACCCGTTATGTAGTGGATGAAGTACTTGGGTCGAAAGTTGCACCAGCAAGGCCCTCATGCAGCGCACGCTTTTGCGAGGAGAGCCTTGCATCTTCGGTTTCCGGGTCATCGACTCCACAGTTGTCAGGAAGAAGGTGGAATGCCCTGGCTCTTCAGGCGCTAAGTTCCAGCGCACCGCTGTGAAAATCCATCACTGGAAGGCAGTGATGGAGGCGGGCTTGCGGGACAGCCGCATTGCGAGGTATTGTTGCGGGGCTGATGCTGAAGAGCGTCCGAACTGCCCAAGAGTTTTTGTGGACCTGCCAGACTGCGCAGATGAACTCGCACTCATGATGCTGTGCCAGCTTCCCTTCTCTACCTTGGCAGACCGTGTGAGGAGCAAGGCTGAGAAGGCGCCACGGATCAAGAAAGAGCAGAAGAAGCCTGTGGCGGCACCAATAGATTTGGATGCTGATGCCCCTGAGCCTGTTGCACCTGTGAGGGCGAGGCCTAGCGCAAAGTCTTTGGGGTTTTCGCCTTGGTGAAGCCATGGGTAGATCTCGGATGGAAGATGTGATCCTGCGCAAGCACATGTTTTTGACATGCTTCTTGTTTCGAGTTGGAAGCGCTGAGATTCCACCCTTTGCACGCCTGACGTGAGTCCGTTGGGGGGCACTCACCTTGGTGACGGTGGACCAAATCCCACAGTTTCTATCTTGCTGGTTCGCTTTGGCATCCCGCCCTTTGCAAGCCTGGCGCGAAGCCGCTAGTAATTAGTCGCCTCGACGAGGATGGGGATGAACAGTTTCTATCTTGTGCTAGTTCGTTTTAGCATCAGTCTTTGCAAGCCTGGCGCGAAGCTGTCAAGAATTAGTTGCCTTGACGAAGGTTGGGGGCAGACAAGGGGCAAACCTAAAGTAGCAGCTCCGTTGTGTAGCTTGGCCTGGAACGGAGGGCGTGGCGCTTGGATTGCTCATTGACCGTTCGACTGTTCTGCAAACCTACAGTGTTTTCATTCTCTCTTTCGTTGGGTGGCCTTCTGTGCAGCTCGCCAGTATTTTAGAGATGTTGGCTTTGAAGATTTTGAAGTTCCTTATGGCATTTGGGTTTTCTTGTTTATCGGGCACATACTTGTGGAGCCTTCGTTGAGCCTTCGTGGAGCCTATGCTGCCTGTGCTGCGTATGATGCCCGTGGTGCCCGTGCTGCCTGTGCTGCCCGTGTTGCCCGTGGTGCGTGTGGTGCGCGTGTGGTGCCCGTGCTGCCCGTGAAGCCCGTGGTGCCCGTGGTGCCCGTGAAGCCCGTGCCCGTGATGCCCGTGGTGCCCGTGAAGCCCGTGCCCGTGATGCCCGTGGTGCCCGTGAAGCCCGTGAAGCCCGTGCCCGTGAAGCCCGTGGTGCCCGTGAAGCCCGTGGTCCTTAAGCGTACCGATCTCCTCTATTCTGGAGGACCTAGATTTGTTGAGAAGCTGGACTGGGGAGAAGATGCCTGGTATGATTTGGCAGTACGTACCCAGCAATTCTTTGATAGGTTAATTAAAAAGGAAAAAACAAAAACAGTGATCTCAAGGGGTTAGGGCCAACCCCTGCTTGCACTAGTTGCCGAAAGTGCATGTTGGGGGTTTCCGAAGCTCACTGTCCACTTAGGAGGTTATTAAACATCGATGTTCAATCAACCTTTACTGCTGGTTGTGTATTTTATTGATTTATTTATCTATTTTTCGGATTATCAGTTAATTTCTGCGGGTTGTCACCCCCAACGTGGTGACAAACCTTCCTCAAACTGCTCACTAGCTGGCGGATGTTCAGCGTCACAAGTTTCAGAATTGTCCCTCAAGGTTGTCCCCTAAATTCGTGCGGTGCGTTTATATGTGCATCTATTCGAACAAAGCCTGCAGATAGATGCTGGACATGTATATAGATGTAATATAATACCCTGGGATTTCGGGCACATTTTAAATGTGCTGTGGGCAAAGGCGTTCCGGGAACTTAACGGACATCTTTTGTGTTTGGCGTGTTGGCTGTTGTAACCCCAAACATGTGCTTCAGATCCGATACATGTAGACACGTTATATTGACACGTGCTTTCAATTTCCAAAGAATACACGTATACGTAACGTATATCCCCCACCGCTTGCCCTCAACAGGTGCTTTCGCCTCCGTTCGGATCGTTTCGGAAGCTCGGAAGCTGAGGATTCTGGCCGCGGACTACACCTCCTTCAGGGCCTCCTTGAACGACCTGAAGCGGGGCTTGGAGCGGCCCGAAGCGCGGGACGAGGCGCGGGCTTGGAGCGGGGAGCGGAGCCGCGCGGAAGAAAGACGTCGAACAGGCCAGAGAGCATCTGGGCCCATGATTTTGCCCGTTTTTGCAAAAATGATCAAAGTCGGAGACTGATTGGATCCCTTCAACCTACCACTTAGGAGGTGACTTTGATAATTGTAACATAATTGGGGCCGGAGCATACTGGGTGGGGTGTTCAACCAAGTTACTTCACTATGGTTTCAACCAGTGTAACTGGGACCATGGTTATGATCTACTTGCTAAGTTGGTTGCACGCCCAAGTAGGTGTCCCTTTTGGTTTGGTGAAACACTAGGTTGGGCGATTGCGGCCAAAAGAAGGCGGATCGTTTGTTCCATACAAGCCCAGTAGTCGGCACAGTCCGGGTAGATAAAGGGGAAAGTAGTGAAGGACGCCCATCCAGAAATGGATGCGCCAAGAAACCCGATTGATTCTTCAATATTCTTTACATAGATAGGCTTCTTAACCGGTCGTTGAACAGTACGTCGAGTTGGAGGACGCTTTTCCGAGCTCGGGCTTGCTTAGTTGGCCCGCCCCGCCCGAGGCTTAGAGCCCCACTGGCAGGGGTTATGAAGATCTAGGTCTGGGTTTTTCGGTTTCTTCCAGAACAGCAGGCGACTCTTGGAGCTTCAACTTTTATTTTGCTGCGAGAGATGCAGGGAATAAGAAATGGAATGACCCTAGAAAAAAAGCCATCCCTTCCGGCTTCCTTTAAGGGAATCCCTGGGTTCATTCCCACATGCCCTACTTTGCGCACCAGCAAGTCATTTGGGAGCGCTGGAGGAAGCGCTCGCGAGCATGCGTAGAGATGTGAGCGGCGACCGGTTGTGGCAGACCGAGTGAACTTGGAGTATCCTCTTTGGGCTTGTGTCCAATCATGTGCCTTGCTTGTGGGGGTCGGCTTGTTTTTCGTATTATATATGCGTTTCAGAGCTTTACTTTTTGGGCTGTTTGTTTTTTGTTTGGTTTGTTCAGCTCTTTTGGAAGCCCATACCATTCGGGTTGGAAAGGGAACCATTTATTGAGGTCTCCTTAACCTCACCCTGAGTTTCTGGACTTTATAAACTTATTGGGTGTGGACCATTCGAGTGGTAAACAACAAGTTGGGGTACTTGTCTTGGCCAATCCACTGATCGGAACTGAGGTTTTCCACTTACACCGCCCCAAAAAGACAAAATTCCTTCAAAAACGACACACCCTCAAAACCGACACACCCACCTTGGGTGTTCGTACCTGGTTACTCAGTTAGGGTCGACCGGTCGACAACAACCTTTTTTCAGGAGGTCTCCCGTTTCCCAAAAACGCCGGAGGGTTTGGGTCCGAAGCTGCGCGGAAGCGGCGCGGCTCAGAGCGCAGGTCGGGGAGTTCAAAGTGGGGCAGCTGGTGATGGTCAGCGGGCACTCAGCCGCTCAGATCGCAAGAAAGTGACTGCTCGCACCAAGCATGGTTCTTGTTGGGAAACATTTTACATGTTTTGTTTATTGTGGTTTAGTGGGAAATCCCCACCTACCTCCTAAAAAATTTTTTTTGCTCCCCTTCCAACATCAACCAAGCAATTGGCTCGATTGGATTCTTCTATTTCCCTTGAATTTAAAAGGAAACAAACACCACTGTTGTTGGTTTCCAGGGAACTTACGCAAACAGAAGTATTCATGTTTGCTATTGGGTTGATATTTTTGGGGCTCAAACTGTTTTTTACGACATCTGTTGGGTTTTCCCGATTAAACCCACAAATAGTCATCTTACCTCTTAAAAATACAACTTTTCAACTTTCTGGGTAACATGGGCCATATGTCTGTAAAAGATTAACTTCCCCAGGGCTTGGAGGTTTAAGGGGTAAGTCATTGACGTTTTTGCAGAGGGGTCGTTGCAGCGTTGCTTGTTGAGAAGTCGGGAGCGTTGCTTGTTTGAGGCTCGGCTTGCTTGGGGCTTTTGGTGGTTCTTAGTGGGGTGAAAGGCTAGGTCCCCCAGCTAGGTGCCCTTTCTCACCCCTTTCTTGGTTGGGAGGGTTCCCCTACCAAAATAGACCACAGAAAAAAGGGCATTTTTATTCTAATCTCTCTACTGGAGGACCTAGAAGGTGGTTGGGTGTCCGTTTACGCCACTAAAAGTGAGACTTTTAGCAGGGGATTTGAGAACAGACTTGGCTGGCTTTACAGGGAAGCGAAAAGGAGAACGCTCCCCTGAAAAAGAGAGACCCAGTTCCGTTTCCAACTTCTGATTCTTGTTCTATCAGGGCCTTGATTATCAGGGTCACTGAAAGTGGATTTTGACTGCCAGAGAAGCCTATTGAGCTTGTGGTTGCGGTATTTTTGTTGTGCCTGTGTTTTTACTTGAGTGTTGTTTGGGGGGCCCTTTGCCAACTACCAAACAGAACGTGCTCTTTTTTTAGGCAACCTTCAATTGGTTCGGAGCCCGACAGTTTGGATTTGAGCCCAGTTTTGAAGCAAAAGGTGGCGCCGGTCAAAACCGGTCTCCAAACCACCAACTGTCAAGGTGAGCTCTTATTTTCTGAGTTCCTGGACTAATTAGTCAATTGTTGGGCAATTTTAGTGGGCACCAGAAAGCTTAGACGTGTTTTGGCCAGTCCACTTGGGAAGTCAGTGGTTCTTTCGATTTGGTCAACCCTTGCAGTTTCAGTCGTGCTGTCCGAATCCCTGCTTGAAAATGCCCTGAACAAAACAATGGATCATTCTTGGGATTTGGTGGGGGGGGGCGGGGGGGGGGATTTTATGGAACCTTCTCCTTCCATTTGTTTACGAGTATTTTTTTTATTTTCCCCTTTGAATCGATCACTACTGGACATGTGTTTATGTTTTCCAGGGGGCAAAAACGCAAATGGAAGTCTTGAAAAAACTATACAATGGATCAGTCCTGAGTTGTTTTTTTGTGGGGGGAGGGCGGATTTGGGAGGGGTGGGTGGACATATTTGTTGTTTGGGCTTAATCAAATGCAAGATGCCCAGCTGGGCGACCCACTGACTTCTCGCCCGAGGAGAACCGCGCGGTGGTCATCCGGCTCGAGGCGGGGGACCGCGCCATGGTGCTGGGCCAGGCGAGGAGTCGAGACTTCGAAGTCGACTCGTCGACGTCCGCGGGGCAAAAAAAGGCAACGCCATGACCTGGGTTTTTCACGAGCTCACAAAGATAAAGGTCCTGCACTTGGGGGATTCAACCCTTAATTCAGCGTTTGGAGATACTAAAATTTGCAAATCCTACCCAGGTCCCTCAGCTGGGTGCCCGCTCTTTCACCCCGTTTTTGGTTGGGAGGGTTCCCCTACTAAAATAGACTACAGAGAAAAAAAGTTTGGTACCCTCATTCTATTATCTCTTCTGGAAGGCCTAGGAAGCAAGAAATAAACAACATGTCGACCATGCGAAAGATCATGATGCATTTAGGTGGCTTTAGCCGGGGGTCCGTCAAAAAGTTAAACTTTTTTGCGAAAAGTCGTGAATTAACGTTGACCCCAGATTAATAAGCCCTAGTTCATTAAGACATGGTTGTTGTTGGGAAGCATTTCACATTTTTGCTTGTTGTGGTTTAGTGGTTGAAATCCCCACCTAACTGCTAAACAAGCAAAGAAGAAGAGGGCTCTCTAAAATGGTCAGTATTTCTTTTGGTGGTTCCCGGCCATCCGGCTCCATAGGGTTTTGTGAGCTGGTTTAGTTGGGGTTCCCATCAACAGTTTAGCAGGCCCAGGTACCCACTCAAAAAGAGATGGGCTTGTCTCAAAAGCATGGCATCCCCCCCTTAGTGCATCCTAGTAGGTCGTGTTGTTTTTTTGTTTTTTGTTTTGTTTTTTTTTTTTTTTGTCTAGGAGGGAACGGGCCACTTGTCACCCCTTGTTTCGGCGCAATGTGGGAAACCGTGACACTGAATTTCAAAGTGGAACGCAGTCTGACAAAAGGTTGGTGGACATAAGTTCGACGGTGATGTCCAAACAGTCCCCGAAGAAACAACACCCACATGGAACCTAATGTCGACCCCTGATTAATAAACCCCTGTTTATTAATATGGGGGGTGCTCCCCTCCAAAAGTGATAAATCCCCACTAAAACCCGGGAAAAGCACCCCCCATATTAATAAACGGGGGTTTATTAATCCGGGGTCAACATTACCTATCTCTGAAACGTGTTGCTTGCTTAACGGGAGCCTTTCAGTTGCCTCTATGAACCGTTTGGAATTTGAATTCTGTTTACATAGCTGTCCTTTTTGGTTGTTTTGCCAGAAACATAGATGGCCCTGGTTTACCTGGTGGTTTAATCATCTACCAGGGAAGCCCATCTATTTTTCCCCTAAAAGGACACCCACGTCTATTTAGGTGCCATTTGCCTACGCCGGCAGACAGTTGTGGCATGGTTTTCGGCCACCCTGAAACTAGTGGGAGCCCGGAACAGGGAAGATGTTCAAATAATGGACGCCAGCCGGTTTGGGAACCCCCCACACAAAAAGGAAGGCACCAGCCCATTTATTGGTGGACCCCCCACAGCTGGACTATGGGAACGATGAGGCTTCCAGAGAAGCATCCTACTGCCTATGTTTTAGCGAGCTCACCCGGGGGTTTTCTTCGAGCTCACAATGATAAAAGGTCAATTACTTGGGGATTCAGTTCTTAATTCAGCGTTTGGAGCTATACTAACACTTGCAAATCCTACACATTCTAGGGGTTGATTCCCGCATTCTTTTCAGCCATCGTTCTTTTCAAAAACCGATCGTCATCTCCCCAGGGTTTTGGGTTGTTTTCTAGAAAGATCCGGATCCCCGGAAAGAATGAAAATGGAGGTACCCTTGGAGAAATGAATGCTTGTTATTTTTCCCCCTTGTTGGTGTAGGGAATCGAGTTCACGGCTCACTGGATTCCCCAAGCCCTAAACCCTAAACCCTTTCTTAGAAGCCCTCCAGAATCCTCCCCCCTCCTTAACCTCCTTAAGGGCTAACCCTAAACCCTTAACCCTTGACTTCCCAAAAGAATGGAAATAGAAGTTACCCCTAGACACATGGCCATTGCTTTTCCCTCTGGCCCAGACGGGACGTGGCCAGGACGGCTCCAAGCTCTACGTGAGCCTGGCGGAGCTTCAACCGGTGCAGCTGCCCAACCGGGGCCAGCACCTTTTCGCTGTTTTTTTCCTCCGTTTTTCCGTTTCTCCGACATGGCCACGACCACACTATTTTGAGAATCCCCGGCCCCGTACCTAGGGTTCATAGAAAGAATGGTTGACTTGCATGCTGAGACCACACCATCGGGGTTTTCAAGGTGAGCATTAAACAGGGCTCCTTAAAAGATCTCCATTTTGCAACCATTTGAAAACATGTTGCTTTTTCAACACCAAGATACAGGGGCAAACAACATTATTTACAAGTTGCTATGTGTGTTGGTGTTTTTCATGCATCCGGATCCCTGTTAAAGGGGTCTGAAGGCCTCCTTTGCGACCCTTTCTATCCCTTTAAGCTTGCAATTCAGCTTGGGAACCCCTATAGAGAATTCCATTTTTTTGAGAATCCAAATACCTAGCTTTCATTGAGCGAATGGTTGACTTGCATGCTGAAATTCCTGACCGGTAAAAAAAGTAGGATTGTATGATCACCCCCTTTGATTTGGTGGGTTTATACCCCCCCAGGAGAGAACCCCTAGGTCCCCCAGCTAGGTGCCCTCTCTTCTACTCCGTTTTTTGTTGGGAGGGTTCCAGTACTAAAATAGACGACCTGAAAAAACGTGGGTTTCGCTGCGAGAATGAGCAATGGATGGCCATTTCCCCCTGTGGACTACAGAAGAAAGAAACGGTACCAACTTATTCTAAGCTCTCAAATCTGGAGGACCTAGAAGGGGCCTTAGGGTTCAGCCGGTGAAAAGTTTATAGGGCACCCCAATTCTCATGGGGGCTGGGGGGAGGAGGGGGGGGCAGGGAGCCCAAATAAGCCTAAAATAAGGCGTTATTAAGGGCTTAATCAGGGCTTATTTGGGCTCCCTCCCCCTCCCCTCCATCCCCCGAAGCCCTCATGAAATTCGGAGCTTGAAATTCCTCTAGGGTGTTTTTAGTAAAGGGAAACGGAGTGCTGGGCGTTGTTATTCCGAGTGCTGGTGGCATCAAGAACTAGTAGACCTGGGTACCTTGTTGGTGCAGCGTTTCTTCGGGGTGTGGAACATCATGTAAAGCCAAACGGTCCTTATCATTGCCAGTTGGGGCTGGAAGACTTCCCCCCTTTGAGCAAGCGCTCAGACCCTCAAAAGGGCCATGCAGGAGGTTGTGCTACTGGGGCTTGTGGTTTTTATCCGGCCGGACAGGGTTGCAGTGTTCTGGAGGTGCCTGTGTGTTTGGAGCTTGTGTTTGCATGTTCGCCGCCGCTGTCGTTTGACTGCGAGCCACCGTGGCGTTGTTGCTCTCATGGCGGCCTGTCAAGACGTCCAAGAAAATGCGTCCCATCGAACCTTTGCGCAGAGTTCCAACTGATTCTAGTGGGTGAAATCGCCGCAAGATGTCTGGATCTTTGCCCTGTCGATGATGACACGGGACAATGCATGGCTTTGCAAACTTAGAGCTTGAAGAAAGTAGCTCTGCATCAATGCTTGCTCCATGTATTTCACCATGCGTGGATGCTTGGCCACTTGGTCATTTGACCAAGTTTGACGCTGTTGCGCTGCCCAGGCTGCCTTGTGAGGCAGCCTTCTCCCGCACCCAGGCCATCCCACCTGGACCCACCTCCCTCCGCCCGGACGAGCAAAAGGTCCATCACCTACAAAATAGGGCAATTGGTTTCAGCCAACAAGAGCCACACGGTCCCTTTACACGGATGGCGATTCGGTCACAAGGTCCCTTTACACGGATGGCGATTCGGCCACAAAATGTCGCAGGCGAGCGGGACAACATCAGAAAGCAGCGGAATAGCGCCAAGGCCAACACCTAAGCTGTCAGACTCGATGGCCTTTGCAAGCGTGCCGGCTCTGCACGCGAGTAGTTTGCATCTTGACGGAAAGCAAGCTGAGAACAACGCTGCTTTCAATGATGCCACTCTTACTACGCCTTTGCCTGTGTCAGCATCTTGATCAATGAGAATTCGAATGAGGCATGGAGGGCAGCCAGGTGTCGCCTGAATTAGGCCTAGCTGAACGTCCCTCAGTGACCAAGCCTTGCCTGAACCCTGCTCCCCTGCGTTGAGTCTGTTCAGTGTTGGTGGGCGTTCGGGCTGCCTTTGCAAGCGTTGCGGCTCGCCCCGCACTGAACTCAGCAGTGCAGGAGTAGTTTGCGTGTTGACGGAAGCATCCTGAAAGCAACACTGCTTTTTCAATGATGCCACTCTTATTGCGTCTTTGTGGGTGTCAGAACCTTGATCAACGATGATTATGATGGCATGAAGACGGCCAGTTTAGCCTTAGGCCTAGCTCTGCCCTTGAGTGCCCAAGCTTTGCCTGAACCCTGCCTTCAGTCTGTTCAGTGTTGTTGGCCGTTTGAGCTGCTTACGCGAGCATGGCTGCTCACGCCGCACAGAACTTGGCAGTGCGGCAGCACATAGCTTGCATGTGGACGTCAGCAATCTGAAAACAGCATGATGTCAATCTGTCTGAATCACGCCTCTGTTGTTTCTGGTGTGAGAATCTTGACCAATGGGGCTAATTCTGATGAGGCATGAAGACGGCCAGTTTGGCCTTAGGCCTAGCTGACCGCCCCTGAGTGCCCAAGCATTGTTTGAGCCCTGCCTCCTGCCTTGAGTCTGTTCAGTGTTGTTGGCCGTTTGAGCTGCCCACGCGAGCATGGCTGCTCACGCCGCACAGAACTTGGCAGTGCAGCAGTACATAGCTTGCATGTTGACGAAAGCAAGCTGAAAACAACATAATGTCAATCCGTTTGCATCACGCCTCTGTCGTGGCTGGCGTGAGAATCTTGAGCAACTGGGCTAATTCTGATGAGGCATGAAGACGGCCAGTTTAGCCTTAGGTCTAGCTAGCACTGCAGGAGTAGTTTGCGCGTTGACGGAAGCGTCCTGACAACAGCATGCTTGCTCCTTTTCGGGAGTCAGAATCTTGATCAGTAAGCAATTATGACCGCCCTTCAGTGACCAAGCCTTGCTGAGCCGAGCCCTGCCTCCTGCTTTGAGTTTATTCAGAGTTGGCAGCGGCGGCTCGCACCCCACAGAACCCGGTAGCGCAGGAGTAGTTTGCAAGTTGACGGAGGCTTCCTGAAAACAAAAACTTTCCATGATGCCAATCTGTTTGCATGATGCTTTTGTCGTTCCTGGTGTCAGAATCTTGGCCAATGAGAAATGATGACGTTCAAGCGTAGCCCGGTTTCGCGTTTGAGGCCTGCGTAGCTGAGTGACGAAGCCTTGCCTGAAACCTGCCTGATGTCTTGAGTCTGCTCGTTGTTGGTTACCAAGCGTGTCGGCTCGCGCCGCACCGCACTCAGCAGTGCAGGAGTAGTTTGGTTGTTGCCAGAAGCATGCTGAAAACAACATTGTTGCGCCTTTGTGGGTGTCAGAAGCTTGGTCAATGATATTCTTAGCGAGGCATGAGGGCAGCCAGTTTTGCCTTCGGCCTAGCTGACTGCGCCTGGCCTGAGTGCCCAAGCCTTGCCTGAACCCTGCCCCCCCTTGCCTTGAGTCTATTCAGTGTTGTTGGTCGTTTGGGCTGCCTACGCGAGCATGGCCGCTCGCCGCGCACAGAATTTGGAAGTGCGGCAGTACACAGCTTGCATGTTGACGAAAGCAAGCTTAAACAACAACATCTGTCAGTGATGCCAATTTGTTTGCGTGACGCCTCTGTTGTTGCTGGTGTCAGAATCTTGCTCAATGGTGATAGTTATTGTGAGGCATGAAGGCAGCCAGTTTCGCCCTAGGCCCAGCTGACCGCCCCTAAGTGCCCAAGCCTTGCCTGAACCCTGCCTCCTGCCTTGGGTCTATTCAGTGTTGTTGGCCATTTTCGATTGGGCCGCCTACGCAAGCATAACTGCTCACGCAGCGCAGGAGTAGTTTGCATATTGAAGAAAGCAAACTGAAAACAACTACCTTTCCATGAGGCCAATCGCTTTGCAAGACTTGCTGTGTGCTTCATTGCATTCTGCATGCGTGTCAGAAACACAAAGCTGGATTTGCACGCGGCTTCCTGCTTTTGGCCGGTGACTGATGCCCCACTGTGTTGTGTCGTGGTCAGCTCCTCTCACGCTGTAAGAAGTCAAAGATCCCGACAGAGTTTGATCACACCTTGTGGGTGGCATTGACGCAAGTCACAGTTTGAACAGATTGTGCCGCGGCAATGGCTAGGCGGAACTTGAAAGTTGCCATTGCCCAGTGTGGGTGGTGGGATATCTATCCCTTCTTGGCCCTTTACTTCGCAAATGGAGCCTGCTCACCTTCCAGAAGTGCCAAAGGACAGCTGGACGAGGCAAAGAGGCTTGGCACGTCGAGCGCTGCCTTCCCGCGTGTCAAGCCGGGCGCGGGTGCACAAGTGGATGCAAGGAAGCTGGAAAATCGTATCCCCAGCGCTCAAGGGGTCCTCTTTGAGCTGACACTGTCTTGACTGCTATTGGGTTGGATCTTTAGACTTTAGCTGTTTGGGAAATCAAGGGGTTTCCACTAAACCCAGAAAAAGGTTGAACTTTTTGCAGAGGGGTCAGCAGCAACAAAGATGTTGTTGGGATTCTACGGTTGTTCCGCTCCAAGGAAACTTCAAAGGAAGCCCTCTCCAGCGCAGGTCTCCGAGCTAATGGCTCTCCCCGTGCCTCCAGTGATTAGTATGTAGCCAGGATCTAGGGTGTACGTGATATCGTCAGTGGTTACCTACCATGGTAACTGGAAGCTTCGGGTCAAACAGAGTGGAGCTTGAAAAAAAGTCATTATTTTCTCCCACCTCGGCCCATGAAAAAGGAGCTTAAGTTGGTAGGGATGATGTCTATAAGCATTGTGTGTGTGTGAAAGTGGTGCTTTCTACGAGTGACAGCAGCCACACACCGCTGCTGGTGCGCGACAAACTTGACTAGCCATCTTGCTAGAAGCAGGCCGCATAAATTTGAGGAAATGAGAAGCAACCGTGAGCCCGTCAGGTTTTTTTTCTTTCTCCTCGGGCGCGCGGCGCTCGCTCGCTCGCGTGTTTTTTTTTTTTGTTCTCCGATCCAAGGTACAAGAGGCAGGTCTGGTGCGAGGACCGGCGCAGGCACCGCATCAACCCGGGCTGTGTGGTGCGAGCGCCCCAGTCGTACACCGGATCCTCGCCTGTCACAGGCGCGACGCGTAACGCGGTGGACTCAAGGCTTGTGTTGAAAGAGTTTGGCTGGCTTAGGGTGGGAACTGGGGCTTTGAACGGGTCCGCGTTGGTCAAAACATAGCCACGTCACCCCTTGCGTTTCGTTCATATCCCTCGTTTTCGGTTGGTGAAATAGAATTTGGCCAGAAATGGGAGTGCCTTTGTTTGGGTACCCCATTTAGAGTCTTTTTAAAGGGAAACTAAAAGGACAGCCTTGCCACTTTTTTGGTCCAACATCGTTCGTTTGAATCGGCCTTCGTTCTTTCTTCCGGGCCTGCTACTCTTTCGCGGGCGAGCGGTGTTGGCTTTCGTTTTCGACCCCAGGCCTCGCAGTTTTTGACGAAAACAACTCACGTCTTTGGACTTCCGTCTTTGGACTTTCGCCGGCCTTTGGGCTTGGACTCAGTTGTTCAACGCGAATCGACCGGATCTGACCTTTTGGTTTTCCCATTTTGGTCCATGTTTAGTCATGGCCCCAAAAGGTTAACCTTTTAGTTGCAGGTCCTTTGGGCAACTGAGTGGACCCATTTTGGCGGTAGAAACGTCAGTTTGTCCATCGGATCCTTCTTTTTGTTCGGCCAATCCATGGAGGTGAGACTTGGTCTAGGTCCCCCAGTAGTGCCCTTTCTCACCCCTTTTTTGGTTGGGAGGCTTCCCTACTAAAATAGACGACCGAAAAGAATCGGGTACCTTATTCCAACCTCTCAAATCTGGAGGACCTAGACACTTTTTTTCTGAAAGATGGCCCACTTGAGGGTCCTCCTCCCCTCAGCTCCACAGCTCCAGAAATGAGAGGCGCACCTTCGATGCGGCTTCATCATTTCATCGGCCAGGCCAGGTCCTCTTCATCCACCAGGGCCGGATCTTCGTGAAAGCCATCGAGGGCCTGGTGGGGGAGCGCGCTTACTTGGTGTGCCCCGGGGACAAGCTCCTTGGATCTACCCGCCTTTCCCCCGAAAAACTTTCGGAGCTCTGGCTTCCTGGGTGGCCGAGTCCCCCGCCACCCGGTCGCCCGTGCCGGTGCCCGGTTTGTCCTTGGCTCGCCTTTTGCCCGGGGAGGTTCGGACTGAACATTTTGTTGCCGACTTTTGTGGGTTTTCCGAACCAAACCACTAAAAGTTCAAAACTTTTTGCGGGGGAGCGGAAAGCAACCGAGTTTTGTTGTTCTTTGTTTTGGGGTTGAGTGGCAGTTTCCATGGAACCCAGAAGTTAAATGGCGTGCATCGTTTGAGATTTACCCAGGATCATAGGTATCATGTTTGGGTTTGCTTGAAAAATAGGCTGACGCATAATCATCGGTATCCTTTTTGCTTGGTTTGGTTGAAAAATAGGCTTGGCGATTCCTGGTTTGCCTGGTGGTTCAATCATCTACCAAGGCCATCTATTTTCCGAAAAGGACACCTATTCCCATAATGTTGACCCGGATCTAAGTAGAACCGGGGCCCTATTATTTTGGGAGGTGTTCCTCCAAAAGTAATGACTCCCCACTAAAAGGGGACACGGAACAGGTCTTGCGTCAGGTCCCTCAAGAAAAAGAATCTCAGGTGAGTGTGTCTTTTTTTGAGGTTCCTCTTTTTAAATTTTCCAGAAAAAAACAAGAAGGACATTCCCACCATTGGGGAGGGATTTGGATCTGAACCCCGGGCTTGTGTGGAAGGAAAATGGGAAACCCCTTCTCAACCACGGCTCCAAAACACCAACTGGAGGGAAGCTGAAGTGCTCAGTCGCCCAAGGCGAGTTGACCGCATCTCACCTTTTGTTTTTCCCATGTTGGTCCATTAGTACAAGTGCCGACAATATTAGCCTTGTATTTCTGGATCCTGGCGACTCAGCACTGGCTGCAGGATCTCCATGTAAACGCTTAAGGATCTCCATGTAAACGCTCCAGGATCTCCATGTAAACACGCTTGTCCAAAACAAATCGACCGGTTGACCTTCTGTGTGCTTCCAAAAGGTCATTTTTTTAGCGGGCTCCTTAAAAGATACATTTTGCAACCATTTGAAAACATGGCTTTTTGCCACCAAAATCCAGGGAAACTGCCATTGACAAGGCAACGCTCAGGTGTTTTTCATGTAAGGATCCCTGTTTGGTCAAGGTCCCAAAACGCGATCACCTCGCTTGCCGAAGAGGTCTCCGCCAGGGAGCCCAACCCTTGGTTTTCCCGGGTAAGCCACCCCAAAATTGCTTAACACGAGCACAGGCCGCTGGATGTTGGGATTAAGGAATCAGAATCAGGGCCTTTTGACAACTGCATTCCCCTACAAATCAGCGACAGGAATTTCAATTGGGCCGTTCAAAGTGGTTCCATGTGAAGCTGTGTAAGTCATTTTCAACACCGGGGGTTGCTTGGCTTAGGTGCGAGTATGTTTGGGACCCGGACGACCTGCCAAAGGGCAAGGGCCGCTCGGTTTTTGGGGCCAGGGGGCAGGGTTGCCGGTTGCTGGGAAGTTCTGGGGCTCTGTTTTGGCTCCCATTTGCTTAAGCATCCCAGAACATATCAAAAATATGTCCGTTTGAAGGGAAACCAAAGGAAGCATGATTTGTGGGGAACGATTCATATCTTGAGAAACACCCTTCTCATGTCCCAGGCGCATTGCTCGCGGGTGTGAACATAGAAACCCGATCAGGTGCGTTTCAAGAGGGTGGTAGTCTTCCAAAACCCCTCTGTCCACTTCCATCGTCCATTTGCTTAAGAATATTTGTCCCTGTTGGTTTTAAATGGAAGCCATCATTACTAGACATGTGTGTCTGTTCTTTGTTTTTAATCAGGGAGGCTTAAGCAAATGGAGGCCACAATTGCAGCGGGTGTCCTGAAAAGTCCGCTGCAGGTCTTTGTCCGGGGCTCTGACAGATGCATTCAACAGCATGTTTGTTGGCTCTTGATCTTCATTGTCTAGGTCCCCCAGCTAGGTGCCCTTTTACCAACTTTTTTTGGTGGGAGGGTTTCCACTAAAATAGACTACGGAAAAAAAGGGTACCCTTATTCTAACCTCTCTACTGGAGGACCTACATTGTTCTCGGCGTGTGTTGTTCTCTGCTTGGCGGCGGAAGGCAACTAGGCAGGACCCGCAGGGTGTACAAAAACAACCACCCCCTAAAATCATCGCTTAATTTTGAGCCCCCCCCCCCCCCCCCCGGAATTTGGGCTTTTTGCTTATCTTGCTTGTTCCCAGCCATCCCCTTAGGTGTTTCCCCGCCATGCCCTGAGGTGTTTTTTTGCTTGCTTGTTGGTTTAGTGGGGTTTCCGGACAACCCAGCAGGGGATCTGAAAACGTTGTTGTTGGGAAACAGTTTGCATTTTTGCTTATTCTGGTTTAGTGGTTGAAATCCAACCACTTGACTGCTATTTAAATAGATCCCCACTTCACTGCTACAATTTGACAATTGTTGCTTTCCTTCCAACGTCAACCAAGGCAAAGGGAAGCTCATTTTGCCGGACAAGACCGAAGAGGAGGTCACCATGAAGCAGCTTCTCGGCTCGGAACCGGTGGTCTTGGCCATAGAAACGTGCTTTTAATCGGTTGGTTTGGTTAAAAATGGATGGGTTCCACTGGTTTAGATGGTTTATGCCCCATTTACCAGGGAAGCCCATCTATTTTGGCGGGGCGGAAAGACTTTGTCTGGGCTCACGAAGTCCACAAGTCCACGAAGTCCAGGACGAGAATCTTCGTCCAGAGAGTTTCACATGTCCACAAAAAGTGTCCTTGTCAACTACTTTTCTGGATGAATTATAACTTATAACCTTTGGTGCATTTTGCTTGGCTGTTAGGACTTTAACTTTTTGCCAACTAATGGGCTTTCCACTAAACCACTAAAAGTTAAACTTTTAGCAGGGGAGCAGAAAGCAACTTAGTTTTCTGGGTGAATTATAACGACCTCACACGACCGAATTCACCCCACATGGTGGTTTAGGTGGGGAATAGCCCCCCAACCACCTTATTTCCGGTTGGTAAATATTACAATTCACTCAGACTTTTGGGTCGTGGACGTCATGTGTAAACTTTGAGCTGGACTGTTTTTTGGTCTGGACCATTTGGGTGTGTCTTTGTGAGCGGGTGCCTGTTTGTTGGTGGTTTTAAAGGGATACCAAAGGGAAAACCACTGTTTTAGTTTTCGGGTTCCCCTAAGGAAAAAACACCCCCGTTTTAGTGGCATACAACAGGAGTGGTTACTTGTTTGAGCCATGTGGAATTCCATTTCTACCGGCGGTTGTTCTTGCCGTGTTGTTTTTTGGTAGGCGCAAAGTTTCATCAATTCGTTTGTGTGTGTGCGCGTCAAACTCCAAAGTGGCGGTTTTTGTTTTGGCTCTCCTTTCAAGCCACACCACAGCGGGTGAAGAAGGCAACTGGGGTTGGCCCCCTTATAGGCATGGTCATAACCTGCTTACTAACTTGGTTGAACATCCAAGAAACAACTGTTTTGTTTGAAATCAGTCGTTGATCCTCATGCCGGATGATAGGCTTTACCTTGCGGCGTTTTGTATGGATTACAGATGAGGATTCGGGATCGCCCAATTTTGAACACCCCAGCTAGGGCCCCAGGGTGAAAAGTGACCAAATCAAACCTTGGCGGTTCCCAGCCGTCCCCTTAGCTTTTTCGGTTTTTAGGATTTAGCGGGGTTTCTATTTAACCTAGTGAAAGTTAGTCACTTTTAGCAGGGGATCAGTCTGGACAGCCCAGAGACTTACAAGGGCTGCTGTGCGGTTCGACCTTTTGCCGGCTGCTCACCTTTTGCCGGCTGGATCGCCAGGATTGCTTTGGCGGGTTGCAACAGGCAGCCCCATGGTATACCTCCAATCGGCCTAGGTAGCCCCAACAGCATCCTTTACCCTTCCTGAGTCCCAGGCCCGCTAAGTATCAGCTCACAAGCGCCCAAAGCGCCCACAGCGATTCGACCGGATCTCACCTTCTGGTTTTCGATGTTTGGTCCCATTTTAGTAAAGCCCCTACTTGGTTTAGATCCAATTCTTGGTTTTGGATTTGGGCGTTTGTGTGTGTGTTTTTTGGGGTACCTGCTTTTTGGCTTGGTTTGAAGGGAAGCCGACACCAGAATGGTAAGAGGTGGTAAGAGGTGATCACCTTGTATTTCTGGGTCCAAACCGGTCCAGTGAGCTGATCCCTTGCATTGTGGTTTACTTGCATTGGACGAAATGGATATGTTTTATTTTCCCCTGTTGGTTTTAAAGGGCACCTATCACCATTGGACATATTGAGTTGTTTTTTTTCCAGGGGGGAGGGGGTAAGCAAATGGAAGGTCTTTGGTACCCCCTAATTAGTGGTTTGGATTGGTTGTTCGAGAATTGGACATTTTGTTCTTGTAGAGGGTGGATCCCCTCCTGAACCACCAAACCACTAATCCAAAGCACAGGGAAGCTGATCTAAATCTCATGTCCTTAGTTCGTGGACTTGATACTCATGGTTCGTGGATGCAGTGCCCATGGCGTCCACTGATGCCTAATGTTTTGAAGGTGCCATGTTGGATGCCGTTTGGTGGGATCTTTTAACTTTAACTTTTTGGGAACAGATTTAGGACGTCCTACGGAAACAAGTTTAGTACAGGCGAGAAGTGGTCATCTTGTATTTCTGGGTCCAAACTGGGGTTTGCATTGATCTGTTGGAAGGATGTCCTACGGCATCAAGATGGCCTCACAGCTCTCCTTCCTGCGCCCTGCCTGGCACAAGAAGCTGGGCCTCGACAAGGCGGGAGTGGTCTGCTCGCATGCGAGCGAGCGCGAAGACGTGTTCGTCATGAGCTTAGTGGCAAGCCCGGCCCGGCCAGCCGGGCCCTGAAAGGTTTTTACTTGTTTGGAGGTGGTTTAGTGGTAGTTTCCGAATTTAACACACAAGCTTCACTTGTAGCAGGGGATCAGTTTGGACAGCCCAGGTAGTTTTTGGCTGGTTAGTTTAGTGGTACTCGCTCCCTGGGTTCCTGCACTTTCCACTTTTGGGTCTGGATCATATTGTAGTGGCAAAGAAGAAGTCTAGACTTTCTCCGGCCATCCCGCTCAGGAAGTGAGGGTAGTGTCTCGACTTTCAGCGGGGGATCTTGGAACAACCCAGGGTCTTGGTATGTGTTTCGGGTTTTAGATCTTTGGTTTGTTTTTGTTTGTCCCTCAGGGGGCTGCAACAAAACGAATGTTTTTTTGCTGCCATACCCTTGGTTGTTGCTGGGAAACAGTTTCCATTTTTGCTTATTGTGGTTTAGTGGTTGAAATCCAACCACTTGGCAGCTAAAATTTGAGAATTTTTGCTCCCCTTTCAACGTCAACCAAGTTATACGAAGAGTTGGACAGATCTGGCCATGGGACAGAACCCAAATCGTACACCCAGTGAACATCCCAATCCCCACTTCTAAAATGGGTGGTGATTCACCTACCAACCAAAATGGGATCCCAAAACGGTTTTGACAACCACAGCCATCTCACTCTCTGAGTTACGGAAAATCGGACTTCGTTCTCGAAGTTCCACGGGGAAAAAGCCAGGAAACCAAGCACCAGGGCTCGACGCAGTTCCGCTTGGGACGAGAAATCGTCACTTGTTGGGGCAGACTTTTTGGGGGTAAATAAAGAGCTCAGACTTTTGTTGCCCAATCCACTCGCTCGGAAGTCAGTTGATCCAATTCTTAGCTTCAGGTTTGGAGTTGTAGAAGTTGCCGGGAACGGCCAATCCACTCGATCGGTGAGTACATCTAGAGAACAAAACATGTTCCCAACTTTTTCTCAGAGTTCCGTTTCGGACTTGAGTCGCTTTTTGGGACTGGCCCATTTTGGAGGTAGAAACAAACGGTTTGGATCCAATTTGGTTCGGCCAATCCATTCAGAAGATGCCCCCCCCACAGCTCCTCTTGAAGATGCCTAGGTCCCCCCAGTAGTGCCCTTTCTCACCTCTCTTTTGGCTGAGGTTCCCCTAAAATTGACAAAACAGAAAAAAACTGGTAGCCCTGATTCGAACCTCTCAAATCTGGAGGGCCCTAGACGCGTTTCTCGGCTCCCATATAATGGGACCCACGCCACGAGGCCCCCGGCGGACGGCCGAGCAGCTCCTTCCAAGAGGGCGGCTCTGTGAAGATCACTGGGGGCGCCTTGGACTCGACGGGACGAGGGGCGCGAGGGTGCGCGAGGGGGGGGGGGGGGGGAAATGGGTGGCAAGACCCACACTTTTCTGGGCTGAAATTTGGCAGCTGTTTTTTCCAGCTGGGGTGAAATTGGGCGCGAGGGGGCGCAAGGGGGCGCAAGGGGGGGGGGTGTAGATGTAAGCAGAATCACGGGGCCCCTTACTAGAGCGGCTTGTTGGTGAACTTAAATGATTTTAAGACGCCTTCGCACGGTAGCCGTGGTTGTAGTTCAGCCTGCGTATTTATGTAGTTACGTTTTTGTTATGTGGCGCTTGCTTGCTTGCTTGCTTGCTTGCTTGCTTGCTTGCTTGCTTGCTTGCTTGCTTGCTTGCTTGCTTGCTTGCTTGCTTGCTTGCTTGCTTGCTTGCTTGCTTGCTTGCTTGCTTGCTTGGTTGCTTGGTTGCTTGTTGCTTGGTTGCTTGGTTGCTTGGTTGCTTGGTTGCTTGGTTGCTTGGTTGCTTGGTTGCTTGGTTGCTTGGTTGCTTGGTTGCTTGGTTGCTTGGTTGCTTGGTTGCTTGGTTGCTTGGTTGCTTGGTTGCTTGGTTGCTTGTTGTTTTTGTCCGTCTGTATAGTTTTGTGTGTTTTGTTTTCTTGGTATCGCTGCTTGTTGTTTTTTTGGTTGATTGGCTGTTTGTTTGCTTGCTTGCTTGCTTGTTTGTTTGTTTGTTTGTTTGTTTGTTTGTTTATTTGTTTGTTTGTTTGTTTGTTTGTTTTGTAGTTGTTGTCTTTTTTGGAGGGGGGATTGTTGTTGTGTTTGTTTGTTTGTTTGCTTGCTTGTTGTTTTGCGTGTCTGTGTGTGTGTGTGCGTCCGTGTCTTGGTTGTTCGCTTGTGTGTTTGTTTGCTTGCTTGCTTTTGCGTGTCTGTGTGTGTGTGCGTGTTCTGTTGATCTTTTGTTTGTCCGTCTGTGTGTCTACTTGCTGGCTTCCTTGCTTGCTTTGCTTCCGAGCTGAATGGCGGGTTTAAGGGAACCCCAAAAAGTAATAGGTATACAGATGGTTGTTTGAGGCTGCATTTGTTGGGTTGCATTCAAGTGAAATCAAGGGGGACCCCCCCCCCCCACCCCCCCCGCCCTCCATTCTACAGGTTGCACTTGGAAGAAACGACCTCCAGCTTTGGTCTATTTCACACCTGGGTCCCCCAGTAATGCCCTTTTACCCTTTTTTGGGGGAGGGTTCCCCTACTAAAATCGTTTTACCCCTTATTCTAACCTCTCTAATCTGGCGGACCTGGACAAAGAGGGGTCCGTCCACGGCCTTGTTTTTACATTCCTAGGTCATATTGCCGAGGTCATTACGTCTCAAACTCCATCAAATCTCAGCTGGGTCCCCAGTAGTGCCCTTCCTCACCCCTTTGTTGGTTGGGAGGCTTCCCCGACTAAAACCTCAGTTGTTCAAAAGCCGACCTTTTAACCTTTTGGTGTTCCAATGGTCCATATTTAGTCATGACTTCAAAAGGTGATCACCTTGTAGTTCCAGGTCCCTAAGGGGCAACTGAGAAACAAAAATCGACTTAGCGGATATATGTCATCCCGGGTAAACGGGCACCCCGACTAAAACCCCCTGGAAGGCGACTCACTCCAATGCCCCGGGCTGCCATCCCGAGATATCTTCGTTCTGACTGGTGTAACTTGTTTGGCTTACTCTTGTTTATGACCATGGTGAAGTAACCTACTTACCTGTTGAGACTTTTCACATAGCTGTTTCCTCTTTTGATGGCCTACTTGTCTCTGATGTTGGTTTTGCACATCATTTCGTTTTTTTTTAGGTGTTTGGTCTGGTCATTTTTAGTAGGAGTTTTTGTTGCAAGCCCATACCAAAGGTGGTGAACAAGTTAGGATCTCAGAGCTCCAGGCAACTACAAAGGCTTCCGCGGAGAGATCCGCGCTCTGCTTGGGGAGCGCGTGAGGATCTCCTTGCTGCGACTCGGAAGATGGTGAGAGCGGTCCACGGGCTTCGGGGGCGGGGTGAAAAAGAACTCAGAGCTACACTTGGGATGTTCAACAAACTTGGGTGGCTCCCAGCCATCCGGTTCCTTAGCTTTTTTGCTTTTAGTATAGTGGGGACTTGCATTTAAGCCACTTTAACTTGTAGCGGGGGTCTGAGGACAGCCCAGAAACGTCAACGAAGCAGCACCGTTATAAAGGGGCGGATCACCCCAGATAGACGAGTTATCAAGTTATCACCATGCTGAAACGGCCTATTTACTAAGTTGGTTGAGCATCCAAGTAGGAACTTTCTCCCTAAGTCCCTGGACTTTACACTTTTCGGGAAGACCATTTTGGCGGTAAACAACAACGGACTCTTGTTGGTCCATCCACTCGATCAGAAGTGAGTAGGAAAGCATGGTGTTATATTTTCCTTTGTGATTTAGGAAGGACTCCATCACTGCTGCTTTGTTTTGCTCAGGGGGGCTAAAGAAATCGCAGAAACTTGTGGCAGGAAAATTGCCAAAGACCCACCCCAAAAAAAGAGCCCCGGCATGTCCTGTAAAATTTCCGTTTTGGTGCTGAGAATCCCATTGACAGGCCTAGCCTAGCCTAAGTTCCCCTCTCAACCAGCACAATGTCAACTTTGTGCACAAGTCTGGAAGGGCGTTTTGCAGCTTGTTTAGATTCAATCCTTAGTTCTGATGCCAGATGATACTGGCTTCCCTTGTTGTAGTGGTGTCCGGCCAAGGAGTAGGGACCTCCCCCATTTTGAACGACCCAGATTTGACGTGCCTGTATCTGATCTTACCCTGTTTTGGCTTGTTTCTACTGGGTCCCAAGTGCGCACTGATAAAATGTCCTTCTAACAGGCTTAAAGAGAAACCACCGGGACCCAGCAGTAATTCTGCGCACTCCTCAATATGCCTTGCTGCTTGGGACCGAGGAAGCTTGGTTTCACTCTCCTACCGCCCATTTGTTTCCACACCGTGGTTAAAACCATGTGACACCAACTCTTGGAATAAGTCGGTACAAACCAGCACTCCTTCACTTCTCTTGGCATGTTCTTTCGTTGTCGGGTTTTGTCGAGCTGTCGCTTTTGGTGTGCAAGACAGACTGCAAGACAAACCGACGTTTCTTTTTGGTAAGCCATTGGCCAGTCCTGTTATGCTAGGGTAGACGTGGGTCTTGGGTAAGTTTCCCTTCGGGCCAAACGCTTCTCACTACCTGAGTTCCGTTGCGGACTTCGTGAACCCTGAACCGACCTGAATAGACTCTTTACCCACCCGCGCCAACTCTACCCACCCGAAACCCACCTATGCCAATCTTCTAAGCCCGCCCGCTTTGGGGCCGTTATGTAATTTTCGTGGTAAACAAGCAGCTTCTCGACGTTTTCTGGGCGCGGCCGATCCCTGTGAGGCTTGGACACCCATCCATCCCACCCCAGCTGCTCAGTTCGTTCCACCGCGGAAATCCCAGTTTCTTTGCCGTCCCGACTAAACCTGGGATGAATCCCAAGTCGATTCAGAGTCCAAGTTCTTTTTCTGCGGCTCACCGGTTCCAACTGCAACTCACTGTTGTTGCCATGTGCTGTTTTTGTTGGGTTCTCAGGATTAGTGGCAGGCTGCAAAGGTCTAAGTGGCTCGCATAAGTGGAAAGCTAGCGCTTGGGTTCGGCACGGCCCAGGGCGCTGCCCAAGTTGGTGGAGGTGAGCGTCAACGACGTCCGCGAGGACGACTACGTGATGATGCCGCAGGCGATTCGATCCGCATCGATTCGCGATTCGATGCGCGCTCGCGCCACGCATGGGACTCGAGGACTGGAAGCGAGCGACGCTCGCAACCCGGACTTGGGCCATAGCAAGTGAGAGGAAACCATGGCTACAAGGGAAGTGAGAGAGGAGAATCGAGACATGACCTGGCTTCCCCGGGTTCCCAGTTGTAGTGGCCCCAAAAGGGGATCACCTTGTATTTCCTTCCATTTGGTTAAGAATAGGTTTTAAGAGGGAATCGATTTCACTACTTCTTTTTTTCTGGAGGAGCACGGGTAAAGAAAGGTCAGGGTGCGGACATCAGCCTTGTTACTTCTTTAAACTAGGTCCCCCAGCTAGGTGCCCCTTTCTCTTTCACCCATTTTTTGGTTTGGAGGGGTCCCCTACTAAAATAGAATACAGAGAAAAAGGTACCCTTATTCTAACCTCTCAAAACTGGAGGACCTAGTTACATGATTCTGGGCTTGGACCAAGTTAAGACTAGCAGTTGATTAGGACTCACCTGCAAGGAGATTGCCCTGCGATTGGGCGTTTGGGTTCCCAGGTCAATCTGCAGAGCAGCTTAACGGCACCCTTGGTTTGACCGCCAGCCATGGGCCAGACTTTGGTATAGTTGCTTTGCATGATAAGAAGTTGTTTCAAATGGGGGAATGATGGAACTAATGGTCAACATTTGGTAGAATATGTTGCAGCTTTGGTTTAGACCACTTGTACTGAACCGATGTTGATGGACGTCATTTAACTCCTGGTTGTGAACCTGCAGGGCAGCAACCGACCCTGTTGCCCTTGTGACCTTTGGGTTTGCTGCATTTTGCCTTTCACCAGCAACAAGATAATATTTTGCGTGGCGTGAGGCGTCAAGGATATTTGGGAAGTTAAGGCAACAACAGTGGAACGGCCAATTTTGAGGGTCCAACTCCTATTTGGAAACACCCCCATCAGGAACATAGATCTTTGGAGCTTTGAATTGGTGGTAGGTTCGGCCAGTTAGGGCACAACCTTCCCAGGAAGTGAGACCGGTTAGCAAAAAGGTCCCACTAGGTCCCCCATTAGTGCCCTTTCTCCCCTTTTTTTTGGTTGGGAGGGTTCCCCTACTAAAATAGACTACAGAACAAATGGGCAATTACCCTTATTCGATCCTCTCTATTGGAGGACCTAGTATATACTCAGCCATCATGTCACCAGGAAACTGCCTTTGGGTACCCCTTCTGTTATTTTGTCAGGGTATCTTCTTTTCTTTGTGGTGTCAGAGGGAATTCTTCACCGTGGTTGGCCTAGCACGAGCTTCTCCCACCGCTTGCGCCTGCCCCAGTCTGCGCGCTGGAGCAACAGCGCGCCCAGAACGCCCATAGCCATGCCCATGCCCGTGCCCAAGGCGCCCAAGGCGAGGTTTGCCGAGAGTTTTGTCGCCGCGGATGGGGGAAAATTAGTAGGGGGATTGTAGGGTAGGGGATTTTTATCCAGGGATTTATTTTTCAATGTTCATTTTCAACAAGCATACAACATTGTTCATTTCACCTAGGGGATTTTGGGGAATTTTCTGGGGTTCAAGCTTCAGTCTTTAATCAGTTTTTGTTTGTCTTTTTTTTCTCGTTTGAAGATGGTTAAGATTTTGTCATGTTCATTGTCTCTGTTTTGGGTTGTTGTCTGAAGTCGGACTTGAAGTCACTTGTTGGGTCTGGACCATTTTGAATTTTCCGGGCCATTTTGGGACCATTTGAGTCACTTGTTGGGTTCGGAATTTAGTCACTTGTTGGGAATTTTAGTCACTTGTTGGGAATTTTAGTCACTTGCTGGAATTGTTTTTGGAATTTTACCAAAAGTTGGAATGTAGTCACTAAAATTGTAAAATTCCTGGAATTGTAGTCACTTGTTTGGGTTTTTGGTAGACAAAAAGTGTGGACTTTTTTCTGGCTCCACTCAGGAAGCGAAGGTTGGCTGAATGGGTGTGCCTTTGTTTTTTGGGAGTTGGTGCCCTTCTTGTTTGGTAGGTGTTGAAGGGGCACCAACAGGACAACCACCAATTTCGGGGGTCCAACCTTGAAAACAAATCACACGCAAATACTCAATTTTTGCAATGGCCGAGAGCCGAAATGCCCAATTGCCCGAACGTGACTTGTTAAACCTTTTGCGTTCCGGTTGGATCTTTGTTTTGCCTGAGTTGGGGTCCCCAAATGTGGATCTGTTGAATCCAAGGCCTTTCAGATGAGTCCATTTCGAATATGTGCTTGCACAACACTTGCCAGCTGCATCGATGCATTTCTGAAGGCACAGACCTCAAACCATGGTCTTGAGCCCCCAGTAGTGCCCCTTCTCACCCCTTTTTTGGTTGGGAGGGTTCCCTACTAAAATAGACTACAGAAAAAAATCGGGTACCAACTTATTCTAATCTCTCAAATCTGGAGGACCTAGATGGTCTTGAGCCCTTTCCCTTGTGGTGGAACCCAGCACAAATTCTCCTTTGAGGCAAATTGCTGTTTCCCCTGCCTCCCACGAACATAGCAGCTGACAGGCTCCAAGAGGAAACGCATCTTCCAGCCCTCCCATAGATGCTTTAGTGGGAGAAAGGGTCGCTCTATGCTTGCTTGATTGCTATTTGGGGAACGGATCTTTGGACTGGAAGACTTTTGGGTTGAAATCAAGTTGGTTTTCCGAATCGAGCCCACACAAAGTGATCCACTTTTGAGGAGGTCGTTGCAGCCACCAATATTTTTTGAGTGTTTCTCAAAATGGGTGTCGGACCCCCCCCTTTGGTTGGCTGTTTTTCAGGGAGACCAAAAGGAAACCAGCCAGGCGGTATTTAGAAAATTCGGGGCACGTTCCACGCGCAGGCGCCGGAGCAAATGCTTGCGGATGGCTTGGAGAAGCTGCAGATACCCACGGATGAGGAAGCCAGGGCGCCCAGGAGACTCGAGTGAGACTCACGTGGCCTCGCGCCGTTTTTGTCTTCTTCTTTTTTCACAATACCATATATATATATATACTCTAGGTCCCCCAGCTAGGTGCCGTTTCTCACCTTTTTTTTGGTTGGGAGGGTGCCCCTAAAATAGACTACAGAATTGGGCACCCTTACGCTAACCTCTCAAATCTGGAGGACCTAGTCATTTGTACCCAGCCATCATGTCACAAGGAAACTGCCTTTGGGTACCCCTTCTGATCCCAGTGAAGCAGGAGGTCAAGTTGGCCCCAATTTCATCTCACAGGCGCCGTCCAGGAACTCAAAGCAATCCTGGTTTTTTGTTGCAGCCCCCGAGTTGACATGAACCTAAAAGCATGCCAACCACGGCGAAGTTTCCCTCTGACACCACAAAAAAAAAGAAAAAGAAGATACCCTGCAAAAAACGAATCCTACCAGCTGAGATCCTCAGCCTCAGCTTTTGTCGATTCCCAAGCCTAGAATGATACGTTGGCCTATGGCTAGGGACCTCTCAAACATCAAAACTCGGGGATTCGGGTCCCACTGTTTGGACTTAGCTGGTTCCCACCTTAAAATAGTATCACTCAGTTGCCCAGTTGTGACCAACAAGTAAGAAAGGGCCATCACCATACCATGTCCGAACCTGGTAAACGAGACGTTTCAGCTCTTTTGATTAGATTGCATTGGGATTGCGCGCCTGTGGGTTGTACTTTTTGGGACGACCATTGTCCTGTGTCAAATGGACTTTTCAAGGCGAATCTGAAGCTTGTAGTTCTGGGTCCCTTGGGCAACTGAGATTGCCGGTTCGATTTGGTGGGTTCGGTTCCCCCAAAGAATGTCGTGCAATCTTTTAGTTTGGAGCCTCCCGTCCGAGCGCTGGCCTTCTTGCTGGTTCTTGAGGGATTTCAAGGCTTTTGGAAATGTACCGGAAGGGGATTCCAGCACAGGACGCACGTTGGGTGGTTCAGTTTGGGGCCATTCCATTCGTCCTGAGAGCTCGTTTCCTTCCAAGGCTCATTCTTTGACTCGCAAGCCTCTTGTTTCACCACGAAACATGGTCACCACAAAGACAATTCGCATGGTTTTCACTAGTCCTCGCCTTTTGTCAAAAATAATGCGTCAGAACTTGGTCAAGACCAGTCCCCTTCTTCCTGCACGGCCTTAAAAAAACAATCCGTCAGGCCTTGGTCCCTTTCTTCCGCGCTTGCGACTTTGTCTTAGGCCTGGGACCCCACTTGGCTGATGCCAAGTGCCGTCAACTCCACCCCGCGCACCCCGCGCGCGCCCGGCGCCGCCACCCCCGGAGCCGGCGCCGGCGCCGGCACGCCGGGCGCCGCGTCGCCGCATCTGACGGCGGCGGACTTGGCGCGGCTGGGGGGGGAAGGCACCCCGCGGCTTGGCGGGGAGGCGGGGCCTTGCCGGGGCCTTTGGGAGGAGTGTGCAGGGCATTGCGTGGGGTCAGGTCTAGTAGATTATAATCCTGGTCAAACAGTTAGGGGGGAGAAACTCCAGGTATTAATTGCCATGGCTATAACCTTACCTAGGTCCCCCCACCTATAGGTGCCCTTTCTCACCCCTGTTTTGGTTGCGAGGGTTCTCACCCCTAAGTTGGGGGGGAGAAACTCCAGGTATTACCATGCCTCAAGGCAGAGGATTCCGAAAGATTCCACACGGCGGCTTGGAGCCCAGGGGTGTGGATTTGGATTTGAAGCCCTTGGTGTTGTAGAGGCTAGGTCCCCCAGCTAGGTGCCCACGACCTCTCACCCCTTGGTTTGTTTGGGAGGGATGCCCTGGTCTAAAATAAACCACAGAAAAATAGTGGGTGCCCTTATTCTAACCTCTCTACTGGAGGACCTAGTCAAGGCACGGGTGGCACGGGTGCTGGGTGCATCATTTTTTTCTCGTAGAACTCGCTTCCTTTGGACTTCAGATTTGACATTTTTGGGCCGTTAAGTTGTACGTTGAAGTTTGGGGCCCAAGCAATCGTGGTGCACGTCGCCATAAAAACGGGGCACCGAGCCTTGAACAATTCGCCCAAATGGCTGGCCCTAGTTGCAAGGTTGGGGGGGGCGGGGAACAGATGGGGGAAATGAGGGTTACAGCTCTTTCTTTTTGGGGGGGTATTTAGGGTTTAGTAGTAGTGTCCATTTAACCCATGAGCAATCAAATTTAAGCAGGGCATCTGTGTCCCAAACGGAGGACCTGAGTCATGAGCTTGTCCAAACCACGGCCGGGGTGCTTTTTTTTGCGGGAAGCCAACAGGAAAACCGCGTACCATTTTGTTGGTTTACCCGAATCATTTGTGTCCTTTCGAAAAATCGGTTTGGCGATTTCTGGTTTACCTGGTGGTGGAAAAAACATCTACCGCCATCGAACGCCCATGCCTAAGAGGGGCAGTGCAAGGGGTTGGTAGCTGAGAGCCCGTTTTGGGGTTAGGCCTGTTTAGTGCTTCTATGGAACCTTCCCTTGGACCTTTCCTTGCTGGTGCGATAAGTAGGGAATGAGAAAATGAATGAACCCAGGAAAGACCTTAAAGGAAACGACCAGTTTTGTTTCCCCCCCGGGGTCATTTCATTTCTGATTCCCTGCTTATCGCGCCAGCAATATGCCTTGGGCATCTTCCGTCCAGCTCCGAAAAGGCGCAGTTCCGGCAGGCTCTGCGGCCTTAAATTTATTTGAGGCCATTTCTGGGTCGATTTTAGGGTGTTGCCGATGCACAGTTTTTTGATTGTGGTGGGGTTGCTAGAGCAAGCCTTACGGGGCTCCACAACACGTGAGGCACAATCAAGACCGAGGTAGATGAAGCTTAGTAAGGGCCAATTTTAACCATAAATAGCTGCGGCCGCCTTGTTCACTCTTTACATGGTTCTGGGTAGACCATTTTAACACCGGGTGTTGATTGTGACTCATATGAAGCAACCGCAGTTCAGTAATAGGTGTTCTCCTCCAAAAGAGGTCTGAATCCCCACTAAACCCAGGCACACCCCTCCATATTAACAAGCTGAGGTTGATTAAGGAGCCGTGTTTCTGAGGGTTCCTCAAAGCCTTGGACCACCCCCTCATGGACGCAACCGCTTGGCCGCCCTGGGAGGCGACCCCTGCCAGCTCCATCGTGAGCTCGGCGCGGCGGCGGCGCCAGCCGCGGCTCCCGGCGGAGGTCACGGCAGGCGGGGCGTCGGCTTGGTGGCCACGGCACTTGGGAACTACTCACTTGCCCGAAGACGACCTTTTGACCTTTTGGTTTCCCCTTTTTGGTTCACTTTTAGTCATGGCCCCAAAAGGTTAACCTTTCATTTCTGGGTCCTTTGGGCAATTGTTAACCTTTTTTCCCTAGCAGCCGCCCCCTTCCGCCTTCCTGTGAGTTGGAATCCCAAACTTGCTCCCTTCACTGCCCAGAGTACCTGGGTGTTCGACCAACTTAGTAGCTAGGTCCTCCAGTAGAGAGGTTAAAACAAGGGTACCCGCTTGTTTTTTAAGTCTATTTTGGTAGGGGAACCCTCCCAACCAAAAAAGGGGTGAGAAAGGGCACCTAGGTGGGGGACCTAGGTAAGTAGGTTATAGCCATGGGAATACCTGGAGTTACGCCCCCTAACTTACAACCAGGAGTATAATCTACCAAGACATGCCGCTTTAGACATGACCCCACGCAACGTCTTGCAGACTAACCCATCACCAAAAGCCCGCGCTCTCTTTCCAATCGTGGAAGCAAATAGGCAGTTCACCAGACGGGCCAAGCCCTCCATGCGGTTTTGGGAGCACCCGACGCCAGAAATTAAATTGCAGCACCCACTCAAAACGGACAGAACCAACCAACTGAAAGACTCAAGCATGCCAAGTTGACACTGAGGGATATTCAACAAGGAAGCTAGGCAAAACAAAAATGCTAAAAATGCCAGCGGATGAGTGTGTAATCTTCTTGAATGTCCTGGAGCTGGCTGCTGGGTACGAATTGGAGGGTCTGGACATATGTCTTTTCAACCAGAAAACTATTTCCATCAACTTTACTTCCCTGAAGAAAAAAAAAACGGGGGGAGAAAAAAAAAACGTCCTACTCAGAAGCCCAACACGTTCATTTATGTTTGGCATTTTAGTGGGCAAGTGCTTAGACTTACTTCCCCGACAAGTTGACGAAGATCCAACCCGCTAGGATGCCAATAAGGGAACTCACTAAAATGATAAGAGTTCCCATGCTCATGTTTGGGCCCCATAGTCCGGAGTGGAGTCCTGATCCCAAGATCTCAACATCTAGGGGTTGATTCCCCATTCTTTTCAAGAACCGGCTGTTTCCCCTAGGTGTTTCATGGTTTCCTGAAAGGAAGGATCCCTGGAAATAATGGGAATGGAAGGTACCCCTAGAAAAAAGCTAAGTTGAACCGGATGGCTGGGAGCCACCAAGCCAGTATAGGTTCTCCAGTAGAGGTTAAAATTAAGGGTAGCAACTGTTTTTCTTTTGTTTTTCCTCTGTAGTCTGTGTTAGTGGGGGAACCCTCCCTTTTCCAAAAAAGGGGTAAAAGAGTGGGCACCTAGCTGGGGGCCTAGCAACTAAAAGATCTAAAAGTTAAGTTGAACCGGATGGCTGGGCTTGCCACTAAGCCAGTAGTCTCAGACTGGGGTTCGGGAGTGTTATGCGATCCGCATGTCGCAAATGATAGAAGTTGAGGACATCTCAGAAATATATATTTATTTGAAAAGGGGGGTCCACCGAAAAGTACAGTTTAGGTTTTTTTCAGGGATGAGATCCGAAGAAGCATATTTATATGTATATATGTCCAGTTATATGATATGTCTGTTTCTTAGTGAAATGCAAAGGCAGACCAAGTGGGGGCAAAGAGAGACGTGGTTCGTGCCAGGCTAGACTTGCGGGCCATCCAGGCCTGATGTGGGACGCAGGTCCTGAATGCTCACAAGCCTCGCAAGCAAATGAAAAGCTGCCTGCTGGGCATGGTGTGCCTGTGTGGCCGCACAAAATTGGATGCCCAAGTTGTGACTAGATTCCAACGTGCCCTCCTTACTTACATCACTCACATTTTAGCCACGCAACATAATCTGAACATGTAGGCCAGATAAAAGCTGGCAGTGAATGCAAAGCTGGTCTTGGGTGGGTGTCAGGGCTCGCATAGGTGTCCTTTCTTTGGGGGGGGGTAGTGTGGCTAGAAATAGATGGCACAGGTTTAGACTGGTTGCATTCTATTTACCAGGTCCATCTATCGGTCCATCCATTTTTCCAGAAGGTCGCCTATGGTCAGGAGATGCGAATGGTCGAGAATTGCCTCTTGCTCGAGATCCCGAAAAAATGGTGCTTGCGGTCTCCAAATACCTTCCAAAAACGGATGTTTATGCGGGTTCTCCTTCAGCCTTGCCAAAAAACCACACCCAACACCCCTGCGTCGGGCTTTCCTTTGGGTTTTCTTGGATGTCCATTTGGGTTCAAAAAACAACATCCTCGGTGTTCCTTCAGTCTTCTTCGGTCTTGCCGAAAAACCACATCCTCAAGGGAGGGAAACGGTTGCTGGCATGCCTCTGCACGGCTCAAGCCTCGACCCTCAGCCCTTCAGCGCGTTCTTCGCGGGGGCCTCACTTAGTTTCAATGGGACCAGACCTAGGTCCCCCAGCTAGGTGGCCTTTCTCACCCCTTTGTTGGAAAAGGGAGGGTTCCGAACCCCTTCTAATCTCTCGAATCTGGAGGACCTAGAAACTCGGCTTCGGAATGTCGGACCATGGCGGAGCCGCCTGAGATTGTCCAACCAATCTTGGGGTTGACGTCTTGAGGAAGGCATATATGTTCCGCCAAAAAAAGACTCGGGTCCGTATCAGCTGGGTGCGACCGACTTTCTGGGTCCCAAGGCGGGCCGGTATACAGCAAGCCAGTTGGACAACGGTGGTCAAACCACCCTGGTCCACTTGCAGGTGGTCACATCTGAATTTATCTCAGACGAGCGTAGGGCAAGTAGGTGACAACCATGCAACTCTGGTTAAACTTGGGTGACACCCAAGTATATTTTTTCTTGGTGGTTAGCGGCTCTCTCGCTGTCCAATCACGAGTATTTGGCTCACGTCCCGTTTGGCGTGGCACTTTGGGCAGTCATACTGTTGCGATTTCATGCCTGCCACGTCTTTCAGAAATCCCCAGAACTTGCTTCCCCAATGTTGGCCCCTGATTGACCCCTGATTCACAACCCCCCCCCCCCCCCCAAGCTATTACTCAGGGGGGCTCCCCCTTTAGTGGGGATTCCTTTCCATGAAAGCCACCTGATTGATGACAAGCGGGCTTATTAATCAGGGTTCAACATTAGTGCGTGGCCCGTCAGATGCGGCGGTTCGGACTCCGCAGTTGTTCTTGCTGAACAGCTGAAAGCGTTCTTTTGGTCTCTGCCCACATCTGGATTGCTATTGTGTTGGATCTTTAGGCTGGGAAACTGTTGGGAAAATAGTGTTTTCCATTGAGCCCACAAACGTTCTCACTTATTGCAGAGGGGTCGTTGCAGCAACCAGGACAAGCTCTGCAATGTTTTGGAGCAGCTCTCAGGGAGGTTCGCTCATTTTTCCAGGGGTACCTTCCATTTCCATTCTTTCCAGGGATCCGAATCTTTCTAGAAAACCTCCTTTGAAACCGAGGGTTTGAAAACGGATCCAGTTTTTGGAAAGAACAATGGACTTGGAAAGAATGGAAAAGGAATCAAGCCCTAGATGTTTTGCGCGCTGAGGTGCTGTTCCACTCTTGTTGTTTGCTCACTTCCTACTTCGGCATCATGGGCAGGACGCCCAGCAATCTTCGGCTGCCAGGTCCAGATTTGAGCACCCCAAAACCCCCTGTTGGCCATTCTAGTCGAGGGGTCTTTCTGGTTGTTTGGGATTCTGCTATTGTTAGATGTTTGTTGGAAGAACCAAAGGTCAATTTGCTTTTGAGAACCGAAGTGCAGCTGCCTCCGTTTGAAATGAGAAGCTTTCCGCAACCACTCGCCCTCCCCAGTAAAAAAAAAATCTGGGGTTCGGGTGCAGGCATGCGCCACTGTGATGTATGGCAGGGGAAAGCATAATGCTGACCAAGGGTTCCCTGACCTGACCTTCCCACAAGGTTCCCCTTCTCAAAATTGGGGGGGGGGCCGTCAAACAAATGACAGACCTGACCTTGTGACCTTGAGGGGGGGTTAATCCGGGGTATGCATTTTTCCACACGTAAGGGTTCCTCTTTGGAAGAACGCAACTCTTAAAAACCACTTTGCCCATGCGCCCTTTGTGGCAATAAAAACACACACTTTTCCCCAAAGCAGGGGACCTTTCCCATACATTATCCTTCGTGGGAACGAGGAAAATCATGAGAAGTCCCCCCCCCACCCCCACCCCACCCACCCCACCCCACCCCACCCCACCCCACCCCACCCCACCCCACCCCACCCCACCCCACCCCGCCCCGCCCCGCCCCACCCCACTCGTCAGTTTTGTCAGTTGGGTTCGCGATGTACTGTAGTGATGCTTTTCCCCAGCTCCATGGATCCTGCCTGGAATACTTGATCATTTCTCGCGCCCTCCCTACCATCTTGATTAGGCAAGAAAACCGGCGTCGCCTACTACATGGTCTGCACCCTTGCCATGGTAGGCGCTTTGCCCGCAGCCGGGCCAGCCTGATATTTTCAGCAAAGCTACCAGTCGGTGTAGACTATGGGGACTGGAAATAGCCCAGAATCGGAGCATGGTTTTGCTTCGGCCCTGGATTTGGGCCCAGCATCTTGACTTTGCCCAGCCCCCAAAAACACACCTGACAGGTAACATGGACCCTCGGGCCCTCGGGGTTCGGGGTTCCATGTTTGCTTGATGAACATGTCTCTCTAAGAAGGCCTTTTAAATTAGACATGTTCCGAAGCAAGGTATCTTGCTCATTCAATTTGTCCAACCCATATAATACTGGCATGTGATTTTGTAAGCTGCGCCAGGTTTAGTCGTTTGGCTGCTCTAGTGGCTGTTGACTCTCTCCAAAAGATATGCGGAAAGGTTCTGAAAAAGCGGTCGGGGTTGACCAAATAGAAGGGCTCCTGCTCAGCCTCTGTTCGCGGGAGGGGCCAAGGACATTTACTTCCATTTGCCTGAGAATATGTCGTTTTTCCCGTTGTTGGTTTTGAAGGGAATCCATCACTGGTGGATTCTTTACATGTTGTTTTGTCAGGGGCTTGAGCAACTGGAAGTTTGGAAGGCCATTTGCTATCTGTCTTTCAGAGAGCCAGGGAACCTTGACTTGACCAGGCGGTTTGGGTCAGACGCTTCCCTCACATCGCGTGCCGGCAAAGCGCACTTCTGTCGCTTGTTTTACTTTCTAGGGCACGTCATATGATTGAAGTTGAACTGCGCGAGCACGGTTAAGTTCATGTCCTGTTGTTGTCCAATCATGTCTGGCCGTCAACTGATCCCTTCCCAATACGCTGCACCATTCCCCCCAAAAAAATCGGCACAGTTTGGGGCGGCGGTACACGAATGATTCGCACGATCCCAGTTGGTAGAGCACCACAAGCTGCCCAGAAGCGGATTTCGCACGTCTTTGAACTCCGGTCTTCGCTTTCCACGCGATATGCTACGACTTGTTGGCTGTGGTGGTCAAAACCAATAAGATACCATTTTGGGGTAGCTGCACCACCCAGTTGAGTCTATTTTAGTGGGGATTGGGATGTTCACTAGGAGTACGGGATTTTGACCCATGGCCGTTTATTGACAAACCGAAGGAGGGTCATGTAGCATCCATTTGGAGCCGATATCAGCAGGTCTCCCATGCGTTGCTTCTCTTAGTGCTAGGCGCCAAGGGTCCAAGCGACGCAGACAGTTGGACATTAACCAAGTGGTCTTCAGGGTCGGTTTTGGCCCTCAGTCCTTTCGGCTCGATTCGGAAGCGTCTCTGACTAGGTCCCCAGAAGTGCGCTTCTACCCTTTCTTTGAGGGAGGGTTCCCCTACTAAAATAGACTACAGAAAAACGGGTACCCTTATTCTAAGCTCTCCACTGGAGGACGCCCCCCTTTTCCCATGGCCGCTGCAAGTCCGAGAACCCGAAGAAAAATCAACATGGAAAGTGAATATTTTGCAGTAGTGATCGATTCCTTTTAAAACCAACCGGGGAAAATCAAAACGTACTCTTAAATAAATGGAAGAAGCAAGCCAGCGTTTTTTTTCTTCTTTTTTTTTTTCTGAGTGAGAGGTCAGCTGATCGCCGCCTTTGTGCGCTGGCACGCGCTCCATGTGAACGTGGGCCCCGTGACGTTGCTGAAAGCCAACACCGGGCTCCTGTACACCTACGTGGAGTACGGACCGACCTGCCGAATGGGTACCCGCTTTTGAAGCATCTTTTGCCTGGTTTTTCCATGGTTGTCGTTGGGAAACATTGTTTTTTTTTTTTTTTTTTTTTTTTTTCATTTTTGCTTATTGTGGTTTAGTGGTTGAAACCCAACCACTTAGCTGCTATTTTTTTAATATAATTTTTCCTCCCCAAACCCAACGTCAACCAAGCAGCCATTGGTGCCCGACCTCTCACCCCTTTTTTGGGGGGAGGGTTCCCCTACTAAAATAGACAAAAAAAGAACAAACACCAACGTCAACCAAGTATTTCGGAAGCCGAACCAGAATTGCCGGCATGTCGGGTCCAAGCCCAGCCGCCTTTTTTCCGGGCCCAAACGAAAGTACCGTGGACGGACCGAGTTGCGGAATGTTATGCTTGACTGCTATCAACCAATCTTTAGACTTTCACTTTTTGGTTGAAATCAAGTGGTGTTTTCCGTACTAAACCCCCAAAAAGTTAAACTTTTTGCAGGGGGTCGTTGCAGCAACCAAGTATGGAGTGGTTCAGGCAGGGTCTGAGGGACGGTCAAGGCGAACCCTAAGGAAGCCTAAGGAACGCAACTTGTCAGGAACCCAGCTAAGGGGCTAAGGCTCTCAACTACCTAGATTTCCTCGTACCTGCCCCCCTTGGGATTCCGTAATTTGTGTGTACTTTTGCCTAGTTTCAATAGGACGCCAACAGGCAAAACCATGATGGGCCCCTATTATTGAACTGGGTATCCAGCTGGGGGCAATGACGCATGCCTACACAACCCCTATGGCTTTCAGTCAAGTTTGATTTTGGAAGTGCAAGAAGTTCCAGCATGTTTCCATGGCAGGCGATTGCATGTTTGCGTTCGTGGTTTCTGGGCGGGTGTTTACGAAGTCGGGTTTGGTTTCTTGACTGCTATTGGGTTGGATCTTTTGGTTTAAATCATTTGGCGTTTTCCGTACTAAACCCCCCAAACAGTTCCAAACTTTTTGCAGGGGTGTCGTTGCAGCAACCAAAGGTTTCGCAGGCGTTCCTCGATCCGGTTGCTCCCGCGCAGCGAATCGACCGATCTTGCGATCTTGGCACGGCCCTTAACGGAGCCTTGTTGAAAGGCCACTAGGTCCCCCAGCCATGGTCGTTGTTGGGAAACATTGTAATGTTGACCCAGGATTAATAAACCCCTCCCATTATTAGGGGGGTGTTCCCTCCAAAAGTGATGAATCCCCACTAAAAGGGGACACCCCCCTATTAATCAACCAGAGGCTTAAAAAATCCGGGGTTAACATTACATTCCTTTGGTGCATTTTGCTTGGCTGTTAGGACTTTAACTTTTTGCCAACTAATGGGTTTTCCACTTAACCACTAAAAGTTAAACTTTTGGCAGGGGAGCAGAAAGCAACCGAGATTCTTGCTTACTGTGGTTTAGTGGTTGAAATCCAACCACTTAACAGCTAAAATGTAAATTGTTGCTCCCCTTCCAACGTCAACCAAGCAATTGGTGCCCGACCTCTCACCCCTTGTTTGGGGGGAGGGTTCCCCCTACTAAGACAAAAACGAACAAAAACCAACGTCAGGCAAGTAGGTTACTAGGTCCCCCAGCAATTGGTGCCCTTTCTTTTGCGCTTCTTTGGTTGGGGAGGGTTTTCCTTAAATGGACACAACAAAGTGGGTACCAACTTATTCTAACCTCTCTACTGGTGGACCTGGTGTATGTTTTGGTTTCTGACTTCCCCCTGTTGGTTTACAGCGGAACTATGACTACTCGAAATACCTGGCCCGGAAGGTGGGTCAAACATTTTGGTCGTTGACAAAAAACACAAGTTGTTTTTTGTCGTTGGCGTGCAAAAGAGCCTCTAGGGAAAACAAAAAGGCCGGCGGTCATATATTAGTTTGTGCCGCGGTCGGGAGTTTTCGCCTGTTGGTCGGGAATGTTCGCTTGGTCGGGGATCTTCGCCTGCAGTTTCGGGGAGATTGCTCTTAACACCCGAATTGAACAAAAATAGGCCGCAGGCAAAATTTACACGCAGTTGCCCAAAAGGCAATTCGTAGCGAACAGGTGGAATTTTGAGCATGCAGGAAGGTCCAGGTATGGTTTATATTCTGCAGGGGATGCATTCGCAAATGGAGGGCTTTAAATGTTTCACTGCGCTCAGGCTGCATCCATGAAATGGTCTACCCATGGTGCAGCCACCTCTTTACTTCCTTACATGGTTCTGGGTAGACCATTTAATTGCCAGGTGTTGATTGTGACTCACCTTTAATAAGCCTCCATACCCAGGCTGGTAGATCCAAAGGTCAACATGTTTGGGGCTCATAGGCACCTGCTGGTGTTTGGTTGCATCTTCAAGCATTCGTGTGATGCGCTGTCGGCAGGTTGCACATGGTTCTGGTTGCAAGCGACGTTGCGACCTCACTTTGGGAATTCTGGCTTAACCAACCTTGATGAAGGCCCGTTTTTTTCTCCAGATGTGTGAGCCGCAAGACATGTTCCACAAATGGGTCTGCCTTTTTTTAGGGGTCCCCGAAAAATGGTTGCTTTTCTCCTCAAAAACCAACCAAGCAAGGGTACCCCAAAAAAGACACACCCATAGTGATGTGCAAAGATATTGTTTTGTTGAACCAGTGTATTTTCTGCCCCTCTGTTGGGGAATCTCCATCCTGGATGGTTCAGGATGGAGATTTGACCTACTGGGGGAAAGTTGGCGCAACTTCCCATGAGTTTTATGGCGGGAATAATCGTGGCATCTACTTTCATCTTGGCATATATGTGTTTTGCTTTTTGAGGGCACCCCCTTTCTTGTTGGTTTCAAATGCAAGCCAAAGGGACAACCATCATGTTGGGGGATCCCCAAACAGAGACCCATGTACATAGATGATTGTTTGTATGCCCGGCAGGACTTGTCTTCTTCTGCGGGCTTCCCGGTTGCACATCAAAGGCCAAGCGCCTTTGATCTTGGCACCGTCGCGATCCTCCGGTCAACAGTGACTTCCAGCATCCAGTCAACAAAACACCCCGGGCTGAGCGGTTCAACTTGCTTTTTCTCAAGGTGATGCGTTGAGCGTTGCAGCGACGTTGGCTTTGGGCCGCAGTTGTGTGTAAAAGCGCGCTGGCTGAGTGCCTAAAACCTTTGGAAGGTCATGTTCACGTCTCGTTTTGGACTTGTGCAATTGTGTTTTGCGCAAACGGACGGGGGGGGGGGGGGGGGGGGGTAGTAGGGGAGTGCTTCGCGGTGAACAAATCGGGACCTTCACTCCTGGTTAATTCGTAGGGCGTTCCACGTGCAAAAAATCCACAGTGTTTTCCCCAGGGCAATAATGTTGTCAAGAAAACCGTCTAGCCACCCTGAGAAAACTTCAGTTTGTATTTAAGTGCTTGCGCCGGCATAGGCATCTGGTGATTCGCCCTGAGCGGGGGCAGTTGGTCCCAAGCCCAATCTGAAAACACTTGCGAACCGGCAGTGTGCCCGTTGCGGTTAGCAACCCGTAGCGAAACCGTGGAAAACCCGTGATGTGGGCTTTCTTTGGGGTGTTTCAGGGTGCCCCATCTTGCCCACGATTTTTCTTCGGGTTTTTCAGGGTGCCCCATCCTGCCTCCGATTTGTGTGTTTGCCCTTTGTGGCAATGACCCAGAGGGTCAATGGAAAACCCCTCCTTCGCCACCTAACCATCAATTGGAGGGAAGCTGAAATGTTCTTTGGGGTCAACAGCGCAGTTAGTATGTAAATTGCAGGATTGCAATCAGATCTCCCGGGTTTCTCCAACCGCAACCGAAAGAAGATGGGCATCTTCGTCCATCCTATTTCACATGTCTTCGCAATACTTCCAGCGATGGGCCACTTCAATTGATCTTGGCTTTCGTCCAGCACTGTGGCGGTTGCATGTGTTTTTTCCCCATCTCAACAAGCCAGTTTTGGGGGCATTTGCAGGTATGGGTTTTGATGGATGTGCGGCGGTACCCCTTGTATCAATGACAAGTAATGGTATGTAAGCTTCATACCTCCTAAACCTGGGACTGCCCATCACCAGGTGCTTTGGCATGGATTTTTCCCTCGGCCCTGGGATGGCTGAGGTTTATGAACAAATGGGACAAGTGCCGGGACATGAGGGACGGCGGCTTTGGCAGCAAAGGCTTTCCGGGAGCCTTTGGCTCCCAAAGGGAAACCCAAAGAGAAGCCACCTCTCAATTCACAGGGCCCTGGCCATGCGGGATGCTGGGCTTATGAGTTTGACGGTTTTCGGAGAGTGTCAAAGTTAGGAAGTGGTTGGTTGTTTTCTTTGAACCCATTGAACGGACATGACTTTGGAAACACAAACAGCGGGCCCAGAGTTAAACAGTCCAAACCGGATCGCCCTGGCATACCTCTTGGATTTCTGATTGTGGGCAAGTTTTAGTCAAGTCCCAACGCGTGTTTCCATTTATTTCCATGTCCTTTGGTTAAGTGAGCACAAGCTCCGCTGTTTTGGGAAGACAAACGGCTGCTGCGTTTGCAGACGTGACCAATCCGCCAGCATCGCAAAGTATTTTTGGTATCCCCCTGGAAATGTCCCCTCACAGAATGGGAGGGGTTGACCTCCCTATAACCTTTGGTGCATTTTGCTTGGCTGTTAGGACTTGATAACTTTTTGCCAACTAATGGGTTTTCCACTAAACCACTAAAAGTTACACTTTTAGCAGGGGAGCAGAAAGCAGCCGAGTAACTGTCCTTAGAACAAAAACGAAAGGGGGATTTCCATGTTGGCGCCTCAGGGCCATAGGCAAGGCTCTCAGAGGAAGCAACTGAGGGTTGTCGATAATCAGAGGTTGACCAGTCTTATTCGGGTTTCGCCAGGGCCATGCAAGAGGAAAACCATGGCGTAAGGGAACAACCCACGAACATATCTGGCGGCCCGACAAAACCGAACCGGGACACCCACCGGTGAAGTCCCAAAAAAGTCACCTTCTATCTTCGGGTCCTCTGGCGTTAAGATACTCCCTTTCCAGCAATGGACATGGACAAGCAGCTTTCCTTTAAGGAAAGTAGTCTTCCAAGAACCTGTCAGCTTCTATTGACTTTCCGGCAACCCAGTTAGATTCCATGGCAACCTGGTAACCTGGACGAAGGGGTAGCGGGGGCCTTTCCGGCGCTTTGGTTTGCAACCTCTGCTGCTTTGTGTTGGGGTTGCGTATGAACCAGCGGCCCGGATTCACAAGGCTAGCTTGCTTGTTTTTGTTTTGCTCTCTTTCTCTCTCTTGAGAGGTGGGCCGATGAAAAAAAATAAGCTGCCACAAAACAAGAAAACTCGGTTGTTGAAAACCAGACTTTTCACCTTTTGGTTATTGGTTTTGGAATATGTTTAGTTATGGCCCCAAAAGGTGATCGATCGCCTTTACTTTGGGGCATTTTGCCCCGGGCTGTTAGGACTTTAACTTTTTGCCAACTGATGGGTTTTCCGTATTAAACCACTAAAAGTTAAGCTTTCAGCAGGGGAGCAGAAAGCAACTGAGTTTAAATTCTGGGTCCTGGAAGAAGTCCACGGTCAGCAAAATGCGCAGCTTGAGGCATGTGGCTGCAAGAGGTCGCATCGGAAGTGCGGCTTGGCATGGGAAAAAGGCAACTTTGGGATCCTGTCATTCAAAGGAGCTGTGGCAGGAAATAAGGATGGATGGACGAAATCCGCTTCTCGCACCACCCAAGAAACCCTGGAATGATTCGATTCCCCTGTAAATACCTGCAAACAGTGGTGTCTCATGGATTCAAAGTGGTGCTGGATTTCATCCACCTGCTGTAAGGATGTGGAATTCGGGGTTTTGGAATGTGAGTGGCTGGAGCAGGCGCCTAATGGGAAAGGCGTCATTGTTGCGAGCTACCAAGGCTTGTCAAACATGGCAATGGTAGTTCGAGTGCATCCTAGTCCGTGAGCAGTTTTGCTGATTGTGTGTGTAATGGACTGCATTTTCATGACTCGCGGCCATGCTGCCACACGCAGGGGCGAGGGTAGCCGTGAAGCAGTTCCAAGCTCATTAAAAGGCAAAGCTGCCACAAGCTTGCCTAACCCTCAATAGACACAAATATTTCGCTGGTTGTAATTAAAAGGCCGTTCTAATTATACCGCTCCTTACTGTGTGTGTAGGTGTGTGCTAGCATGGTGCGTAGGTGTGTATGTCTGTAGGTGTGTGCGTGTCTGTAGGTGTGTGTAGGTGTAGGTGTGCGTGTGTAGGTGGTGTGTGTGTGTGTAGGTGTGTAGGTACTTGTGTGTGTGTGTGTGCATGTGTAGGTGTGTGCGTGTGTAGGTGTGTGCGTGTGTGTGTGTGTGTGTTGTGTGTGTGTGTGTATGTGTGTGCGTAGGTATGTAGGTGTGTGTGTGTGTGTGCATGTGTAGGTGTCTGTGCAGGTGTCAGTGTAGGTGTGTGTGTGTGTGTGGGTGCCTGTGCGTAGGTGTGTGTGTGTGTGTGTGTCAGTGTGTTAGTGTGTCGGTGTGTCAGTGTGTCAACGTGCGTGCGTGCGTGCGTGCGTGCGTGCGTGCGTGCGTGCGTGCGTGCGTGCGTGCGTGCGTGCGTGCGTGTGTACGTGCGTGCGTGCGTGGGTGGGTGTGTGTGTGTGTGTGTGTGTGTGTGTGTGTGTGTGTGTGTGTGTGTGTGTGTGTGTGCGTGCGTGCGTGGGTGGGTGGGTGGGTGGGTGGGTGGGTGTGTGTCTGTCTGTCTGTCTGTCCTGTCTGTCTGTCTGTCTGTCCTGTCTGTCCTGTCTGTCCTGTCTGTCCTGTCTGTCCTGTCTGTCTGTCCTGTCTGTCCTGTCTGTCCTGTCTGTCCTGTCTGTCCTGTCTGTCCTGTCTGTCCTGTCTGTCCTGTCTGTCCTGTCTGTCCTGTCTGTCCTGTCTGTCCTGTCTGTCCTGTCTGTCCTGTCTGTCCTGTCTGTCCTGTCTGTCCTGTCTGTCCTGTCTGTCCTGTCTGTCCTGTCTGTCTGTCTGTCTGTCTGTCTGTGTGTGTGTATGCGCAGGTGTGTGTGTGTGTGTGTGTGTCTCTGTCTGTCTGTCTGTCTGTATCTGCATCTGTATGTGTATGTGTATGTGTATGTGTATGTGTATGTGTATGTGTGTGTGTGTGCGTATGTGTACGTTTATATTCACCATTTGCAATATCGAGAGTCTGCGCCACCTTCCCCCCCCCCCCAAACGTCTCGGGACCAGTTCGTAGTTCGTCTCAGGTGCGTGCCTCTCCTAACCACGGCGGTGCCACAGCCCTGCCACGCCTACAACTCCGCCTACTGGAACGGCCTCGTTTGCGCCTCGAAAAATTGCACGGGTCAAGTTTTCATTTTCTGACATCCCTTCTTCCTTTAACCTGCCAGGTTCCCTCCGATTTGATTTGGACTCGGCCAAACGGTAACATGGAGCTCCGAAAAAGTGTGGACCCCTTCGTTTTTAAGCATGCCAACAGGTAACATGGAGGTCCAAGAAGAAGGTTTGGCAGGTTCCAAGAGCCTGTGTATGCCTGTGTACTTCCATGTTCGTTTGGGCAAATGTGTGAATCTGGAGTTCTGGACACGTCAAACAGCCCCATCCGTAGAACAGGCTCACGAAGGTTCTTATTTGAGTCTTGCATTCCGCTATAGAGTTAGGTGTGTGTGTGTGTGTGTCAAATAGGGGCAGCATGGCAAGGATTTCTTTTTACCCTTTACAACCACCCCCAAAAGGGAGTACCATCTCCAAACACGGACAATTGGATGAACTCCTCATTTCAACCGCTCAGATCGCCTGATTCGATTCCCTTCGCAAATGCTAACACTGGTTCTGGTGTCATTCCCATGGTTTCATTTCGTGCGGTCGGTTCACGGATTTCGACACCGTCCATATTCCTTTCTTTCTGGGGTCCGTAGGTGGTGCTCTGTTGCCCAGTGGGTTGCTTCCTTTTTCAATTACTGTTGGGTCAGGGTTCCGATTCCTTTGCTAGGTCCCCCAGTAGCGCCCTTTGACCTTTTTTTGGGGGAGGTAAATGGACTACCGAACAAAAGGGTACCCTTATTCTAAACCTCTCTACTGGACCTAGTTTAAACTCAACCAGCCCAAAGAGGGTGCCGATGTTTTTCCCATGGAAATCCACTGGACACTGGCTTTCGACAGTGCCCACGGTCTCTAAGGGGGATGCAGCTGGGGGAAAAAGGAGCGAGCGCCATTGGGGATCCGATTCTCAAATCAGCTTTTGGATTTGGAGTGAAATGGATCTCACTAGGGACCGGTATTCACTAAAGTCCCTAAATGGGATGCCTGAGTCAACCAGGGTTTAACACTGATCACATAAGTGTCCTTTTTAGGTGAGTGTGGTTAAAAAATAGAAATCACTGGTTTACATGAGTTTTATTCCATTTACCAGGGCCATCTATTTTTCCAAAGGACACCTATGACTGATCAGGTTACTCTGAAGTTTGGATTGGTGGTTTGGGGATTTTGAGCCCCTGGTTGCAGGGGGGGGGCTGCTCAAAGGGTACACGGGAAACCAATCCCTGACCTAGGCGTCCGGGCGTCATTCCAATGCTTCTGACAGGATTAGAACTGGGAGCTGGAAAGACACGCTGACCCCTGGCCATCCAAATGTAATGCCAGAAGGACTGAGGTTAGAGCATCCTCCCAGCATAGCGATCAAACAGCCTCGAAAATGCACGATTTGCCCACTGCGCACCTTCTGTGCGCGTGCGTGCTCGGCAGATGTGTAGCTTTGCACGCCCAGCTTCAGTTGAAGGGATGATTGAGGCGCGGATTATAAGGACCCAACTCCTGAAGATCAACGTGGAACCCCTTTCAGCCATCATGTCACGAGGAAACTGCCTTTGGGTACCCTTTTGTTATTTTGGCAGGGTATCTTTTTTTGGTGGTTTCAGGGAGAAACTTGACTGACCTTGACTGTTGTTGGCACGTGTTTTAGATTGTTTGGTTCTGTTCATATGTAGTCGGGGTCTGCACTGAAGGTTGTAAGGAAACCGGAAGGAAAGTCACAATGCTGGGGTCTCCCAATCACGACACGCTCCTTTTCGGATTTCAGGACAAATTTGCAGTCATTCCCTCCCGCGAATCGCGCCGGCCGTGAGGCATGTTCGCCATCGCTCTCAACTGGATCCTCATCGTTTGCAGCTGCTGGATGCTCATGATGCACCTTTGCGTTTGGTGCGGTTCTTGCGACACCCTTTGCACTGTTTCGTTTCAATCGGCCTTTGAAGGCTTTGGGTCTCACTCATGACTCATGGAGCTTTCTTTAGGTTGGATCCTCAACCCTGCAAAGCGACCCCCTCAAACCCCAAGCAGGTTTCCTTCCACTGTGGTATATGCTTCAAGGCTGGTCTTGGACAAAGAAACGCACTTCCCCAACACACGCCCCTACTGTGGATCAACAAAAATCCTGCACCAACTATTCGTCCATCCGCAGTATGTTTTGTTTCTTGATCTGTCATTCCCTGAAGTGCGTTTGGGGGGGGGGCATTTTCAGAAGAGGGAAGGAGGTTTCAGTGGGGTACAAGGCTCCGGTTTCCGGCGTGTCAGGTCCTGATGGGTTTGGATCGGCTGGGGGAATGGACAAATCGGGGGGATCTTTCGGGGAGGGCTCAAAAGGAAGAAGTTCCAAGAGGCGCAAGGAAACCCTTTGGACTATGCAGCACCATGTCCCCTCGTTCTTCTCGCTTCTCAAAAACTAATAGCAAATTTAGTCAACTCTTACGGTCGCTCCGTGTCGGTTGTTTGAAGAAAACTGTGCAATCTTGCCCTCTTCCGGGGGGCTCTCTGATTTCCCATGAAGCCAGAACCAAGGGTTAATTCACCCAACTGGGGGCTTATACCAGGCTTCAGGCTTCATATATCAGCGCATACATGCGGCCTTTCAGCAACTCATCCGCGTGACCGGATACGGATCGAGTTCGCCTTTGGTTTTGGTTTTGATTTGGCGACAGGAAACACAGGAAGGTTGTAGGCTCCTTTGCCGGGTGCGTTCAGAAATGGGTATGGGTCAAAATTAAACCATCAGGTTTCAGTCCATGTGTCCATTTTCCAGGGGCCCGACCCACCGCCACATTGGGCGCCCCCTTGTACTGGTTGTCATTTTATCCCTTTTGCTATTGACCTTCCAAAGGTTGTAAAAGCGAATCTATCACTGGAAAAATGATAAATCTTGATTTCCAGAATATATTTGTTTGATAAGTTTGGAATCCATGAAAGCGATTGCCTTCTATCATTTTTCTCCCAGGCGAAAAAAGCGCATGGAGGCACTTTGCCCAGAGATGTCCGGTTCTCTGGGCAAGTCGGAGTCTTTGGCCGGAGTGTGCGAGGAAGGTCCCAGCCCCTCCCCCCCGGTTTGGGTGGGTTGAAAGATCACCTGTTTGGCCCTTGGGCAAGTTTTTTTGGGTGAAGTTGTTTAGGGAACTTGCATGTTCGGCCGGGCTAGAAAGTGGTTGGTCGCCTGGGTCAATAAAAAGCACAAATGACAGGGTTACGTCCACTTAGGGGAAGATATTTGTGGGTCGTGACCCAGGCTGCTGACAACTTGCTAACTTGGTCGAACACCTAAGTAGGAAACCATGAAGTATGACTGAGCCTTTTCACCGTTGGCCACACTCTCAAAACATGTTTTTTGTTGTTTTGCAAAGAATGCCAAACCCAAAAACCGGGTCCAACAGTTCAACAAGAACACTGTCCGCGAGGTACTTCAGCAAGTGCAAGCCGGAGTATCGGCAGTGGTCCTTCTACCTCATCTCCATGGGCACGCACCTCGCCGGCAAAAAAATGTACCCATTGGTGCGACCAAATTTGGGGTCTTCTCCATTTGCTAGGTCCCTCAGTAGTGCCCTTTCTCACCCTTTTTTGTGGGGGACAGTTCCCCTACTAAATAGACTACATAAAAAAAGGGTACCCTTATTCTAACCTCTCTACTGGAGGACCTAGTTTGTGATGACCACGGATTTTAGCCACAGTACCCAACGTTTTTCCTGGGTGGTTGGGTAGTGGAAGCCTGCAATCCAGCGGTTAAGAGAAATACAAGGAGTATACTTCCACCAAAGGGTATACTGTTGACCCCAGATGAATAAACCCATGTTTATTAATGGATTTGTTTCGCCACATGGTATGTTAACCCCACGTTGTTTTTTCTCCTGGACGGGTAGAATTGGTCCTTGAAACCGATTCGACAGGTTCCTGATCTTCAGCGCGCTGATGCTTTGGACCTTGGTGACCTTGCAAGCGCTGGATGACATCATCTCCATGCTGCAGGCTGTTGCTCCGCGCTTGGGTCGCCGTTTGGGTCGTCGTTCGGAGCTTCGGGCGGAGAGTCGCCTTGCTCAACGGGGCGATCGATGCCGTACCGCAGGTAAGTGGTTGAGCCTGGGCATGGTCCAAGTACTAAGTACCCTGCCTTTGAATTTTCTCAGTTGTCCAAAGCGAATCGACCGGATCTGACCTTTTGGTTTTTGCCATGTTCGTCAATTTTCAGTCATGGACCTACCAGATAAACCCCTGTACCCTGGGGAGTCCTTTGGCTAAGTGGTCTTTTTCAGTGCGTTTTCCAGACACGGCTTTTCCATGATACTTCACAAAAGGTCAAGCACGCCCTTTTTGCTCAGGGTGGTTTGGATGAAAATTCGAACCCTCGGTTTTTTTCTGAAGGGTGAAGATAAAACCCATCCCTATCCAAAACACCGGGCTCCAAACTAGGGAAGCTGAGTGAGGGGGTTGCCCATGAAGGTTTCCAAATAGTGGGGCAGTTGAGGGGTTCTCTTGTTTCTTTTGAAGCTGCGAGATTCCCTCCCTCAGTTTTGTTTGTTTTAATCGCAGCGAAAGGACCCTGGGGTGAAAAAAGTAGATAGCACTCTCTCCGTGTATCCGTGTATGCCTGCGTTGGTCAATTTCCTCCCTGAGTTCCGTTTCGGACTTTTTAGTCACTTTTTGTTCTGGATCAAGTGCCAAGCAAACAGTTTGGGGACTTGTTGTTTGCCAACCCAACCATTTGCCCAGATTCTCCCGTAGAAGCACAGAAGTGAAAGCTACATAGCCCTGGATGATGACCAGACCAATGCTCTGGGATGTTATCTTCGATTTGTTAAAGAATCCGTGTTTATTTTCCTCTGTTGGTTTTAAATGGAATCGATCACTACTGGAAATATTTTCGTTTTTTTTCCAGGGGGCGAAAACGCAAATGGATGTTATGAAGAACTCACCATCTGAGTTGTTCAGTGGCACCAATTATTTTTCCCTTTCTTTGGTGGCCCGACTAAAAATGGTCTTCCAACCAAAAAGGGTTCCCTTTATTTCCCAGGCTCACCAAACAAATGGAAGTTGGTTTCCCCTTTTGGGTTCCCATTTTGAGATGGCCTTCAAAGGTTAAGACGTGATTTCTGTGTCATTATCGGGATGTTATGAAGAACTCATCATAGTTTGGTGGACATAGTGCATCATAGGTGTCCTTTTTGGTTGGTTTGATTGGAAAAGGAGGGCCCTGGTTTAGATGGTTTATTCCACTTACCAGGGCCATCTATTTCTCCCAAACGGCCACCTATGCTCAACATAGTTTGGTGGACACTGGCGGTCTGGGAGGTCCACTACGAGATGACGGGGGCCTTCCGGCGGCACATTTCGGAGTCAAATTCCGGGCTTGGTGCGGAAGCGGGCGGAGGCGGCAAGTTGGTTAAACATTCAAGCCACTTTAGCAGGGGATCCGAGGACCGCCAAGTTCAAGACATGACAAAGGAATCAACTTGTCTGGGGTCCCACCTAATGTTTTTTAGTGGGTGAAAGGTGGTCGGGTTTCCATTTGCAGTTAAACTTTTTGGGCAGGGATCAGAAAACATAATTTTCACGGAATCAGCCCCCTCAAAAGTGGAGAGATGTCCCTGTGTGAACGAGATGCTCGGCCCAAACTTACGAGAACGAGGCATAACATTGCAGAACACGATCGATGAAACGAGATCGTGTTTGAGTTACTACTAGGTTTCCGAGTAGTGCCCTTTTACCCTTTTTTGGGGGAGGGTTCCCTACTAAAATAGACTACAGAAAAAATGTTGATACCCTTGTTCTAACCTCTCTACTGGAGGACCTAGACTACATTTCGCAGAGGCGTGTTGTGCATGCAGCCGGCCTCAGGGCACGCAACAGGCAACAGGCCCAAGCGAGTCAGTAGCCAATGGCTACACGAAGTGAGCCATTGCCAAACACACACTTCACTTTGGTGCATTTTGCTTGGCTGTTAGGACTTGAGAACTGTTTGCCAACTAATGGGTTTTCCACTAAACCACTAAAGTTAAAAACTTTTAGCAGGGGAGCAGAAAGCAACCGAGTTCACATTGCGCTACGCGTTTGTAGCTGAAGCGCAGTTTGCGTACCACGCTGAAAACTTACCTTCGGGTACGTTCGTGAAGGGGCGTTGTTGTTGTTTTTGTTTGCGCCACAGTTCCCATAGTTGCGTTGGTGAATGGAAGTGAGGTACAACAGGAGGCCCATAGCAGACTTGCTTCCCGCGAGGTTTGCCCACCCCCAGTTGCCCAGTGGTACCTTTTTTTTTGTAGGAAGGGTTTCCCTTTAAAGTCAACCAACCAAAAAAACGGATGCCGATTCTGTTCAGGCAAATCACATGAAATCATGACAAAAAGCGCTTGGGTGCAAAAACGCAGGGCCCAGGACGTACCCTTTTGCTCTTTTTTCCCATGGGAATCCACTGGGCATCTGAGTGCATTAGCAACCGGGTACCGTCAAAAAACAAAAAAGAGCACCCATATGGCTCAAACATCGTTGTTTTCCTTTTGGTCCGGATACCCAACCTAAGAAAAAGCAGACAAGCAAAAAGCGGCACCCGTGTGGTTTTCCGGCATCTGAGGCCAGCTATGGCTTCTTCTTCATGTGGTTTAGTCTCGTCTTCCAGGTGGCCGCGCTCTGCATGCACAACTGCATGCCGGTGGGAAATGAACTCACCGAGGACCCATATTTTCACGCGCTTGCGAGCTGTTCTGGAGCTCGGGGTATCATACTAGGTCCCCCAGTAGTGCCCTTTTGGGGGGAGGCTTCCCCGACCAAAATAGACTACAGAAAAGAGGGCACCCCTATTCTAACCTCTCTACTGGAGGACCTAGCATACTTTGCCTTCAAAGAGAGAGCTAAGGAGCTACCAGGAGTTCTGTATGGACATGATTCAGAATATGTTTTTTGTCCCCTGTTGTTTGTTTTCAATCGAAGCGATTTCATGCTTGGAAATACGTGTTTTTTTCCCGATGGAAGGCTGCAAATGTCCCTTGATTTGGTTGACCTCTTGATTTTGATTTTATGCTCAGTTGAGCAAGGCCGACCTCTTGGACTTTTTGGTTTCCCCCTGTTTGTCAACTTTTAGTCATGGCCCCAAAAGGTCAACCTTGTATTTCTGGATCCTTCGGGTAAGTGAGAGTGGAAACCCAAAGTTAAAATAGTGTATCAGAAGATCAACCCACATACCTAGTGGAAACAGACACACACACACACACCACGAAAAGGCTTGCTCGTTCTCTTGCAAGATGTGTGCCATTAGCCAGTGCATTTGTTTGTGGGTTTCACTGTTAGGCTAGTGAAGAGACCGGGGGAATTTCTTCATTGTTCTTGGCATGTGGGGAAAACCTCTAAAAATAAATGGGATTGGGGGCCAGGATTATTGATCAACCCCCATGTGTTATTTGTCGTTGTTCTGGCGCATTTTTAGCGGGGGCCGCAGTGTTTTTTGCTTCTTAAGGGTTGGCAAGTGGCTCAAAATGGGCAGTCTGTGGCAAGTCCGCGGGGTGGGGGTCACTTCAATGGGCTGATCTATTCTTATCTCAGGTCATGGAACTGAACATTTGTTTTTTTTTGGGGGGTGCTGCTCGATTTAAATAGAGCTTCGCCTCCCTTCCTAAAATGACAAACGCCTGCCTTGGGCATCTCTCCAAATTGCAGAACTCAGTACTGCCACAAGAGGCATAGTCCTGCTGTCAGCTGGAAGGGCATCGACGTGTACGCCCAAAAACCCCGCATCACCCAGCGAGTTGCCATAGTTTTTCCTGGCCTGTTGCCACATGGGTTGGACCCGTTCAGCTACGGCGTGGGGCGTAGTCAGTTGCACCTAGTTCAACATCTGAGTCCAAGTTGTCTTCTTGTCCATTGTTCCGCTTGAAAGCTGCCTAAGGGTACCGTCAAGCAAAGACACCCCACGTTGTAACTTCTTTCTTTTTTTTACCCCGTGTTTGGTAGTTTTAACTGCCTTTTTTGCGTTGTGTCTTTGAAAAAAAAGAACAATGCAGACCTCACTGCCGGAGCAATTTAGTCCACAAGGTCACCGGGCTGCGAACGTTTGTTTACCCCTGAAGGCCGCTGACATTTGATGTCCGATGTGTGATTTGAAGGTAAGTTTCGACCAGAACCCATGGCTTTCTCAGTTGCCCAAGTCGACCTGAAAGGACCTTTTGGGTTCTCTTTGTTGGGTTCCTGTGTTTAGTCATGGCGCCACAGGCCTTTTCATTTCCGAATCCTTTCTGCAAGTGAGCTTTGCTATGGACACGAGGTTCCTTCGGTTTGTGCTAGGCTGAAGGAGGCTCGCAGAAGACGGGCCTCAAGCCTATGGTTGACACATTGGCCCGACGGGTAGGGTTCCTTGGGAATTGTCCAAAGAAAAAAGTGTCAAAGGGAAAGCAGTTCTGAGCGAGGCCATTTGTTGGGTTTAGTACCCTTGGTGTTCGTTTACCCAGTAAGCCCAATGTAATCAATTTTAGGGGCTCCTCCTGCTTCTGGGGCTCTGTCGGTATCCAGGAGGAGCGCCTCTTCAACAAGATGCAGAAAGCGCAGATGGCTGAGCAGGCGGAATCCAGCTCAAGCCTTGAGGGATGCAGCATGCTGGTCTTCACTATTGTTGGCATGTTTTTAGGGATTCAGGTTTTTGGTTCTCTTCATAGTATTTTTAGTAGTGGGCTGTAAACAGAAAGTTGTTTGCACGCCCATACCAAGGCTTGGACAGTTGTAGTCCCACTTTGGAGGAAGCGATGGCATGCCTGCAGCTAGCAAAGCTGTCCGAAAGCCTTTGGTTCTGGCTTGGCAGTCTTTCTCATGAGTTCCTGATTGAGATGTTCAGAGGTGCAGTTTTCTTGGATGAAAAACACAACTTTTAGCAGGGAAAGCAACCGAGTGTCTTAGTGGTAAAGAATAGCTTTGGACCTTGTTGGCCAATCCAGGTAAGTGAGCATTTGCCGTGGGTTGGGCCTCGAAGCAACTTGAGATTCAGCTTTTGGAATCCGCGGAGGTGGCTGCCGTTTGGTTGGAAAAAAGTGCCAAGGCGCATAAACTGACTCGAATTTCCAGCGCAAGCGGTGTTTTTCACCCCAGCAGCTGAAAGCTTTGAGGTCTCAGCCGAGATAGGCTCCGGGGTGGTCCGGGGCGGCCCTGAGGTAAGGTTCCACGAGGGTTCCACCAACGTTCCACCAACGTTCCACCAGGGTTCCACGAGGTTCTGCGAAGTGGTGCGAGCACTAAAAAGAGCACCGCATGCTGTTGGGGATGTCACCTGAGCTCTTTTTTTTTTCTTCCATGAGCTGTGAGGCAAAAAAAGAGCTTTTCAGGCCTTTGCTGTTGGATCTCTTGGCTTTGGCGCAGGCCGGTTACGGTGCCGGCAACTACGGCCAGCAGCCTGGCTACGGCCAGCAGCCTGGCTATGGCCAGCAGCCTGGCTACGGCCAGCAGCCTGGCTACGGCCAGCAGCCGGGCTATGGCCAGCAGCCTGGCTATGGCCAGCAGCCTGGCTATGGCCAGGGCTATGGCCAGCCTGCGCACTGGGGCGGCGCCGGCATGCCAGGCTGGATAGCTATCTTGGGTTCACCTCACCCGTGATGAAGGTGCGTGGCTTGGGGTTCCCCCATGGGCTCATGGGCAAATGTCTTCCCAGGTCTTCTCATGGCACATAGACATTTGTGCAGGTGAAACCCTTGTGTGTGTGTGTGCGCGTTTTTTGTACAAGTCTTTGGGGCACTTGTGGATGCCAGCTTTGGGCCTCCAGCTGGCGGATCTTGGGTCCTTGCGCCACGCCAACACTTTCTGGGGGGGCAGCGAGTGCTTCATTCTTTTTGACGTGACCTCGGCCTGGCAGGAAATGGGCTCTATGTTCAACCAACTTAATCAGGAGGTCAATAGCCATGTTTAAAACTTGTGCAACTGGTGCGGTTCGGTTGAGCGGTCCCGTTTTTTGCGTGCAAAACGGCCACCGGTTCAACCAGGAAGTCGAAGGTGGAGCCCGGAATTTGTTGCAGTTGGGGCACCTTCCTGTCCACTTCCATTTGGGTGCGCCTTTTTTCTTTGAGGTGCCCATTTGTTTGGGTGGTTTTAAAGGGAAACCGCTGGAACAACGACATGTCTCGGGTACGCCTCTTTTGGAGACCTGCCCATTTGTGGCTTCTCTTTGGACCAGAGCTCATGGACGTATCGAACTTGACCAAATCTGGGCATGGGTCAAAATTAAACCACCAAACAAAAACGCAGGTTTTAGTCGTTGGTTCCATTTGCCAGGGTTCCATTGTGGCTACCCATTTTTGACCCACTGCCATCTGATGGCAACGATGCGTCGAGCTTTTGGCTAACCTTTGGAAGAGACTAGCTCGAGGATCATGTTCCTTATTGGTTCCCAGCCGTCCCCTTCGTTCTTTTTTTTTGGGGGGGGGATTTTCGGGTTTAGTAGTCGATTCCACTAAACCGCCAGGGGTTAAACTTTTTGTAGATTTTGGAACAACCCAGGGGGTGTGCAGTGCAAGGGCTTGTGGAGTCCAACTAAAAGGGCGGCCTTGACTTCGGGGTGCAACTTCACATGGCCAGATTGAGCAACTTGATTCCGTTTTGGCTCAGTTGCTGGGTCCCCCAGTAGTGCCCTTTTGCCCTTTTTTGGTTGGGAGGGTTCCCCTACTAAAATAGACGACATAAAAAAAGACCCTTATTCTAACCTCTCAAATCTGGAGGACCTAGTTGGACAAGCGAAAGGACTCAGTCACTACTGGACATTTTTTTTTTCAGGGGGCGAAAACGCAAATGGCTCAGAAATTGAGCTCCGTTTTGGCTCAGTTTTGTGGTTGACTTGAGCAGTGCTGTGTGGGACTCTGCACCTCAATGAGTTTGGGGCCAGCGACTCGACAGGGCCCACCTTCGGCGGCCGGCCGGCGGGATATTGAGGCGGGGGGGGGGGGGGCGCGTGGGATTTTCCATGCCGTCAAACTCCCTCTTCCGGGAGTCGGTTTGTTCGATTATTTCTTTTTTTTAGGGGGGAGGTTTACTTTGGGTTGACTAAGTATATTTGAAACATACTGTTAAAAGCCCAGATGTGGGACAAGGTTGGTAGGGTTGGTCATGGACTGGATGAAGTAGAAAACTTCCATTTGTTTAAGACTATGTTCTATTTTCCCCTGTTGGTTTTAAAAGGAATCGATCACTACTGGACATATTGTTTCCAGGGACCTTAAGCAAATGGAAGACAACCACTTAGAATGGTTCCTTATCAAGGGAGTGATGACAAGCCCAAGGCCGGGCGCTTAACGCTGAACCATTGAGGGAGGGAGAGAGAGAGAGAGAGAGAGAGAGAGAGAGAGAGAGAGAGAGAGAGAGCGCCAGGACCACAACCCAGGAGTTTGACCATAACACGACTCCGAATGTTCATCAACCTGTTGGATAGCAAGTGTTGTTTTGTTCTTTTTTTTTCTCCGCGACCCCCTCATAATCAACCTGAATTTCCCATCAAGATATGTTTGGGGTTGGTGATGGTTGGTGGTTTGGAGTGAAAAAACCTGTCCATTTCGATTTCGGAGGAATCGAATTCCGAGACTTCGAATCCCACATAGAACCTGAAACTCCCTCCCTGAATTCCTGAACTTTCAACTTTGTGGGAAGACCATCTGAGTGGTTAGCAGAAGCTCCTGGACTTTTTTTTGGCCAATCCACCCGATCGGAAGTGAGGAAAGTGGGGGGGGGGGGGGGGCCAAACGGGGAGGGGAGGATGCCAGGAAAAAGGATTTGGAGGCTTGGGCCAAGTAACCTGAGAGAGAAACTTACCGCATCCTCCCGCCGCCGCCAAAACGACGGGGACTGGACATGGGCCAAGCAACCTCCAAAGACGAAGGGAAGCGATGGGACCCACCGATCGAGGCCTGGGCTGCCCAACCGCGCCGAGCCGCATGTGAGCAGAAAAAGTTGCCCACGGCAAAGTGGAGGGAACGGGACACACTTTTTTTGACTCATTCAAAGCCAGGCTTTCATTGTGTTTTGCGTTCATTGTCTTTTCTTGGCTGGGGCCAAAATCAAGGAGTCAATCCATGACCTCTATGGCTTATTCGGCTTACAAGCTTCCCATTGAGGCCTAGTGCCTTTTGGCGACGCATGCTCTCCGAGAGAAGACTTGCCGGCTTCCATTTGCTTAGCCCCCTTACCCCCAAGCAGTGGTGATCCACCTGGCAGATGTCACATGCCGAAACAGGGCAGTTGCGAGAAGGAGATCACCGGCAGGAGTGTAGAGTTTGCACGGGGCAGGCGAAGCTTTGAGTGAGGTTTGCAGATTTCAGTGGGCGCACCTGGGCAAGGTGCAGAAGCCCACGTTGTTGCTGAGAGACGGGTCAATGGATGAAGTGTTAGGCTTGTCCATTCTGTCATGTGACTATCAGTCGCTACACCTGTTGTTCTCTCATTGATAACTGGCAGTGATAACTTGGTTCATCAATTGATGCGATTAGTTGATGTATTGCGGGGTGGCCGGAGGTTGGATACCCTTCCCCTTGCAAGGATGTGTGTGTGTGTGTGTATTTGTGTGGGACCGGCCGTATCCCTTTCTATGAAGGAACGGATCGCTCCATATCACTCGAGCTCTTCAAAGTGTATGGCTGTTTGGTTGGATGTTGGGAATTGAATTTGTTGGTTGAAACAGGCCGAATCGGACTCACCGAAGGGGTGATTCACTTTTTGCAGGGTAGTTGCAACCCACAAAATCCCCGGACGTGGCCATTTTTGCCCCCAGTGTACTTCAATCCTTTCGCCTCCCAGCGTGCGATTCCGCTTCAGCGCGATGGCCTCAGCGGAATCGGGTGAGGCTTCTCAAAAAGGCGGATAGCGCCTCTGGGGCGTTGTTTAAGAGAAAGCAACAGGAAGCAAGCCATTTTCAGGGATCCACCTCCCAAGTTCATGGACTTTAGTTTTTTTTGGTCTGGACCGAAGGAAATGTTTGGCCTGGGATGGCGAATGCTTGGTTGTTCCAACAGCAGCTGTGTGTCACTCACTGTCCAAAACCCAGAGGCTGCAAAATGCAGTCGTTGGAGCCTCTGCTCATAGTGTAGGTCCCCCAGTAGTCCCCTTCCTCACCCCTTTTTTGGTTGGGAGGGTTGAGTTTTCTAGCCTCTCAAATCTGGAGGACCTAGTTGAAGCATACCAGAGGCTATGTGTGTCAACGTCCGAAAGGCCCAGAGGCTGCAAAGTGCAGTGGTTGGAGCCTCTGCTCATTGCTGCCTCCGTTCAACGAAGCCCAGGCGCGAGTTCGCTCGTTGTCTGCTCATTCCTTCATCATGGGTCGGAAGCTCAGACTGGGGGCGAGAGGGTGCGGCCCTAAAATGGCGTTGGACAAGCGAAAGCTAGGTCCCTCAGTAGTGCCCTGTTGCCCTGTTTTGGGAGAGGGTTCCCCTACTAAAATAGAGACTACAGAAAAAAATGGTACCCTTATTCTAAGCTCTTTACTGGAGGACCTAGAAAGGATGGGCCAGTCTGTGGGCTGGCCGGCTTTGGACAAACAATAAGTAGAGCCCAAGCCCATGTTAGCAGTGAATTCTATCTTCTTTCTGCTTGTAGGTAAAGGCTTTGCAAGGTTGACCCGTGGTTTTGTTCACGGAAAGTCGGTGGGTTTGGGTGCTCGCGCTTCCCGGCCGGATCGGAGTCCTTCGCAGAGCTGGTCAGCAAAAGGTCAAGCCAGGCCTCGCATTGCGCGGGGCAAACGTGACCATCGCTTTCATTCCCACCGAGATCCACCGAGCACTCATGCAAGTCGATGTTGGTCCTTTTTCGGAAGGCCTAGGCACCATCGTGTAGTATGTCATCAAGATGTGGCTGGTGGGATTGTCCCATAGTCTCCCAACGCTGGTTATTAAGATCATGTGTCTGCATCAAGAGCGCAGTGCTCACTTACTCAAACCTGGGGCTTTTGGCCTTTTTCCGAGGTCTGTTTTGTGCGGCCTTTTGGTTCCGCAGAGTTCATGCTTTCAGGGAACCCTCAGTTGGTGGTTTTGGATTCGAGATCTGGTTCCGGAGGGAAAGTGGGAAAGCTAAATTCCAAGCCAATCCGAAGCACACATGTTCTAGCTAATGGTTCGAAGGGAGCCAGGAGTCCTGCAAGGAAATGGTAGTAGGGAAGCTGATCTTTTGCTTCCAAGTCCTTTCTATGAGCAGAAACTGCGCGTTTCGTCCGCTTTTCCGGTTCGGGATACCGGTAATTGCGGAGTAGGCTGCAAGTTGATGAAACCAAAGCAGGTGCATCCGCGATGCTTCTCTACATGTATTTGGTTGGAAAAAGCTACAAGGCAAACCTGGAGGAATATGAAACCCCTCGTCGAACACCCAATTTAGGTTTCGACAATTTTCTTTGCAGAGGACGAACCAATGCACAATTTTCCGACCCTGGACACGAGACTCGTGTTTCATGAATATCGCGCGATTCAATCTTGGCAGATTGCGGGCTCCCATGGAATTGGGCGGAGGGGGGCAGACAACGACTTTTGGCGATCTCCAGAAAACTGCAACCCATTTGTTTATTGAGTTTCATTTGGTTACTGCCATCCCCACTCCTTTAGACATGGAATTGGGGAAGGGGTGCGCCCTGGAATTTCATGTCCGGTTGCTTTGTTGGGGGGGCCTGGAAAACTACCACCCCCTTAAAGATTGTTGATTGGGGAAGAAACCGGCAGAAAACGACCACTGGAGATCTCCATTTATGGTTGTACTGTCCTTTTCATGGGGAAGACTGGAAAAATGGAATCCACCAAATCGGGGAGGGGGAAGAAACCGACCCCTGGAGATCTCCATTTCTGGTTGGTTTCTTCTCCTTTTCATGAAAACGACTGGAATGGACGTGACCACCAAATCGCCTTGGGCATTTTGGACCTCGGCTTCGAGCTCCGCGGCCTCAAAAAAAACGACTCCTCGACTCGACTTCCTCGATGGACGTTTTTTGGGCCGATCAACGGCCGATGATTGATCCGCCCAGCAAAAATGAGATATCCATCTGTGCAAGAGTCATCAGATGTGATCAGAGTTCTTAGGTGATTGCGCCTTGAGCGGACTCAATCCATCCAGATGATGCCCCTCAGTCCACAATTTGCCCTTCTCAGGCGAGAAAACTGGGGTCGCCTACTACATGATGTGCACTCTCGCCATGGTTGGCCACTTGGTCACGCTGAGCCCGTGGTTCATAAATCAAAGGCTGAATGTACGCCCATATATGAACCCCTGGTATGAAACCTTAGTTGTGGGTTGATTAACCCTTAGTTATGGCTGAAATCATGGGAAATCAGCCCCTTTCGGTTCATACATCATATGAACATATACATTCAGCGTTTGAATGTTTGAACGGGGGACAGGATTTTGTTTTGCTTTTACTTGAGGGGGGTGTTAATCAGGCATTGACATCAGCCAGGAGGTATGTCTGGTTTTGTTGTAGTGCTCGTTACCTTTGTCCAAAGCAAACCTGTGACCTTTTGGTTCAACATGGGTTGGCATGTTTAGTCATGGTCCCAAAAAGGCGGATCAGTGAGCTACCAAAGGTACCGGAGGTTGCGGCCAGGGCAGGGTGAACTGCAGAGAACGCCGGAATTTTGGACCCCGTCTTTCGCGAGCTTGTCTTAGTTCGGATTTCACAAATGGTCAATAATTCTTCGCACGCAACACACTGGGGCTTGCCCGGACTCGTGCGTTCTCTGCTAACAATCCTGGTGAGAACCTCTAGTGAAACCAGTGGCAGCGACTTGTCTCTCTTTTAGAGGCTCCTCTATTCGGGTCCGGATAATCCGAAGTTTCTTTGTCTCGTCCTTGGGCATGCGAGAGTTTGCAGAATCTTGCTGGTGAGTTTGCAGGTGGGACTCCCTGGAAACCACCCGAGTTGACTTGAGCCAGAAACAGTCAACAGAAGAGTGAGCATTTGTTTCCCTGCTGGGCAAAAACACCGGCACCAGTCGGGATGAATGAAACCCAATCTTCGGGCATAAACCACCGATCGGCCAACGGGTGCCGATCGTGGGAGGTTTTGTAAAGCAGTATTCCAAAACATCAGACTCTCGGGGTCGAAGACCAACGATCTCTAGGTTAGTTTGGCGTGGCACTGGTTTTAGATTGGTTTATTCCCTTTTCCAGAGGGAAAAGCCATCGAGTTTTTCAACCAATGGCATTCCACATCGGTTCTGTTCAAACCGGACCCAACGTTCGCACATGGGTGTGTCTTTTTAGGGAAACCCCTTGTTGATCTGTTTCTAAGGGAACCCAAACAACCTGGTTTTTGGGGAACCTAAACCGCCCCTCCCCCATTTTCAGGGCTTCCCCCCCAAAAAAAAAAAAAACGCCTGCCCCCCCCCCTCCCCCCATTTTCAGGGGTGTCCCCTAAAAAAAAACACACGGTGGTTTCTGGACGCAGCAAGGCATTCTTTTCAAAATTCGCCCAGCTTGGAGACCTTTGGATCCCCTAGGATCCATTGGAGGCAACTCCTTGGGGCTTAAGGCGACCACCTGAAGCCAGCATGAACTTGCCCGCGTCTCGATTTGCCCTCCGGGTTTGGCGAAAAACTTTGGTCTAATTGCTTTCTTTGGTGAGTCTTGCCTGTGTCGCAATTCTTGGCCCTTTCTTTTTGAGCCAGGGCGTTGTGCCACCTACTTTACCTGACTCGAAATTTGGGTGTGTTTGTTTGAGGGTTTGTGGGCTTTTTCCCAAACACGCGCACAAACGTGGGACAACAACCCCAGAGAAAGGCGGGGAGGGGGGATTTTTTGAGACACGGTCGCTTACCTTTGAAGAGCCCAGCAGTATATATGTATATATATTTAGTAACAAAATAATACTAACAATAGTATGATAAGCAAACAAAGAACAAACAACGAGAGTAAGAAGAAAACATGGCCAGCGGTTTTGCTAGGTCAGCTGGTCGCAGCCTTCGTCCGCTGGCACGCGCTCCACGTTCACTTGGGCCCCATGACGTTGATGAAAGCCAATACCGGGCTTCTGTATACCTACGTGGAGTACGGACCGACTGGGTGCCAGCACGCTCTTTTTGCATTTCTTGCTTCTGGTTTTTCAGAAAAGGGAACCACAATTGCTAGCACCTGGGGTCCAAATCAAGCCGGCCGCAGGGCACTTGAAACTTGAAATGGACTGCCTTTGTTGCATTTTACGAGCTGTCTTTGCAGCACATGCCGCAGCATACTATAACATGGGCTTCTATAATTCGAACAGGGGAGGCTAGTAAAGAAAGTCATGCCATGATCATGGGGCAATGATGATGCATGATAGAATGATGACACAAATTAAAATCACAAGAGGCAAGTGACGCGTCCCCTTTAAAAAGGAACAACCCAATAATAATAATGCTGTCTCTGTGTTTGTGTAATAAACAAGTAAAGCACATATTAATACTATTGCAATTTAAACAATAGTAAACATGAGCCTACAAATGATGATAACAATGATAATAACGGTGAGTGTAGCAATGCTAAGAGTAATGCGAAGATCTGTGTGTAATTGGTTTGCCTTTTACACAAAGTAATTCCTGCCACCAGGGGGCCAGCCCGTTAGCGCCCAGAAGCCAGTCCCTTTTTGGTGGTGGAGGAACCACCTCAGGAGTCTGCCACAAGTTTCGGGGTCCAAGTTTCAAGCCCCACTTTTCAGACATGCTTTTCTCTCTGCCGCGTGTTGCCAACTCAGCGTCAGTTCAATTGCCAGGACTGGTCTTCTTCTGCGGGCATCTCGGCAGCCTTATCCCTTGGTGGTTTGGAGCCCGGTGGTTTCGGGGTTTTCTACCCCTGAGGGTAGATGGGAAACACCCCAGCACCAAACCACCGGGCTCCGCGGCCTTTGCCGTCGTCTGCCGGCGATTCGGCCCCATGTCCGAACGCCTATTGCGTGGGCCATCCAGCAGACTCGCCCCCAAGCAGTGGGCGCGTCGAGAATTGCAAGTGCACCAACCTACGGCAAAGCCATGGAGAGTTGCAGTTCATTCGGGGTTATTTAGGTGCATTTGTACGGGCTTGGGCTCGAAGGTGCAGGCAGGCTGCGCAGGCAATGTCTGCAGGGCTCGTTTGGTCAAGGAGTGTTGAATATGAGGCTCCATTGCTTGCGTCCCGAATCTGTCTAGTGTGAGCAGTTAAAAAGTTTGACTAGGTCCCCCAGTAGTGCCCGTTTTACCCTTTTTTGGTTGGCAGGTTTCCCCTACCTGAAATAGACTACAGAAAAAAGTTGCTACCAACTTATTCTAACCTCTCAAATCTGGAGGAGCTAGCTGACCATGTCAATGATGCCTGGTTTGTTTGGTTGAGGGCTTCGTTGGCACTCCAAAGCTGGAAGTCGAATGTCACGGCCCTTGCAGGGGCACTGGCACCTAGGCTTGCTAGATGCATGCCAGGCGTGTCTAGGTCCAGAGCGCTTTTGGCTTTTCAAAAAACGCCAACAGGAAGCAAGCAATGTATGAGTCCCTTAATTTCAGCAACCGCCCCTATGCCCTATGGTGCGTCGCATTCCGAACTTGGCACGTCATGTTATTCGCGAAGTCATGTCGCCACCTGAGATCCCAGCGGTGCTTTTCTTGAAGTCCTTGAACTGGTTCGACGACAAGAACAATGACACCAAACCTTTGAATCCAAAAGGGGTCCCCCCAAAGAAAGCACGTCTTTGAAGATCCATAATATTTTTTTTTTTATGAAGAGAACCACGGGATTGCTTCGTCACCTGACGTGGAACCTGCATCCAATTGAAAAGAGCGCAGTGTTTTTTGAACTCAAGTGGGATCAGTCAGGTTGCCTCGTTCAGAGCACTTCAGGTCCGCTATTTACCAGTCACCAGTGTTTTGGCAGATTTTCAGCTGTGCTTGGCAGCACTGAAATTAAAATAAGTTTCAAGATCGGGGCTGCTCGAGCGAGATGAGGTTCATGAACAAGTGGGACAAGTGCCAGGATATGAGGGACGGCGTCTTCGGCTGCAAATGGTTCCATGCTAAGGTCCTAGCTGTACCTCCTCCAAGGATCATTTTTCTGCGAATGAGCCAGCCCCCATACCTTGACTGCTATTGGGTTGGATCTTTAGACTTTAACTCTTTGGGAAATCAAGGGGTTTTCCACTAAACCCCCAAAAAGTTAAACTTTTGGTAGGGGGGTCAACAGCAACGAATCCTAGCGGTTTCTCAAAGCAACAAGGGGTGAAAATCGTGCGAAATGAGTCTTGAGAAAGTTTGGAGGTTCCATCTTGGACGGCGCCAGAACGGGCCACCGAGTGGCTTTTTTTGCCATTTGGCTATCCCTAGGAATTAGTTCCAGTATGCTGGTGACATGTGCGCTTGGACGAGGGAGGCGCTGACTTTCACATGGTTTTCGACGCCGCACTGCGGCGCCCTTGCGCACGCACATAAAACCTCACGGCCTGGCACATTGCTCGCAGATATATCCTCTTCACAGCAGCCTTCAAGGCAGTTCTGGAAGAGTCTCATGGTTTGCTAAATGACGCTCTCGCGCAAAGTCACCTTGAGTATATGTAATGTGAGTTGCCTTTGCCTTTGCAGCGTGATCTTTGGAAACTGTGATATGGGGGGGGCAAGTGCGAGGGAGGCATAGAGCGATCACAGACAGCGGTCACGAAAGCTTGTATTGAAGCGGGGTGCATGGTTGCAGGCCCCACAAGGAGCTCAAACCAAGCCATTTTCGATGACAGTTTCTTGTTGGCTTGCGGGGGCATGCGGGGGTGTTGCCTCCTTGGCTCCAAACATGTGGGCATTACGTCCTGGAGGTCCTGCAAATTAACATAGAACCCAGAAAACCATTATTTGCAGGAGGAATCTCCTTTTGCCCCCCCCCCCTTTAAGAATCCGGCTGGCATATCCAGCGTTTCGGTTTGGCCGCTTCGGAAACCGTTTGGTTTGCTCAGGCATGTGGCTTCAAGAAGTTGCATCCGAAGTGTGGCTTGGCCACAAGCCGGGCAATGGGTTCCCGCGACCAAAGGAAAGCCAGGAGTAGCAAACTAGGGCAGATTCAGAGTTCTGGTGACCCCAGTCAAGCTGAAAAAGAAAACCGGTGGTATGTGTCAATGTAGGCATGGTCCCAGTTGTTGTGGACGTATCAAATCAGCTGCACCGCCGCTTGTAATTTGAAGGGCAGGAGTGTGTTACAGGAGCGGCCGCGCAAGTCAAACATAGGGCTGCGCAAGTAAAGCGCAAGTGAAGCGCAAGTGACGCAGTGATTCATCATCATCATCATCATCATCATCAGCATCACCATGGCCCAAAGATTAACAAGTTTTCGTGCAAGTCGCGGGCAGCTCGCACATCCCCCCAAACTGCTTGGAACTGGCCCATTTCTGTATTTTGCATATTCTTTTTTCTGCAGATCCCAGCAATTTTGCCGAGTGAATTTGCTAGCAGAGAATTTGCAGCGGTGTATACACATGAGACCTCATACACTTAAAATATTTTGGGGGACCTCATGCTTATGAAGACCGCCGCTTGGGTTTGCAATGAAAACAACTAGGGATAAGAGTTTTAATACGGGTTTATTTTTCCAGCTCAGTTGGTTGTGTATACCCATGAAAGCCCTTGGATAGGGTGAAGTATTGTTAGGTGTGTGTAAAAATAGGGAACCCCCAGAAGTCGGCGGCTTTCCTTGTGAGTTTCCAGTTAACAAGTAGCCCCCGATGGATGGTTTCAACTGGTTTTGAACGCCTGGTTCTTGTAGATGCTGTTCAAGCCGCCAGCCGTAGCCGCTAACCACTGAACCACCACTCCAAACTGCCAAATACTTACCTCTTAAAAACGCAACTTTTCAACTTCTTGGGGGTAACATGGGCTAGATGTCTGTAAGAGGTGAACTTCCCCAATCCTTGGAGTTTTCAGGGGTAAGAATAGGGAGAATCTGAAAGAGCGGGTTGTCCCGTAGGGTCCTTTACAGTCGGGGGTTTCCCCTATGGGCCTTTGATCTTGGAATCATCGTTCGAGGGTTCCTCCTCTTGCTGTAATCCGCCTTGATTCATTTGGGATCAGAGGGGTGGACAGCACCCAATTGAGGTTTCTTTCCCTGAGTGAAGTTGCTGGGTAAGACGAAACTCTCAGAAATCCATTGGCGTCTTCTTGTTCCCCCTCAGTTGTCCAAAGCGAATCGACCTTTTGACCTTCTAGTTTTCGCCTTGTTGGGCCATTTCTAGTCAGGGCTCCCAAGGTTAAACTTTTACTTCTGGATCATTTGGGCAGGTTTGTACAATGCTCCCGAGCTGGCTTTTGTTTTTGTTATCCTTTGGGCAAGCGAGCAACTCATAAGTCTGAGGTTTGCTGTTGCGGTGCTTAATTACGGCGTCTAGTTGTCCACGTAAACTTGCTCAAAATGCAGGCTCGTTTGCTTGAGGCAGCACAGACTTGTGATCTGTGAGTCAGCTGGCCGAGTCAATGTCTCGCGGGCTATTTCAATGTTGTGTAGCATTACGACAAGGTTCCTCGTTGTTTTGTTTGCTGTTTGCCCTGGCGGCGCGCTCTGCTGGGTTGTGGTTGCAAAAAGGGCGTATGTGCGGACATGGTTACGATGCGGCCATGACTAGGTCCCGCTGTAGTGCCCTTGTACTCTTTGGGGGAGGGTGCTTGACTGCTATTGAGTTGGATCTTTAGACTTTAACTTTTGGGGAAATCAAAGGGTTCACCACTAAACCCCCAAAAAGTTAAACTTTTTTGCAGGGGGGGTCAACAGCAACCAAGGGTTCCCCTACTAAAATAGACTACAGAACAAAGAATCGGTACCAACTTATTCTAACCTCTATACTGAAGGACGATGATACTTCCCTGGCAGGGCCAGGGGGTTGTTGATTGAAATATGCTGGAACACGTTGAAATTCGCTGAGGTCACATCATCGCCACATCCATTTGCAAATTTGGTGAGCACGCCGATTCGAGGGGGGATCAAAAGCTCACCCTGATGCATGTCCTGTACTTGGATCGCAGTCTTATCTCCGAAAGATGCTCCAAAAAGGATGCAAAGGTTGTGTTTAGCTTTGATTTGCGTTGACACATGAAAACGCACAAGGCCAGACCAACCGGGTCATGGGGGCAGAACCCATGCAAACACACAATGCACACACTACGTGCAGGCGCATACATGCACGCATGTGTTGAAATACATGTTTACATATATGTCATTGCGTATGCATGTAAATAGTGTATCATGTTTGTGCTTATTAGCGCTCGTGTCATCATCATCGTCGTCGTCGTCATCATCGTCATCATCATCATCATCATCATCATCATCATCATCATTATTATGGCAATTATTAGTATGATGATTATTATATCATTATATTTATGGAGGGATTTCGCCTTGCTTGCCCAGAAGGTGCAACATGCCCCGCCCCCCCCCCCCCCCCCGAACAAAGCGCCGTCTCAGGTGTGTGCCTCTCCTAACGGCGGCGGTGCCACAGCCCTGCCACGCCTACAACACAGCCTACTGGACCGGCCTCGTTTGCGCCTGGGCGGGCAGCGCGCGCATGGTGGGTGTTAGGGGCGCCCAAAAAAGTTTCCGGGCCCTTTCTCACCCTTTCTTTGATGTGGGACATGGCGCCAAGGGATTCCCCCAATTTCCCCGCTCCCTCCGTATCCCCGCTTGTTCGTTTGTCCAATTGTCCAAATCATGGCCCCAAAAGGGCAACCTTTATTTCCAGATCCTTCGCGCAACTGAGTTTGCACTGCGGTTTGTACAACCAGGTCCCCCAGTAGTGCCCTTTCTCACCCCTTTTTTGGAAACGGGAGGGTGCCCCTAGTTAAATAGACTACAGGCATGGCAGGGTGTCGAACAGCCACTGGGCAGGTTTCAAACATAGTTTATCCATGTTTATCCCTGATCGGAACCCAGAAGAGATATGAAATGAGTCTACTAGGTCCTCCAGCTAGGTGCCCTTTCTCTTTCACCCTTTTTTTGGAAAGGGGAGGGTTCCCCTAAAATAGACGACATAAAAGGTTGATAGCAACTTATTCTAACCTCTCAAGTCTGGAGGACCTAGGTGTGGTTCTTTCTAGGGCGACCAAACAACTTGGCGGCTCAATGCCTGAGATCCGGCAACGGCTTGAGGCACTCTTTGGGGGGTAGAGCCCATTTTGGTGGTAAACCGAAAGTTCCTGGACTTCTTTTGGCCAATCCACTCAGGGAGTGAGGTTAGGTGTTTTTGCCGGGGGGGGGGGGGGGAACAAAGGTGGCCTTTGTTTTGGTTTCCCTTCACACTAAAAAACAATTACCTCAGGAGAATCGCGCGTCCTTGCCGCATTCTGACGCGGCAACATGTTTTTTGGACAGCCCAAGGCCCCCAAGAAAATCCACACGCGCGGGCAGAGATTTTGTGCACCGCTGTCAATGGTCTCGAGGCATGTTCGCCATCGCCCTGAACTGGATCCTCATGATTGTCAGCTGCTCAATGCTCATGACGCTTCTTGGCGACATCCACTTGCTTCCATTCGTTTAAGATTTGTTTTCCCCTTCCGGTTGTAAAAGGAGTCGATCACTACTGGAATTATGTTCATGTTTTCAGGGGGCTTTAGCAAATGGAAGATTGAGGTTTGGACCACGCTCCTCAGTTGCCCAAAGCGAATCGACCTGAAATGACCTTTTGGTTTTAGTCATTCAGGGAAACCAACTAGCAGGGATACAGGGGAAACAGGGATACGGAAGGATTCCCCCTAAATGCACCTTGACTAAGTTTGATGTGGGACATGGCGCCAAGGGAATCCCCCCATATCCCCGCTCCCTCCGTATCCCCGCTTGTTCGTTTGTCAAATCATGGCCCCAAAAGGTTAACCTTTATTTCCAGATCCTTCGCGCAACTGAGTTTGCACTGAGGTTTGTACAACTAGGTCCCCCGGTAGTGCCCTTTCTCACCCCTTTTTTGGAAACGGGAGGGTGCCCCTAGTAAAATAGACTACAGGAACAAAAGAAAAAAGTACCAACTTATTCTAACCTCTCTACCGGAGGACCTAGACAATGCTCCCGAGCTGTTTTTTTTTTTTGGGGGGGGGGGGGGGGTTGAAGGGTCACTGGACATTTGCTCATCTTTCCGGGGGACTTGAGAACTTCCTCAGAATGAGTCTCCGTTGTTTTTTTTGTTTTTTTGGGGCCCCTGTGTTTTCCACTCGCCAGGCAAACAATATAGTGGTTTTGCCGGGGTCCTAATTCCAGCCGAGAGAAAATGGAAGTTTGGGAGCTAGTTGATCCTTCGCTAGTCGTCTATCTTTGGATCTTTGGACTTCAATTCCAATTCCCGTGAAAGTGTGTGGATGCTACTTGATAGAAAGTGATCTTGAACCTTTTCGCATTTCATGGCTGGGGGGGAGGGGGAAGGGGAGCCCAAAATCAGTCCCTTAACAAGGTCTACTTCGGGCTTAGTTGGGCTCCCTCCCCCTCCCCTCCCTCCCCCCCCCAGCCATCTAGAAAGCCTTTCCTGTGGGGGGCAATGGCCGCACATCGGAGGAACAAATTCGGCGCTTCCGTCTTTGAAGGTCCTAAGTCATAGTGTTTTTATTCGGAATCCCCGAGGGATGGTCCAAGGGACGGGGGGGTCTCTGAACCCACCCCACTTGTACCTACCCCCCCTTGGGGATTCCATATGTTGCCCCCAGATCTGTGCGAGAGACATGGGCAAGCTGGATGCCGTGGCATCAATTGGGGCGGGAGCCGTTTCGCAGGACAGACATGTGCTTGGGCTTTTCTAAGTCTTGCGATGCATCGATGGACCGATAGATGCTCAGGGGAAAGGTGGCTGTATTTGGGGATTAGTTGCTCGAAAGGTGTAGGTGAAATACGGTGGATGGGCGAAATCCTGCAACACTTTAAAACCATGGCAAGCCATGGTTTGTTGGTATTTACGTTGGGGAATCGACTCATTCCAAGGTTTCCGAACGGTAGCACAAAATGGATGTCGCAACCATCCGCAGTATGACGGCACCCGGCAAACCAGCATGGGCGACATGGGCCACGGACTTGTCGGGCCTGAAAAAACATCCGCGAGGTATTTCAGCAGCAGCAAGCACAAGCCGGAATATCGGCAGTGGTCCTTGTACCTCATGGCGACGGGGACGTGCCTTGCTTCCATTTGCGAAACCCGCTGGCTGGACATTCTTCGGGTAACGGAGGCATCTGCGGTTGAGAAACCGAAGAAAGGTTCGACAAGAACCCTAGGATCCCCCCAAACGACGGTTCTTGCAGTCTCGGATTTTGATCCGGAGGAACTGATGGCTCACGAGAACCCTCTAAAACGTCCAGTTGCTGACGAGCATTGCATTTGTGTTGCGCTGTTCGCTGAACGGTGAGTCTACCACTACTGTTGTTTTTTCCCGCACGTAAGCAAATGGAGGAAAAATGGATCATGTTACACAACAAGGAACCTCCCTTGATTGGTATGGTATGTTCCCTCTGCTTTGCAAAGGTCCTTGGGCTTGAGGACCCATCCGGGGGCGATTTTTGGGTCTTTACGCTTTAGCTTCTTGGGGCAATGATTGGGTGTGCCTTTTTGTTAAACCCCGCAAGGTGGTGGTTGTTCTTTTGGTCCCGATTTCACACCCAACCAACACGAGATCCCCTAAAAAGGGGCACGGCCTTTTGTCCGCTAGCCGTCTAAGATGGCAGCAGCCATCAATTGGCCTTGGTCTGGCCGACCATTTCACAGGCCCATTTGCATTGCTGCACATATCCAGGCTTTTATTGACTTCAAGCCAAGGGTCAGTTGGGTGTGAAATCGGGACCAAAAGAAAAACCACCATTTTGTGCGAGGTCCCCTTAAAAGGCACATGGCACTTGTGTTTGAAGTTTTTTTAGACCCCGCCCCCTGCGAATCCAATGTAACTATCGAACTGGGATAAGAGAAAATCCGATTTATTGAATCATCGGAAGCTGAACGGGGTGGGGTTTCAGCTCTAGATTTCCCGGTTCCTAGCCCAATCTGATTGAAAGCAACCCAAACATCAAAGAAGTTGCCCGTTCGGCGTGTAGATGTCAAGCGTTCACTGCGTTGCACTTTTCGGATTTATGCGTTTGTACGAAGAAGGGCACTGGAAGCGAACTGTCATCCGAAAGGAAAGCGAGCTGCATACGCCGAATCCTGCCGAGTAGGGGACTCTGAGATCAATTGTCAGCAGGTAACAGTGCGTCTCAGTGCATGTTGCGCTTGATGCCCACCTAATACAACTCCAGCATCCAGCTGGTGGGCATGTGCTAATTGAGGAGTTATCCATGTTTGGTGGAGTTTTCAGGGTACCCCCCCTCCACCCAGATAGGTACTGCTGCCACAAGCCTTCTAACAGTACCCATGAGCCCTAGTAGGGGCATAAGAGGCTCGCAAGCGAGATATGCCTGTATGTGTTTCAAGTTTCATGGCCGACGCATGGGGTCTCCTAAGATTTGGGCATGTTGGATGGCATCGGCAAATTCCAAAAGCAAGCTCTTCAGGGAATGAAACCGAACCCGCATTCGGCAAACGTGACGCCGGTTAGAACACACCAAGCCCGTTGTTTGCTTACGAATGTGTTCTATTTTCTTCTGTTGATTTGAAAGGGAATCTATTTCCACTTGTTTCTTTCTTTTTTTTAACAAGGAGCTTACGCAGCTGTTGGAGTTAAACCCCGTAAAAGGAAACAAGCAACTTGTTGGGTCATGCCGGATTGTTAAAGATCATGTCTGCTTAAGCAAATGGAAGCCAACATTCTTTGGAACTTCATGTTGCTCGCAGGATCTACGGGAGGGAGCTGCATGAATCCGGGCTTCACAGATGTTTTTTCCATCACCATTCAGCCCGCGGTTTTGTTTGGCGGAATATCCCTACAGCAGAAGGTCAGGTAACCCTTAGTTGGTGGAATTGGATTGGTAGTTTGGGGGTGCTTCTCGTGGAGAGGGAATGAAGTGGGAAACCACCCCTTAACCACCGGACCAAACCACCAATCCAAACCAGCAACTAGAGGGAAACTGAGAAGGGGGTCGAGACTGTTATTCAAGCCAAACGCAAAACCTAACCTCATGTTGATTGGTTAGGACTGGTGCCCTTTGCGCTGGATGTGACGCGTAGAAGGTTTGTGAGAAGGGCGCTCATCCCTATGAGTTGGTTTCCACGCGCAAACGCACACAAAGGAGATGGAAGCAAATGGCCTAGGGGTGTGTGTTCACTGTGACTACTTCCATCCAAGATGGTGTCCACCAACCCCAAAACCACAACCCGGGGCCATGGGAGAAGTCACAGGATGCATGACATCATTTGTTTGTCCATTAGGGTGATTTCATGGTTGTCGTTGGGAAGCATTTTACATTTTTGCTTACTGTGGTTTAGTGGGAAATCCCCACTTAACTGCCAAAATTCAATTGTTGCTCCCCTTCCAACGTCAACCAAGGTTTGGGGGCAGTGTAAACCTGCGATCCAAGGTTAGGATATAGAGGGTATGCTTGTGACTTGCCACTAGGGAGTATTAGCCGCTCATGTTTTGTTCTTCTTCTTTTTGTTTCGCCACATGGCTTCTTAACCCCCACTGTTTTTTTTCCCCTAGACGGGTCCACGGTTTGGTGCCGGAAGCCGATCCGACAGGTGCCTGATCTTCAGCGCGCTGATGCTTTGGACCTTGGTGACCTTGCAAGCGCTGGATGACATCATCTCCATGCTGCAGGCCGGCGCTCGGTTGGGAACATGGCTGGAAGGCCCATGAGGGAAAAACATGGCCGTGGGGCAAAACCGATGGGATCCCATTTAGGGGTAGGGGCACCACCCATTTTAGTTGGGATTGGGATGTTCACTAGGGGTACGGGGGTTTGACCCACAGCCACATGGGCTTGGTTCAGTTCCCGGCATGCAACATCAAGGGTGACTAGGTCCCCCAATAGTGCCCTTTCTCACCTCTTTTTTGGGGGGAGGGTTCCTCTACTAACCTACTAAAATAGACTAAAAAAAAGGTGTCCTTATTCGAACCGCTCTACTGGAGGACCTAGGTGTAGAATTCGACCATGATTTTACCCTGGAGGTTCATTATCCAAATTGGGTTCCAAGTTGCCATTCTTTTAATGGGGGTTGAACGCTAGGGATCCTGAGTGTGTTTTGAGGGTCCTGTTTTTTTTTTGGGGGGGGGGTTGGGGTTGGTTCAAAAGGAAACCCAAAATGGTGGGAGGCGCCACACTTTTACACATAATGTTCTGATTTTCCCGCAGAAGTTCCTGCAGCTGGTGTCTATGACCTATATTTTCTGCACATGCATCATTGCTCCCTGTGGTTGTCAAGGGGAAGTCGTCGCCATGGTCTTTTTGGGTTTGGACTATTTTAGTGGTAAGCAACAGGTTCGGACTTGTTTTGGCCCACCCGCTCAGGGCGTGAGGAATGCTTACCATAGTCGTGTGTACTATATGGTGATGGAATGATGTGTTTCTTGCCTTGTTGTTGAACCTTGGTTTGATTGCTTGCATTTTCCTACAGGGAAAACGTAAGCCTTATGGGCGCAGAATGGGCTCTTCTGAATGTCCAATGGTGACCTTGGTAGCCAATTGTCGTAGTCACTGTCAGTCGCTGGTCACTATAACAAGTCACAATTGGCCACTGCTCGACATGTTTACATAGCGGCTCTGTGTGAGATGAGGTGAGGTTGGTTGCTTGTTGTATGGATAACCCCTGTGAAGAACCAGACACACAACTGGACAGCCGGCCACGTGTCGCTCGCGTTTTGTCACTTTCAGTCATCACTCGTCACCACTTTTTGTTTCAAATGAGCCACAATCAAAACCCGGGTAGATGAAGGTAGGGGACAATCCCAGCCAGAAACAGCGGCCGCCTTTGTATTTCCTTACATGGTTCTGCCACCCATTTTAGTCTATTTTAGCTGGGATTGTGATGTTCACTGGGTGGATTTTGACCCATGGCCACATGGTTCTGGGTCCACCATTTTAATACCTGGTTTTGATTGGGACCCAAGTGGTGGGTTCAGATCCCGGGCCCAAGTTGGGTCAGCGTAACGGCGCGGTGCTTACCCCAAGCCTGCGGAGTGGTGTTGGCGTGGGGTGTTTTTGTGTTTAGTGTGTGTGTGTTTGTTGGATGTATGTGTTGTTGTTGTTTGTTGCGTTTTTCGTTTGTGAACTCCAACCAAGGGCTCCTTTTGAGACAAGAACCCAGTGGTTGCCTCGCAGAGATGGACGTTTTTCTGTTTGACACGGCACCTAATATGAAGTCTACCGTTAGAGGGTAAATGGGAGACTGCCCCTTACCCACCAAACCACCAATCATCAATCCAAACTACGAAGTAGAGGGAAGCTGAGCCTTGGTGGCGGTATTTGTGTCTTTCGCACGGCGCAAGGTCCACTACGACATCACGGGCGCGCTTCGGCATCAAACTGGGTTTCGTGTAAACCCTCAGGTCACCTGCCGTTTGTTTGCATTTTGTGAGGGTCTTCACATACTGGAATGCTGCATGCCAAACTGGGCATTGAGGAGATCCCGTACACAGTTTTTGGGGGCTTACCTGAAGGGTTCTTCGCTCAGAGTTTTCCACCAACTGCTCTTCCGCGACCGCGGGCAGATGCCAAGTGGCAGCCCTAGGTGAGTAAGAAGCTGATAAGCGCCGCCAGCACGTCTCGGTCATTTGGACACAGCTAAGACCCAGCCAACCGATATTGCCCTATAGACAAAAGTAAAACAAAAGCGACATCATCACTTCATGGTCGTTGGGACACATTTTGCATGTTTGCTTATTGTTTAGTGGGAAAGCCCCACTCAGCTGCTAAAATTTGAGAATGTTTGCTCCCCAAACCCAACGTCAACCAAGACTTCCCTGAACTATAAGATCCAAGCGCAATCCCTTCAAGCCCTGCAGATCCCCGGGGCGGAAGGGGCGGATGGGGGGCCCAGATCCCCGTTGGTTTCCCCTTGGTCTCCCTTTAAACCAAGGTGCTGCGGGGGCCACGAGGGTGGATGGGGGGGGGGGTTAGGGAAATCTTGCACGGTGTAGACCAAGCCTTGGGGGTGTCCTACCCTAGGTCCCCCAGCCAGGTGCCCGTTCTCACCCCTTTTTGGGTTGGGAGGGTTCCCTGACTTAGATTACAGAAAAAGGGTATCCTTATTCTAACCTCTCTACTGGAGGACCTTGTCCAACATTTGACCCCGACAACGGGCTGTTTCCCTCTTGGCTTCCACTAGCATTGCTTCACTGTTCTTGGCATGTTTTTTTTTTTGGTTCTGTTCATTTTTATTGGGGGTCTGCAAAAAAACAAGTTTTTAGCAACCATACCAAGAGTAGAGATGACTAGCATTGGTTTCCATATAGTTTCGCTTCGTCGAGCGAAGGTTTCCTTGGTCAAAAGCTTGCAAATCATCCTGATCGGGGTGAGGGACATGATTTTGATCCTCTTTTGTTTGGCGACCAGACTTTTTTCAGGGTACCCCGTTTTTACTGGCGTTTGAGGGAAACCACAAATAAAACCACAATTTCGTTGTTTGCTGGGACATGTGGAAGTAACGGGATGTCCAAATCTGCCACAACTACACCGCGCGGTGAGCGTATGGAGGGTTTCTTGGTTTTCCTTGTGCAGGCGCAGCTTGCATAGGCTTGCATTTGCTCTACGCGCAAGTAAGAGGGTGGACTTGGGTCAATGTCAACGAACTCACCCGCACCGTGCTATTGAGAGGTGGTTGCCGCTCTTTGTAGGGGATTAGTGTGGTTGTGGGGCATTGATTAGTATGGATATGTGTCAGACGGGGAGCCCAAACATAGTGGTTTTTCTTTTGGTTTGCCTTGGAAGGGTAACCCGGGTAGCCTCAGAAATAAAAAACGAGCACCCCTCTGGCCCAAACATTTGTAGTGTTTCTTTTGGTCCAATTACCTTCAAAAACAACTAGGTCCCGTCTCCCCTTCTTAAACTTTTTGGGGTGGAGATGGGGGGAGGCCTCCCCTACAAAAATAGACAAAAGAGAAAACAACTGTATTCTAACCTCTCAAATCTGGAGGACCTAGACCAACAAAACACGGCACCCGGTCACCCGGTATGGTTTTCTCCTGCATCTGCGCATCTGACAGTCTGAGGCCAGCTACGGCTTCTTCTTCATGTGGTTCAGCCTGGTCTTTCAGCTGGCCGCCTTGGGCATGCACAACTGCATGCCCGTGGGCAACGAGCTGACGGAGGCGTCTCGTTTCGCTCGCTTCGGGTTCGTGCCAAATCGCTCAACCAGTTGACCGGCCATATTGGGCTGACCATACGGAATGCCAATCTTGGTCAGGGGCCACGTTCCAGCTTGCATGAGCCGCTGGAGAGCATGAATGCGCGATTCGATTCACTGCCCCGTTTGTTCTCGGGGGGGCCTTCAATTGATCAGACGGATAGCGAGAGAGCTGATGCAGCCATGTCAGAGTTGGCGCGGACTTGGACCTGCTTCTAATTCTAATGAACTTGGCTGCTCAGAGCCGACCTTCTGATCTTTAAGTTCTCCCGTTTTGTCCATGGTTAGTCGTGGCCCCAGGTGAACCTTTGATTTCACGGTCCTTTGGGCAGGTGAGTCTAGTTAAAGGGAGTCCAAACAATTGTAGAAGTTCAACAGCCCACATCACATTTCAATGCGTATTCTGACCCATTGCTTGGAGATGATGATGTACCTGGGCCCTAAGCATGCATTTTTGTTGCTGTTTTGCGAAATCCGGATGAAGACGAAAAGGCGACTTTGCTTGACCCAAAGGCGACATTCCCCGACCAAAAAGCGACATTTGCCCACCACGCTCTGGCAAAAATTGAAGCAGCACTTTTAAAAGGAAAAGGTTCTTTTTGGAACAAGCGTATGTTGCTTTTTCAGCAGGCGGCAGCAAACATGCACACCTGGAGGGTCTAGGTATGTTGAACAATGGCAAGCCCTGTAGAATAGCGGCAAGGGCTTGGACCGACCCTACCAAACAACCAAGCAAAAAAACAAAAACAAACAGACAAACAACCGTACATGCATGCATATATGACATACAGGGCCCTATACCGAACTCCTCAATATGAACTCTAAATCAATCAATATTACCTCTAAATCAAGGTTGAACAGGAACTTAACCACCAAGGTAAAAGAACGCAAAAAACCTGCAGGTTTTGAGAGAAGGTTTGGTCCGCCCCATTTGCAGCGCTGAAAAAAACTTTGTTTGGCCCCCTGGTCACTTTGAGCGGCTCGTTTTGAGGAGGAACGGCTCTTCAACAAGATGCAGAAGGCGCAGATGGCCGAGCAACCGCAGGCGCGGTTTATGTGGGCGATGCGTGTGGGGCCCCACAGGGAATTGAACGAAGGCAGGGGAAGCCCGGTGAAGGCCCCCGAACCCCAGCTTCCATATGTTTAACAATATGTTTTGATGAAAACAAGGGGGCGGCATGAGAAAAATGAGGGGGAGGAGGGCATGGAAGTGAGGGCATGGAAGTGGTTAGGTCATATGATTCATGTGGCGCAACGCGGTTTGAGAGTCAAGGGGAGTTACTGCAATCCCTGTGCAGAAACAATAGGAGCCGCAAGGAAGCAAACACTTAAAGGAACATGATGTTTTTTTGAGTGTGGAAAACAGCCATTTGTCCGTTTCCATCCCTGTTTTGACATGGTCGTTTCCTAAATGGAGCAAGCGACCACAAATTTGTTGCTCGGGTTGCCCCAATCAGGGATCCCCACAGGGTCCCTTCAAAATGGAATTGGGGGAGGGGGGAGGAAACGATTCTGGAATATTCTGGAGATCTCCAGATGGAGACTCATTTTTCCCCCAAGGGCAAGACTAGAGAAGTGGGAAATTGGGAGACTCCCCACCCTCTCGCGAGGGTTCCAACTTTTTCGCCTGCGAGGCCACCATTGTGACGCCGCTGAGTCAAACCCATCGCAACCCCAATGCCTAGCCTCGGCTTACCACTAATCGGTGTTTTGGAGCGGTTTGGATTTGGATTCGGACCTCTGCTTCCTGTAGAGGAGTATTTGGGAAACTCCTCCTTAACCACCAAACCACCGGGCTCCAAACCACCAATTAGTGGGAAGCTGATAGCCGTTGATCGTCATGTTGTTTCTTTGGTGCATTTTGCCAAGGGATGTTAGGACTTTAACTTTTTGCCAACGAATGGGTTTTCCACTAAACCACTAAAAGCTAAACTTTTAGTAGGAGAGCAGAAAGCAACCGAGGTTTGTTATTTTGTTGGCGCGGGCAGCTTCCAATGCCCTGCGCCCTTGGCAGATATGTGAAACACCCTGAGGGCAAAGCATCTAAGTTGATCTTAGGTTGAGTGTCTAACTTTGAGTTTGCCTTCTTTCTTTTCTTTTTTTTTTTGGGGGGGGGGCATGTGGTGGTTGGAGTTTGACACTTTAACTTTTCTCCCCCCTCAAACGGCCCCCCTGGGTTTCTCTATTGATGCAAAGAGGTTGTCCCAGTCACGAGATGGTTTACCTTTGCCGCTGCTGTCTCCTTGTCTCCCCGTTTGTCTTCCCACTTGTCCACTTTTGTCTCCCTGCTTGGCTAACCCGGAACTTTTTTCAGCTTGTCTCCCCACGTCCCTCCCCACATATCTGCCTGCTTGTACGTTTGTCTACTCATTTACCTCTTTGCTGGTGCTTGCTGACTCCTGGGTGGTTTGGCTAGACACCGTGGACCCTTGCAGGCCGGCTACGGGGCTCCAGGCTACGGCCAAGCCGGCTACGGCCAACAAGGCTACGGCCAGCAGGGCTACGGCCAGCAGGGCTACGGCCAGCCGGGGTATGGGCAGCAAGGCTACGGCCAGCCGGGCTACGGGCAGCCAGGCTATGGCCAGCCCGCGCAGTGGGGCGCTGGCATGCCAGGCTGGGCCAGAAATCATGGCTTTCTGGGTTCCCCAGTAGTGCCCTTTCTCACCCCCTTTTTTTGGGGAGGGTTCCCCCATTAGAACAGACTGCAGAAAAAAAAGGTACCCTACTGGAAGATTCAGGCTGCACCTTTGCAACTCAAACTTGGCCAGTCCAGTGATGCAAGCAAGCCAGAAACAGCTACGGCCTTCTGCAAGTCTATGCAAACAATCATCCAAGACCCCTGTCCTAGAGCGACAAGTGCAGAAGGCCGCGGGCGAGACACCTGCTTTTGCAGATTTTTGCCTTTTGAGGGTGCACAAGGAGTGTCTTGAGGGCTTGCGGCACGTGCCCGGGTCCGACCCTGAGCGCAGCACCCCCCAGATGAATTCTGATGTGGGGTTGTCTCAAATTAAGAATCGGCACTCCTCAAAAGAAATTCATTTGTCAACCATTTGAAACCTGTTTTTTTCCACCAAAATAGAGGGAAACCACCATTTACAAGGCAATGCTCAGGTGTAATGTAAGGATCCCCATTTTTTATTTTCCCCTGTTGGTCTTAAAAGGGAATCTATCCTTCACTAGGTCAATCCCCCGTACAGTTGGATTGGTAAATCAACAGTTCCTGGACTTTAGGTCCCCCAGCGATTGCCCGCTCTTTCTCACCCCCTTTTTTTGGAAAGGGGACCGGTTGCCCTATAGACAAACCAGAAAAGCAAACACTTGGCGGCCTGATTCTAACCTCTCGAATCTGGAGGACCTAGATTTTGGAGGTAAACAAACAAGAGACTTTCTCTGGCCAACCCACTGGGGAAGTGAGTTTTTGCGGCCCAATGGATCAACGAGAGGCTGGGAAGTGAGTTTTTGCCTCCTTTCCTTGATCTGCCCTAAGGAGTCCTCATGCCAAGCTCCAGGACCCTTGCGCTTGGCAGGCGTGTTTTTTGGACGGGTCAAAAAAATGGGCGGCGGCGGTTTGTGCAAAATCTTACCACAAATCCACGACCCGGGGCCATGGGAGAACAGGATGCATGACATCATTGGTTTGTCCATTAGGGTGGTTTCATGGTTGTCGTTGGGAAACATTTTCCCATTTTTGCTTACTGTGGCTTAGTGGTTGAAATCCAAATCCACTTGGCTGCTAAAATTTAAATCTTTGCTACCCTTCCAACGTCAACCAAGAATCAACGGATCGCGAACGTGCCATATGTAGAGGTGTCCATGCACCAGCCAGTGATTCTTTTAAGGTTTTACTCGGCGCTTGTAAAAATATCCAAACGACACTCAGTAGAGGGAAGCTGAACAGAGAATCTGGCCATATCTTTGGTCGCCAATGCGCTGCGAGCTCAAACGGAGGGGGAAAAAAGCGGGTCGTGAAGGTTCTCTAGGGAATTCCTTACTTCAGATTTGTGAGTTATACTCTCCCACTATGGCACCTGAGTGGGTGGTGCCGCCCTACTGGTTCTTTGTCTCACTTCCTGAGTTGAACTTTAAACTTTTTGGGGCTGGACCGTTTTAGTGGTAAAAAAACAGTTTGGACTTTTTTTGGGCCATCTACGCAGCCAGTGAGTAACATTGTTGAGGAGTAGTTCCCCCAGATGGGTTGAGACCGTTGTCACCTGCTTGAGTATCGCCCTTTTGGGTTTCCATTTTGGCCGTGGTGCAAAGGCAGCGGCTCAGACTTTCGAATCTATGTCGGCACATGAACGGGCAGCTCAAAGATCAGTGGGTGCTGTTTGAAGATTTGCGATGTGGTCACATTATTCTCCCCCGCTGGCTAATTTTTTGGACCTACAAGTTGTCAGGTTGACATGTGTCTAGGTCCCCCAGTAGTGCCCTTTCTCACCCCTCTTTTGGTTGGGAGGGTTCCCCTACTAAAATAGACTACAGAAGAAAAAGGTACCCTTATTCTAACCTCTCTAGTGGAGGACCTAGTGGAAGCATACCAGGGGCCAGATAAAGAACTCACCTGCAATCACCTTTGCAGGCTACTTAGAGGAACTGGGACGAAATTGCCCCAAAGCGAATCAACCTTTTACTTTTCGAAATCAAGTTTTGGTCCAAATTTAGTTAAGGTTCCAAAAGGTTAGCCTTTTATTTCAACTTCTTTGGCCAAGTGAGGGTAGATCAGCTGGTTTTGGGCATGTATCCTTCTACCAGGTCTGAAAGGTATTTCTGAGAGTCCGTCCCTCTCAAAATGGTGGACTCCTTTTGGTTGGTAGCTGCAGCGAAACTAAGAGAAGAAACATCGATTTCGACCATGCAGATACCTCCCAACTACCACAAAGAATGGCAACAACTGTCCAGTGCCGGACGTGTTGTCCGTTTCAGGTTTCAGGTACGTGAAAAGTGGCTACATGAGCACTAGTTGGCTGGGCTGAGTGGCATATGTACTGCGAACCTCCACTTCATGCCCACAGAGGTTCGGCATAGCTATGAAACATCAACCTCTGCATGCAGCTTCACGTCTTCTAGGTCCCCCAGTAGTGCCCTTTCTCACCCCTTTTTTGGTTGGGAGGGTTTCCCCTACTAAAATAGACTACCGACAAAAAAACAATAAATTCGGGCACCCTTATTCTAACCTCTCATATCTGGAGGACCTAGTCCTACCCCGGTCCAAGGAAGGTGCTTCAGATGGCGTGTCCGTCTCCGGAGACCGGCGCCGCCAAGCTGAACCGTGGCCCGAAAAATGGCAACTGCTCGCCCGGAGCGGGCGCGGTGGATCGGGGCGAGCCGATTTGTTTTTTCTCCGGACAGCCGAAGAGCCAAAGACGACCAACAGGTGTCCTATCTAACCTTTTAGCTTTTTTTTGTGTTTAGTGGCAGTTTCCATTTAACCACGAATAGTTAAACTAGCGGGGGATCTGAAAATGGGCAGCCCAGCTAGGTCACTCACTCCAAGTTACGTTTCGGACTTGGAACTTGCTGGGTTTGGACCATGTCACTTTTCAAACGAACAGTTTCTCGACTTCTGGATTTCCACTCGATCGGAAGTGAGGTGCAGTTCGCCAGGGCCATCCATTGTTCAACTCGGCAGGGAATGAGAAATATATATATATATATATATATTTGTGAGCTTGGTTAAAAAGCAGATGGGTTCCACTGGTTTAGAGGGGTCTTGTTCCATCTGTTTTTCCTAAAGGCCGCCTATGGGATGCCAAGAAATCTTTCTTGTGGCTTCCTTTAAGGGCATCCCACGGTTCATCCCCGAGGACCGGAAGGTCACACTTCTTCGAGCGACAGCGAGGGGCGTGTGGGAGATTCGACGATTGCTGGCCCAAAGCGAATCCACCGGATCCAGCCAAAATGGTTTTGATTTGGCCCCGGTCTAGCACACCCTAGAGAAAGGAGGAAGTACGGGTGAAGCGATGTCCAGTAGAATGAAGAATGCTAAAAACTTCCTGCAAGCACAAGTGAAATGATCCCCAATATACACTTCTCGTTGCAGGCGAACCGATTCCCAAGTCTTTGTTCCCCGGAAACTGGCCCAAAGTTCCCAAACTGGAACGCTTCAAACAAGCATGTCGTCCAACAGAGTGCATCAGACAGCTCTAGCTCAAGCTCCTGGATGCTGCAATGCAGCTTAGATGAAAAGAGTATGTTTGTGTTCGGTGATGCTGACAATATACATGAGAAGATGCATGCACACGTGTTCCAGTTTGTCATATCTGTTTCGTTCTTTTCTTTCCTGCTTTTCTATGGGGGCCTGGCCTTTCTTTCTTGCCTTTTTTCAGCTTCCCCCATTTACCTCTGCAAAAGCTCGGGGTTCAAATCCTCAAGCCACCAATCCAAACCACCAACTAAGGGGTACCAGATTTGTTCCGGATCAGAGCCCTTCGCCGCCGCCATGCTGCTGCTGATCTCGCGGCTGGCGGTTGCGATGTCCGCATGTGAGGAGACCTCGCTGCTGCAAGCCAAAAGTCACGTGAGGACAGGCGAGAGCGCAAGCGGAGAAGTTTCGCTCTGTTTTGTAGCCAGCTCACCTGTACAACGAGCTCACCATGATAAAGCTCCTTTTCTTGGGGATCCCTTTTGGCATTGCATCAAGAATTGCAGGAAGATGCGCAGATTGAGGAGGGTTGAAGAACAAGTATCGTGTTTGTTATCAAGAGCCTCTGGCCGAAACGGCAGAGAGAGAGAGAGAGATAAGCTTCTTGTTGGGACTCGGTGTATCGTTTTTCGGGGATTGTTGGAGAGAGCATGTCCATTGGGTTCGGGTGTGGCCGTGGGAGTTGGCGGTCAGGACACCAGATGCGCCGAAGAACACAGTTGTGCCCCACCATAGCCAGGAGGCCTGCGGACACGTAATTACCCCCAGTGAACATCCCAATCTCTGGAAGTGTTTGAGTTTCGCACGAAAACAGCTTCGAATATGTTTCTAGGTCCCAGCTAGGTGCCCGCTCTTTCACCCCTTTTTTGGGGAAGGGAGGGCAAGCCCCCACTAAAATAGACTACAGAACCAAAAGGTTGGTACCAACTTATTCCAACCGCTCAAATCTGGAGGACCAGCTGGTTTGCGAATCGAGGTTCAGGATTTGTGCGCTTGGGAGGGGAGACTAGCCTTTCAATGGCCAAAGGGGCTTTGCAGCTTCTCAGCATCTTGGCGGTTGGTCTTCCATTTGCTTAATGTTTTATGGTCCCTTGTTGGTTTTAAAGGGAATCTTTGATTTTTATTGGGGGAGGGGGGTGACCCCTGGAATTCCATTTGTGGTTCCATTTCCTTCGTAAGGGGGAAAAAAGATAACTGGAATTGAGGACCCCCCACCCCCCTCCCCCTCATGGTAGGTGTTTTTTTTTCCGGTAGGCTTAAGCAAATGGACCCACGAATTCATTGTGCAGGCAGCGATGCCTCGCCGCAGAAGGCCCCTCAAGACACTCGCAAGGAGAATTGCTTAGCCGGGAGCCGGGAGCAAGCTACATGGCGGTCAAAATTGGGCAACCCCCAAAATGGAACCTGTGAAATGGAAACATTGACTACAATCTGCGGTCCCCGTTTTATGGCTTCGTTTTTCAAGTGACACATACGTCAACGAAGCGGTTCTGGTGACATTCTAGTTTTCGTTGGTGTCAGCCATGAGCTCAACAGCTCTTTCCAGAGGTGCGAGCTGTTTGGATTCCACGAGCGACCAGAGGCCACAGCCCGTTCCATGTTTGTGTTATTTCTTTTGAAGGTCAATCTTCAAGTATTTGTTCCCAACAAAAGACAACACATGTAAACTTAATTATATCAGTAGATGTTTATGGTATGATATCTGAAATGCACGGCGCATGCACGGGGGCTCGCGCTCTTGCGAGGAAACGGAAGGACGATGAGACAGCACTCACAAGTCTGAAGCAGCTACTGGCAACAGTAGGTCGACGTGAGGAGGCGCCTGTGACTTGTCGACTTGAAGACGGTTGCTGCCGTGCACCTCCAGTAGTGCCCTTTGACCTTTTTTTTGGAGACGGTTCCCCTAATAAGATAGGGTACAGCAAAAAGGGTACCCTTATTCTAACCTCCCTACCGGAGGACCTAGCTTGCTCAAGTGAGAGTGAGAGTTCCTCACGATTTTTGACTTTTGTCAAGTGTACGAACTTGTCGGGTCCCAGGTGTCATGGATCTTCACACCAAAATGTGGACATGGCAGGGATGACCAGTACCCTGAAACGTTGCTAGAGGAAATGAAGCGATCAAACATAGCACAGAATTGGTTAAACCACTTGATTCTGCACTGTTCTTGGCATGTGTTTTTGTTTTTTAGTTTTTTTGGTTCTGTTCATTTTTACTGGGGGTCTGCAAAAAACAAAGTTTTTTGCTACCATACCAAGAGTAGAGATGCGATCCAAGACGATAAGAGCGTTCAATCGTGAACATGTCAAATTGAGTCCCACGGCTTTCAGCGGCCTGTGACGTCAACTCGGTTGTATGGACAGACTAGGTCCCCCAGTAGTGCCCTTTTACTCTTTTTTTTGGGGGAGGGTTCCCCCCTGCTAAAATAGACTGCAGAAAAAAAGGGTACCCTTATTCGAACCTCTCTACTGGAGGACCTAGCAGAGGTGTGCTTTCAACCCGAGAAATGGGTGTGTCGAACGAATGATTCCAGGAATTTGATGAGTGGAGGAAACCAGAAGAACCTGTTTTGGTTTTCTTTGACTTTCGCGCCAAGCACAGGAGCTTGCAAAGCTTACTGGAGAACTCGAACGCATCTTGTCTTCGAAGAAGAAGACAGACGGAGTTGACATAGCTCGGGAGGGGTCCACGATCATCATCAACTCCAGTACGGTCTATGGGAATGTCATCGGCGGGAACAGCAACTGGTCGCCCATCAAGTCGGAGTTCCTGGGAAATCAGCAGAAGTCTCTCAGCGTGGGAGATGTTCCTTCCCCAGAATTAGCTCCCCTTTTGTTTTTTGTGTTTTTTGCTTTTTTGAGTTTTGGGTAATTGTTTTCCACAAACCAGGCAAAAAGGATAATTTCTTGCTGGGGTCCTAATTCCAGCCTAGGTTCATTGGCGCTGGAGACACACCGTCTTTGTGCCCATTGGCAACACCAAGAAGTCTGTGGACGTCAGCGCGAACCTTCACTGCTATTGGGTAACGGATCTTTAGACTTTAACTTTTTGGCTGAAATCATTCGGGGTTTCCCACGAAACCCCCAAAAAGTGAAACTAACTTTTTGCAGGGGGTCAACAGCAGCAACCGAGGAACGGGACGAATATCCGCCACAAGGTGGACACTGATTTGTTCGACAAGGGAAGCCAGCGCGGGCAGGTGACATCCTCTCAGCAAGCCTCCGGAAATGGCACAGAACTCGGCGATCTCCTGGACGATTTGGAGGATCCTCTGGATCAGGAGCCACAACATATGGATGGGGTCTCCCCTGGTGGCTCAAAACATGTACCAAAATTCGGCCACTTGGTAACTGGAACATACTAAAACCTGCGCGATTTTCGCGTCCCCCAGCAATTGGTGCCCGCTCTTTCACCCCTTGTTTGGGGAACATGATCCAGGGGTTCAATCCCCAAACCACCAATCCAAACCAGCAATTAGGGGTAAGTTGAGGCGGGAGCCAAAAAAGGGCCAAGCTCTCAGGGGCCAAGATCTTATAGAGCCCACGCCGGCAAGACATTTTTTGCAACTCAGGCGCCAACATATTTTATCATCCCAAGGGGAGGATAAGCCCCTACCAAAAGATAGACGACCAGAAGAAAGAAAGGGTACCCTTATTCTCAGTTGTTCAGTGGCTCCCTTTTTCCCCTTTTTTTGGGTGGCTGCCCCACTAAAATGGTCTTCCCAAAAAAGGGTTCCATTTTTTCCTGGGTCACTGAACAACTGAGTTATTCTAAGCCCTCTGGAGGACCTTGAGGATCCAGAGGATCCAGAGGATTCAGAGATGGAGGTGTCGACAACGTCTCCTGACACGCGAGAGCTGGGAGGACGGCAAAAGAAAACAAAAGTGCAAGCCGTGGCCAAAAGGGCTACGTGACTCTGGAAAAACCACCATGCATTTGATTAATTTGATCATGTCATGTCCATTTGACACTTGAATTCGGCTGAATTGATCGATCGAGTAGCCTAGTCGTCGTTTCAAGATCGACTTGGCCTGTCTCAGAGAGGACAAAGCCACCGCATGCGCCGCATGTGCATGGGGCCGGGTCGGGGTGACCAGTGTATCTTTTGGAGCCCGACGACCGGAAAGCCATCCTTTGCGGGCTCCTAGACGGCAGAAAACCCGAACTAGCCACCAAAATTCAGCGCAAGATTTAAGGAGGCAAAAGGGGGGCAAAAAGAGGCACAACTCGCTTCCTGAGTTCATGGACTAAAAAGCAACTTTTGGGGACCAATTTAGTGGCAAACAAAAAGTTTGGACATTTTCTGGCCAACCCACTGAGGAAGTGTGAAAAGGGTTGCCGTTTTCGTGGCAAGGCGTCGAATAAGAGTCACATGGTTTCCTGTGGCCTGAGGGCAGGGTCAGAGCATGTGATGCCCTGCCTTCTTTCTTGCGTGGGATCCCCTTCAAAGCCAACTGCCAAAAAAGGATTTGCCCCTTTTGTGCCAAACATCCAGCGGCTTGGGGCATGGGCCCGGCGCGTTTTGCCACCTGAGATGTTGTGAGTTGGTCTGCAGATGTGAGATTAGTACTCTTGGCTTATCTAAATGCAGCGAGGGTCAGTGATCGAGTTGAAGGTCGGCATGGGCAACTCGGGAGAGCTGCAGCCCTAGGCGTATATTCACTTCTCTACGGCAGCTTCTGACATGCTCAATTCGGCGCGCCTATGAACCTGCAACAAAGTGAAGGCTAAATAGCCCTTCGCTTCTAATTTGCTAGCTTGTGATTGGAAGGGAGCCAAGGAGCTGGGTGTATCCAAATTTGCATGTAAAGAGGGAGCTAAGGAGCTACCCGGAGTTCTGGTTTGCCAGGGTTCAACCTCCATCAAAAGAATGCTGGACCCAACTTGCATCATGCAATTCCTGACCGGTAAAAAAGGTAGGGTTGTTATATGATCATCCCCTTTGATTTGGTGGGTGTCCGACCTCCACGGTATATATCTAGGCCCCCCCTTTTACCTTTTTTTGGGGGGAACCCTCTAAAATAGACTACAAAAAAAAGGCTACCCTTATCCTAACCTCTACTGGAGGACCTAGTGACCGAACGGTTTCTTTGTCAGCCAGTCAACTCAATAGGTCGGCCCAGTATTGGAGATTTCCGTTTAACCCCCTAAAAGTTAAGAACTTTTCGCGGAAGATCTGAGGACAGCCTTATTAAGACAATCTGGTTCCCCTAATATAGACAGAAAAAAAGTGGGCACCCTTATTCGCCCTTATTCTAACCTCTCAAGTCTGGAGGACCTAGTATATGATCACCCCCTTAGATTTGGGCCCCCAGGGTAAGCAAATGCAACCTCCTCCCCGTTTGTGCCATGGATGATTTCCCCAAGTGCCGGCGCCTGGACCCCTCCACCGCACGGAGCGTGGAGGGTGACGCCGAGTGGACGCTGCACAACGCGTCGGCCATGCGGGCGCACTTTGCGCCGCCGGGCGACAGGTTGGAGGAACCCGTCTTTCCGTTTTGCTTTGTTGGTGGTTCTTCTTACCTCTTAAAAACACAACTTTTCAACTTTTTGGGTAACATGGGCTATATGTCTGTAACAGATTAACTTCCCCAGGGCTTGGAGTTTTAAGGGGTAAGTCTTTGTTGTTGTTTTTGTTGTTGTGTTCTGTTTGCTTTTTGGTTGATGTGTTTCCTCCCTCGGCTGTGTTTTTTGATTGGCCTCATCTCCAACCTCGGATCTTCAAAAAGGGACCTAAGGGAGGCTGGGGAGGCTGGGGGGGGGGGGTGATCCTAAAGCTTAGAATAAGCCAACTTTATAAGTCGGCCTCAATAAGGACAGGACTTATGGACCCCCAAGGAGCCTATCCCCGGAAAAGCCAAAGACAAGCCCTTAGTAAGGGGGTTAATAAGCTTGGGGTCCACGATTCCACCATGTGGCTAAGAAGGTAACCATGGTTCTAAGGGGACGATCACCCCACTTGCACGAGTGGTAACCGTGGTTGCAACCTACTTGCTGAGTTGGTCGACATGCAAGTTCACTTGAATACTCAGCCGCTACTTAGGGTTATTATTTCGATTGTTTCTAGGGGGACAGGGTAAAGGGCGAAATATGTTGAATAGGGTTGTGGGCTGCTTTAAGGCCAACCTAATGTCATGTTTGGAAGAGTAGGCTATATGACTAATGATTGAGCCACTTTGAATTCTAATGCTTTCCCGCCAGGCTGCCTTTGATCAAGTCTGCCTGTTGTATCGATATTGAGCTTCTAAAGATATGGCAAACGCACATGTTATTGACAATGCTGTTGCGGAAAGTCGTACTGCTGCGAACTCCATTCGATTTTCCCAGGTCTTAAATGCCATCTCGGACCTCAAAGCAAGACACTGGCGGTTTGTGAAGAGTCAAGGTATCAATAGTAGGGCATGTTCCCCTCCAAGGCGACTAGGTCCCCCAGTAGTGCCCTTTTACCCTTTTTTGGTTGGGAGGGTTCCCCTACTAAAATAGACTACAGAAGAAAAAAAGGGTACCCTCTACTGGAGGACCTGGGCCAGGTTCGCCCAACAAATCACAATCCCGGAGCTTGAATCCACATCGTGAAGGTTCCGGGTGAAACTTGTGCAGTATTGACCCATTGACAGCTTCCCAGAAAACTGCTTGCCCTGGAAGGTTCCAATTCCCACCGGCCCCTGGGGACCTGGTTTTGAGGAGACCCCGCCTTGAGCAAACGCGAAACCAGGCGCTGGATTTTGGTTCATGGTGTTTTGGTCCAAGCAGGGCGTGCGTTTTGAAACTGAAAGGGAGCGTCCCGGCCCCACCTCGTTTGCCACACACCTAGGGGAAACTGAACAACCGATTTTTGTTCGCCCGCCCTTTTGATATTGGGCGTGTCTTAAGCACTTGAGGACCCCGTAATAGTATGGACATATCCCTGGGCGCCCTTTTTCCTTGCCTTACTGAGTCGAGACCCTCTAGAGAGAGACAAAAAGAGAGAGAATAGCGTGACACCCCTTAAACCTCTTGTGGTCTCCCGTTTGGTCTCCCATTTGGTCTCCCTTTCAAGAAACCTCAAAGAGGGCATGTACCGAGCCGCGGAGCCGTCTGCCGAGCCGAGCCCAGCTTGAGGCGCCTGGGCCGCGGCGGCGCCGGGCATTGCGAGTGCCAGCATTTCCAGCTCCCGGGCTTTCCGGAGGTGGACTTTGCGCGGCCGGGCCGAAAGCCGAAAAATCCGGCAAAAACACCATGCATAGGGATGCGGGGGAAGGAGGGACATGGGCAGAGTTTTGATAGATGGGTCAAAATTAAAGCACCAGGGGAAGTCCTTGGTTCCGTTTACTAGGGTTCCAAAATGGATACCCATGTTTGACCCACACCCAAGCAGGAGGGAGATGGGTGTGGGTCAAAACTAGACCAGCAATTGGACCACAGGTTGAAATGTCCATGTTGCCACCAGGGTTCCATTTTGGGTAGCTATTTTTGACCCACAGCCAGATGGTCAACATGGGTTCCCTAATGACTTCCTGGAGCATCCCCGCTTCCCACAAGGTCTATTGCCTTGTTGGGGAGGATTGGGGGCTAGGGAAAGCTGGCGGTTGGAGTGGTTCAAGGCCATTGCCCTTCTGTGGGGCCCTTGGAACTTGGGGGCTATGGGGGAGGGGGCTGGCAATTTTTAGGTAGTTCTGGGGCCAGACCTGAAGATGGCAAAGACATGTAGCCAAGCAGCATGGCTTTTGATGAATCTGAAGAAAATCATTAGGCAGTTTTCTACAGGGGTAAACGATATTGGTCTTCCGTTCAACAGCGGGAAGCTCTGGGGTCTTTGCCCGGATACCCTCTGGGGAGGGTTCTGGAGCGCTCCGGCGAGTTCCGGACTGTTGGGGATACCACCTGGGCTTATTTACAGTTTTAGGACCCTAAAGGGTGGACTCTCAAGTGCGGCTGAAACACTGGTTCCAAGCCTTTCCCTAGAGAAACACCCCCAACCGCAACGTTGAGCCTTGTATTCCCAAGGGAGCCACAAGCCACTTTTGACTTGCCCAGGCTCAGAAAGGCCCAACAGGTGGGAATGAACCAGGGGTTCCCTTCACCACTCACTTCCGATGTAATAAACTGGCTTGACCTCAAGGAAGTCGAGAAGGTAGACTGCCCAGAAGGGACCATCCAGATCCAGGAACTTGGAGAGCAAGTTGAAGGAAACCACCACGATGGTCGGGCGCTGGAAATTCCCTGCCCGAGCAAGTTGACGATTGACGAAATATCATGGACCTGGGGGAGGCAAACCAAGACTCATTTCCACATGTTTGTTAGAGAATCTTTTGGGATTCCCGCAACTTGGCCCCTTGTTTGGTTTCATCAGACCGTTCCAGAGTTGTTCCTAGAAAGGTTCTAAGGAGCCTTTCAGGAAGTCCCCCCCGTGAATTCCCTGTTGCATTGCCAAACTTGGCTTTCCTTTGAAAGGCTCTTTTTCTTGTGTTATTAGCTTTTGTTTATTACTATTATTAGATCAGAACAAAAAGTTGCTGCGCTTTTTGTAGGGGCCTCCTGGCAAACTCACCTCCGCGCAAGGCCGACCTTCTGACCTCCTGACCTTCCCCCTTTTGGGGTTCCCATTGGTGGCCGCGCAAGGTGATCACCTTTCACTTCTGGATCGATCGCTAAGGGGGCTTAGCTGAGTCTTGGGGTTTCAATCGAACCCAAAAAAGGAAGTCGCAGAGGGAGTTCCTAGAACCCAACCCCCACCCCAAAAAAACACACACAACAACAACCTTAGGTTCTTTTTGAGCCTTCTTGGGGTTAGGAGCCTTCTACGGGGCTGCGCGTTGCGACTCCAAGGTTCATGCTCTACCCCTTGGGCCGCGGATCCACCGCCAGCGCCGGCGCTTCCGCCGGCGAGAGTTTGTGCCTGGCGCTCCACGTCTCGGGCCTGGGGTGTGAGGCCGTGGGCTTTGAGGCGGGGAAGCCTCGGTTGTATCGGATTTCCCGGGCGGGGGGTGTCCTTCGTTGATAGACCTTTTTTTTTCTCGGGGGGGAAGGGGGTCCTTCGTTTTTGTTTTTTAGGGGGGGAGGGGGTCCTTCGTTGTTTAGCTTTTTTTTAGGGAGAAAGAGATCCATTATCCAAATTAGCTCCGAGGGAGCCTTTAGTTCTAGTTAGGTACATGGCAGCCACAACGGGCATCCTCGAAAAGGAATAGGTTTGGCTCCAAATTGGAAATATGAACCCCACAAGGTTCCCCCCCCCGAAACACACACAAAACAGAAGCAGATAGCCTGGCAAGCCCGTACCACTTTCGACCCGCAAGCAGTCGCTTTTCTCACATTGGAGTCGATGGGAGTGTGGTGGGGGGAGGAAAGTAAGAAATTGTGGAATTATTTGGGTAACTTTAGTTGCCACCCAGCCAAATCTTTAATTCAAGACCTACAAACATGTGAATTACATGGCCTTGATCAATGACCGATGAAGTGAGAGAATCAAGCTGTTCTAGGTCCCCCAGTAGTGCCCTTTTACCAACTTTTTTTGAGGAGGGTTCCTCTAAAATAGACTACTGAAATAAGCCGGTACCCTTATTCTAACCTCTCTACTGGAGGACCTAGTGTTCGGCAATATGGGTTTCTCACGGCTTTTCCTTCTAAAGGCCACGACGACCTTAGGCCCAAGGCCCCCAAAGTAGGCGCCAAAGGGCCCGGAGATCCGGAGATGCCATGGGAGCAGCTCAGAGCAGCGCAGCTCAGAGCGCCAAGTTGGTGGAGCCAACGTGCCATGGAGTGCACCGCTGCTCCTTCCCCATGTACGTGGTCAAGGCACCCACGTGAATGCAAATCCAAGCGAAACCCATGGATCTGACCAACAGTTTCTTGGGTTCCCACTTTTGGCTTCCTACGTTCGACCCATCGGGATGACCAAAAGTTTTTGGGGCGCCCCTTTTCTGTATGTTCTTGCTTTTAGTGGCGGACTAAAACTAAGTCACCCAGTAGTGCCCTTTGCCCTTTTTGGTTGGGAGAGTTTCCCTACAAAAAAGACTACAGAAAAAATAAACGGTACCAACTTATTCTTACCTCTCTACTGGAAAACCTAGGTGGTTTTTGACCATGATTTTACCCTGGAGTTTCATCATCCAAATTGGGTTCCACCATTCTTTTAATGGGAGTTGAACCCTAGGGGGTCTGTGTGCGTGTTTTGAGGGTGCCCCCCTTTTTCTTTTGTTTTGGTTGGGGTTGCGTTCTTGCTTCAAAATGTCTGGTTGATCCCCAATGTTGACACCATAGGTCTGATTCCCCTACGGTCTTTTTGGTGGCCGAATAAAAAGGCAAAGTTGTTTGTTCCTGGGTCCTTTGGGCGAAGGTGCAAGACTTTTTGGCCATGGAGGGAGTGCCGGAACCGCACCAAGTCTTGCGGCAGAAGGGATTGCTTCAGGACTCTTGGTGGCAAGCCCAGCCATCCCCTTAGCTTCCATTTGCTTAAGGATATCTTATATATGTTCCTTTGTTGGTTTTGATGGGAATTTATCACTACTGGAAATATTGTTATTTTTCCAGGGGGGCTCCAGCAAATGCAAGTTAGCATATGTCTTTTTTCCCCAAAAAACCCTCTGGGGTTGGGTTCTCGCTTAGTTGTCTACCCGCGAGGGAGCAAGGATCGGCAGGGGTTCGGCCTGAAGTGTACCATGTTTGCAGCATGCCGTGTAAACGCCACTGGCCGGAAAATGGCCGAACAGGCGGCCTGCCGGCGGAATTGCCGGCAAGAACAAGGCCGGTCTCAAGTGTGCCGAGTTTACCGCATACCGCAGGGCCGAGTTTGCAGCATACCGCGCAAGCGCCGCCAAGAACGTGACCGGTCTCAAGTGTGTCCGAGCTTTGCCGAGTTTACCGCATAGCCGGGACGACCTTGACTGTTGGTGACTGTGCCGACTGAATGGCTGGAGGCCGCGCCGGTGGGATTTGGTCCACAGAGGCGCAGCGATAACGAGGCGCGGTCGTCCGTGCGCCGTTGGGGTTTGGCTCCAGGAAAGCAGCGAGAATGAGATTTGGCTTGCCGGAGGCGGCAAGGATGGAGGTGACGGCGGCGTGTGCTGGTGGGATTTGCTTCTGCGGATGCAACCAGCGCCGAGGTGACAGGGGGTGCTGGAGGCCACGTGCCGGTGGGATTTGGGCCACACAGAGGCGCAGCGATAAAGAGGCGCGGTCGTTTTGGCTCCAGGAAAGCTGGGGTCATCCGTGTGACGGCAAGGCTGGAGGTGACGGCGGCGTGTGCCGGTGGGATTTGCTTCTGCGGACGCAACCAGCGCCGAGGTGACGGGAGGTGCTGGAGGCCGCGTGCCGGTGGGATTTGGTCGGTGGGACTTGGCTTGGCGGAGGCGGCAAGGATGGAGGTGACGGCGGCGTGTGCCGGTGGGATTTGCTTCTGCGGATGCATGATCAACGGCGCTGGAGGCCGCGTGCCGGTGGGATTTGGTCCACAGAGGCGCAGCGACAACAAGGCGCGGTCGTTTGTGTGCTGGTGGGATTTGGGTCCAGGAAAGCAGCGAGAATGAGCTGGGGTCAGCCGTGTGCCGGTGGGATTTGGCTTGGCGAGGGCAGCAAGGAAGGAGGTGACGGCGGCGTGTGCCGGTGATATTTGCTTTTGCGGAGGGGAGGTGCTGGAGGCCGCAGAGGCGCAGCGATAACGAGGCGCGGTCGTTCGTGTGTCGGTGGGATTTGGCGCAGCGATGACGAGGCGCGGTCGTCCGTGCGCCGGTGGGATTTGGCTCCGGGAAAGCAGCAAGAACGAGCTGGGGTCATCCATGTGCTGGTGGGATTTGGCTTGGCGGAGGCGACAAGGATTGAGGTCACGGCGGCGTGTGCCGGTGGGGTTTGCTTCTGCAGATGCAACCAGCGCAGAGGTAACGGGAGGTGCCGGAGAGGCCGTGTGCCGGTGGGATTTGGTTCACAGAGGCGCGGCGATAGCAAGGCGCGGTCGTCCGAATGCCGGTGGGAGTTGCTTCCAGGAAAGCACCGAGAACGAGCTGGGGTCATCCGTGTTCCGGTCGTGCCGGTGGGATTTGGTCCACAGAGGCGCAGCGACAACAAGGCGCGGGCGCGGTCGTTCGTGTGCTGGTGTGATTTGGGTCCAGGAAAGCAGCGAGAATGAGCTGGGGTCAGCCGTGTGCCGGTGGGATTTGGCTTGGCGGAGGCAGCAAGGATGGAGGTGACGGCGGCGTGTGCCGGTGATATTTGCTTTTGCGGAGGGGAGGTGCTGGAGGCCGCAGAGGCGCAGCGATAACGAGGCGCGGTCGTCCGTGCGCCGGTGGGATTTGGCTCCGGGAAAGCAGCAAGAACGAGCTGGGGTCATCCATGTGCTGGTGGGATTTGGCTTGGCGGAGGCGACAAGGATTGAGGTGAAGGCGGCGTGTGCACGTAGGGTTTGCTTCTGCAGATGCAACCAGCGCAGAGGTGACGGGAGGTGCCGGAGGCCGCGTGCCAGTGGGATTTGGTTCACAGAGGCGCGGCGATAGCAAGGCGCGGTCGTCCGAATGCCGGTGGGATTTGCTTCCAGGAAAGCACCGAGAACGAGCTGGGGTCATCTGTGTTCCGGTCGTGCCGGTGGGATTTGGTCCACAGAGGCGCAGCGACAACGCGAGCTGGGGTCATCTGTGTGCCGGTGGGATTGGTGTGGCGGAGGCGGCAAGGATGGAGGTGACGGCGGCGTGCGCCGGCGTTTCCAAAACTGGAAGTCACGGTGGGGCAAAACTTGGCAGCGGCGCGTTTTCTCACTGCGCCCAACCCGGAATATCAGACCTTTGATGACTCTGGAATTCCTGGCGTCATCAAAGAGTTGGTCACCTTTGTGCAGGCTGACGATACTTTTCAGCAACCAACTGGGGCTGCAGTCGCTTGGTTATCAGACAGCTGCAATGAGCTCGGGCCTTTGTTTCCACCGTGTGAATTTCATCCAACGCTGGCAAGATCGGGCAAGCCTGTTCGCGCAAGCCGCGCTTGCACGCGCGCGCGCGCCTTTCAGAAATGCTCAACTTCACAAGGAAAGGCCCGCTCGCGGCGCGCGCGCGGCGCGAGCCGGCCGCCGTCCCCTCTGAACCATGTAGCCCAAAAACATTGCAAGCAAATAAGAAGGAGCAAGCCAGAATATTGGTTTCCTTAAAACAAGCTCAGCAAGCCCCGGTCCAGTTTACTGCACAGCTTGACGACGTGTTTGCTAAGCCTGCTTTCTTGTTAGTTTGCTCTTCCCTCATGCGCAGCGATTCAAGCTCAATGGAAAGGGATGGAAGTAGAGCTATGAGAGAAACCGTGAGAACCTTCACGCAGCAGCAATAGCAGCATTGTCGGTCTGCCTGTGTCGCCCACGAGCTCCTGCCTGCAAACTGCTTGGGCAAGCAGTTCGCTGACAGTCATTCACAACTGTTTGTTCGCATCTTGGTTTTGGGGTTCCTCGGCTCTCCTTGTTGTTTGGTTTGCCTTCAGAAAATAGAGGGCGCTGGTTTAGAAAATGCCACCTATGACCCTTAGCCTTTTAGCCTTTTAGTGTTTAGTGGCTGGATTTCCGTATTTAACCCACTAAAAGTTAGTCGCTAACCCACTAAAAGTTAGTCGCTTTTAGCCGGGGATCTAAAAACGGGCAGCCCAGGAATGGCAGCCGGGAATGTTCGTGATCTTCGTGTCCCACCAGTGGCTGGGCTCTACATCTCCAGATCCCTCCGGTCAGCAAATGGCAGTGCTGAGGCAGGCGCTTCGGGCTTTCATAGATGGCTCCATGAAGGTGGAAATGGACTTGATGCGCACCTTTGGCAATGATACTTGATTGCTATTGGGTTGGATCTTTAGACTTTAACTTTTGGTAAATGAAGGGTTTTCCATTGAACCCGCAAAAAGTTAAACTTTTTGCAGAGAGGTCAACAGCAACCAAGGATAGAGAGGGCACGAGCTATGAGCAGGTGGCTGATGGATATCTATTTTTAGATTGGTTTGCGATCCCACAGGTCACGCAAAGAATCGATGGCGTCAATGATGATGCTACAAGATCAGATACAGCCCGCGCTGTTCAGAGCATCCCGGCCTATGTTGAAAGTTGTGATATGTTTGTGGCGCTCGTGCCGGATCTGATTCATAGCGGTACCGGGCTTCAGTGCAATTACGGCACGTGGCTGGCGCGGGGATGGTGCCGCGCAGAACTCTGGTGTCGCTTGTTATCGAATCGGCCTGACACCAGCGTGGTGGTGATCTTTTCCGCCAAAGAGACTTGACTGCTATTGGGTACCCTCCCCCAGACTGACATGGAAGCTCCCAGGACCCCTTTGTGAAGACTTGGTTCCATTTACAGAGGCCTTCTGGGAGCTTCCATCTTAGCCTGAGGGAGTGTGACGGATCTTTAGACTTTTAACTTGTTGGTTGAAATCATTCGGGGTTTTCCTCCAAAACCCACAAAAAGTTATATAAACTTTTTGCAGAGGGGTCGCTGCAGCAAGGAGACCATCTACAGTATTCCCTTGGATTGGCAAAGGAACTTGATCTCAGACGGCTTGTTCACCGTGGAAAGCGATCGCGCAGAGGTGGTGAAGCTTGGAGAGGTGGCGCTCAGAAGCAAGGTGGAATACTTGCAGGAATTCGGACCGTTGACGGACTACCGCTTTCACTTGGCTCAACAGCCCAGGTTGCTGAATCAAACGAAGAAAGTCTGGGGACTTGATGGCTTTTTAGAGCGCTTCAAGTTTCGAGACCTTGAGGCCGCTGTGAAACATGAAAGCGGCATGACCGGCATGTTGTGCGCAATTCTTGAAGGCGATGCGGACATTGTGCAAGCCTTGGTTGAGCATGCTGGAGATGTGAATGCTCGTGTCAGCGGTCTTGGACACTTGGGCTTTTCGGATGGTCTAACACTGGTGATGGTTGCTGCTTTTAGCATTCCTGAGCCGACGATGCTGTCTGCCCTCCTGAGCTTGCATGGGGATCCCAACCTCTCATGCATTTCTGAGACTGGCTCAATCATCACGGCTGCATCATGGTTGTCGTTGGGAAACATTTTACTTTTTTGCTTACTGTGGTTTAGTGGGAACTCCCCACTGAACTGCTAAAAAAATAATCTTGGCTCCCCTTCCAACGTCAACCAAGGCATGGGTGGTGTCCCATCCCCAGCAAGTGCAAGTGCTGCTGGAGAAAAGAGCGGACCTGTCAACTTCGCCGCCCTTGATCGGTGCCGTTGGGTATCTTCACCCTTCTTGGTGTTAAGTTTTTTGTTGTGGTTGGTTGGTTGGTTCTTGGTGTTAAGTTTGTTTGCTAAGTTTTTTGTTGAGTTAAGTGTTTGTTCTTCTTCTCGTTTTTCTTTTGGTTGGCTCTCTTCATGTTTAGTGGATTGCTGGCAGGCGTGTAGGTGTTCTTTGTCTAGGTCCCCCAGTAGTGTCCTTTCTCACCTCTTTCTTGGTTTGGAGGTTTCCCCTACTTCTCTACTGGAGGACCTAATTGTTGTTTCTTTGGTGCATTTTGCTTGGATGTCAGGACTTTAACTTTTTGCCAACTATCGGATTTTCCGTATTAAACCACTAATAGTCAAACTTTTAGTAGGGGAGCAGAGTTCGCAACCAAGGTGTTGTTTTTGTTGTTTTTGTTCTTTTTGGGCGGTGGGTTGCAAACAAAAAGCCGACTCCACCCGTGAGGTATGCCTCAGCCGCTACCGTGAGGGGCTTCCTGGAGATACGCTGCGATCCCAACCAGGTGGCGCCCAATGGCTTCGGGCCGATGTTCCTTCAGAATTGTTCCCCTTTCTTTTTTGTTTATCTATTTGTGCAGTTTGCCCTACCAACCTTCTTCCCCAGAATTAGATACCCCCTTTTATATTTTTGGGCTTTTCTGGGGTTCCCGTTTTTTTTTTCCACCACCAGGCAAAACATGTCATATGTTTTTGCCGGGGTCCCTTTTCTCCAGCCAAGGTTCGGGGTGTCCTTTTTCGGGCGTGGCAATCCGGACGCCTCGGAAGCTCGCCTTCCGATGACAAAAGTTCTGGCGGTTTTTGTTTGCTCGAGTCGTTTTAGTTTGTTCACTTGGTGCACTTCACTTGATTATCAAAATCAAAAACCAAAAAAACAACAACTATAAACCTGTACCTCACCTCCGGCAGTCACTTTTGGGGGTTTGGACATCGATTTTGGTTGTACACTGAGTTTGTTTTTTGTCTTTTGGCTGCCAACTCACAAAATCTGAGGAAACCTTAAAGCTGCTGCTGGCCTGGCGTGGGGATGTGAATGCCCAAGCTGATGTACGTGGACTCCTCTACTGGGATTGCCTGCAAGCCCGCGTTTGCGCCGCTCTCCACGGCTTGGACGCCTGCGGAGGCTATCGGCGCCAGATGGCGTCGCTGCCGGGGGCCACGCCTTTGTCAATCGCTGCAGTCACGGGAGACCAGGCGCTGGTGAAAATCCTCTTGGAGAATGATGCGGAACCTTGGTGGCAAACCCAGCCATCCGGTTCCTTAGCCTTTTAGCCTTTTAGTGTTTAGTGGTAGGTTTTGTATGTCCACTGAAAGTTCGTCACTTTTAGCGTTTGGGCTCTGAAAACGGGCAGCCCAGGAACATGTTGCAAACGAACGCGGCGATTTGCCGGAAGACTTGGCGAGAGCAGCAGGCCATACGGAGCTGCTGCCTATGCTCTCCACTTTTTCTGTGTAGGACGCTCACGCGTGCGCGCTCACGTCGTCGAGGCCCCCTGGCAGCGCAAAATGCGCTTGATCAGCTTGGGCTTGAACTTGCGATGGACGAAAATGCAGCAAACATAGGAAATGGTCGCAGAGCTGGCTAGCAAACGGGAATTGTGAGCATCTCGGAGGGCCTTGGCATCAGACTGCATCTAGAAACATGGGTTGATTTTGTAGTGCAACATTGTGAACAGGGGTGCCATTTATTTGTTTCATCTTTGTAAAAGCTGAGGCACTGTCAGATTCGTCAGATGCCATGTTTTCTTCTGCCAATGGCTTCCTACTGCCTGAGTTCATGGACTTTAAGTGTTAGGGGAAGGCCATTTTAGTGGCACTCAACAAGTTTGGACACACTTTTTTGGGTCCATCCTCTGAAGACGTGAGCTGCCAGGACGGCCGATCTCAGGAGGACCAAAATTCGGAATCCCCTGGAAGCCTAAGTCATCTTGAGCAGGCCCTTGACGCGTTTGCGAGTTGTTTTTTTCAGATTGGGTAGACCAAGTTGGTCTTTGCCATGGGCTAGCAAGCCCTTCTGGGATTTTCTGGGGCACTGAGGCACAAACCGTCTTCGTCCCAGGCATTCACCTTTTGGAACCAAAACTCAGTTGTTCAGTGGCACCCTTTTCCCCTTGTTTTTTTGGTGGCTGCCCCACTAAAAATGGTCTTCCCCAAAAAGGGTTCCCTTTTTTTCCAGGGTCACTGAACAACTGAGAAATTGGTAGCTTCGGAATTTGGAGGGACCCTCAAAAGCCCAAAGAGTTTGTTTCCTTGGAGCCGTTGCTTAGCGTCAGGATTCAATCTCAGACTAACATGGAAGCTCCCGTCTTCCCTCTGGAGTCTTGGGAGCTGCCATGTGATCTTGAGGGGAACGATGGATCTTTAGACTTTAGCTTTTTGGATTCCGGCTGCGACCGATTCATTCATCCCTTCGATGGCCTTCCTGAACATTCGCAGAACGAAGCCCTACAACTGGAAAAATTAGGAAACAAACTAGGTCCCCCAGTAGTGCCCTTTGTCCCCCCTTTTTTGGTTGGGAGGGTTCTCTACTAAAATCGACTACGCAAACAAGTTGATCTCCTCTCTACTAGAGGACCCCGCAAAGGAGAGACATGGAGCCCCGAAACTTGTGGGGGGAGCCTTTTCCACAAGGCGTTTCCGAGAGTTTCCTCTAGACATGGAAGTTTGGGTTCCATGATATTTGGAGAGCACGGAGGGAACAAGAGGGGAAAGATTGGAAGAGGTCAATTTGTCTGGAGTAGTCCGAAGGTTTTTTCAATTGCCAAGCCTCCAAAACGTCGCCATCGCCTCAGGTGCGTCTGCGCATGGCAGTTGCTACAACAAGCGGTGCGATGGGCGCGCCGAATCCGCTGGCGGAAGTGCAGGAGGAGGGGCAGCTGGCAGGCAGGGAGTGGGCACTGAATTCCTGGCCTTCTTACCCGGACCATAGGTGTCCTTTTTGGTTGTTTTGGTAGAAAAAATAGATGGCCCTGGTTTACCTGGTGGTTTAATCATCTACCAGGGCCATCTATTTACCCAAAAGGACACCTATGCCTGGGACCATGTTACTCAGTTGCAAGCGAATCGACCTTCTCATATTTTTTGGCTTCCCCTTTGTAGGCCCAACAGATTAACCTGGTATTTCTGGGTCCTTTGCGCAACTGAGTGAGCTACAGTTTGGACGTGCCAATCCACTCAGGGAGTGAGGTTTGGTGGGCTTTGGATTTTGTGGGCGTGGCGGAAGGTTCCAGAAGGCCAAGATTTCCACTCTCTCGCATTATAAGTGCTCATACCTTGGCAGAGATGTTTGGGTGATTTTAGAAAGGTGACACGCAACAAGTAAGGCACCTCCTCGGAAATGTTGGTGTCACGTGGCGACTTTTTTGCAATGCCAACGTGGCGACTTTTTTGCTGCCCAACTTTGGCTGAGTTGTTGGTGTCATGCCCTTGGGATGGGCAAGGGGAAAAATTAAGTTGTCAAGCTCATGGCGCCCGAAACCGATTCAATCGGAGGGCGGACAGTGCAAACCACAAACTAAAAAGCGCGACGTTGCCCACTTCCAACTAACTCTTAGATTCCTCTAAACTACCCTTCCTCCCATGAACGTAGTATTTGTGGGGAGGGGACCTGAAAGCGAACATGTCCTCTTTAAGGGGCAACGTGGAGGGGGAGGGTACCATTCCTGATATGGACCCCAGAAAGCTCATAGAGCAAACTGATCCAGGAAACCCTCTACCCCCAGCTAGGTGCCCTTTCTCACCCCTTTTTTGGTTGGCAGGGTTCCCCTTTTTTATAGACTGCAGAAAAAAGGGTGCTCTGATTCCAACCTCCCCACTGGAGGACCTAGTAAACTGATCCAGGAAACCCGGACAGGTGCTATGTTAGCCCTTGGATGTGCCTGTGGCCGGTCAAAGGCTCCACATAAATGCTGATTTGGTTTTTGTTTTGGCAGGGAAGTGGAGGCTGGCTACCCATCAAAACCACGGGTTAGGGGGAAGCTGTGAAGCATGAGAGAAATACAATTACTCATGTCAAGCCGTTCCCGGAAGCAGGGAACTGTTTTTGTTGGTTCTAAAGGGAAGCAACAAGGATCATACGTGCCCACTTATTTGACCAGATTTGGATTTAAGGTCCCATCCATTCTAAGTACTTGGGCCATTGCAGTATCGTCAAATTGCGCAAACATGCTTTTTAGTTTGCCCCTTGTTTGAAAGGGAGGCTATTACTGGACATGTTTATTATTATTATCATTATTGTTATTATTTCCAAGGGACTTGAGCAAATGGAGATTGTGACATACATGTATACCTCTGTATGTCACAATATCCATTTGCTCAAGGTTACCCCCTACTTGGTGGTGTGGATTGGTGGTTTGGAGATGTGAAGCTCTTGTAGAAGGTAACTCGGAACCCACCCATCCGGCCTCAAACCACCAATTAGAGGGAAGCAAATCTTGCCGGTTCTCAGCAGGGAAGGAGAAATGAATTCGCTATAAACCAATGTTTACAGTTTCCTTTGGTGGAATCCCAACACAGTTCATTTCCAGCACCCGGACTCGTTGTCAATCCCCACCTATCGCAAGCAAAGCCATCTCCCAGTTGGGCCTAGGAGTTTGGAGCGGAGGTAGACCATACCTCCAAAACATGCTGTGGATGCGAAATCCAAGGCCGCACCACTTGGAATAGGAGACCATGGCAAACCATAGGAAGCCATGGTTGAAAAACCATTGTTTGTTGCCGTTTACCGTTGGGGAAGCATCCTTTAAACCAGGGGTCTTTGAACGGTGGTGCGGTTGATGGATTTCGCAACCATCCACAGTATCTAGGTCCCCCAGCTAGGTGCCCTTGCTCACCCCTTTTTTGGTTGGGAGGTTTCCCTACTAGAATAGCCTACGGCAAAAAGTTGGCGCTCTTATTCTGAACCTCTCCACTGGAGGACCTAGTTTTAGTGGCTTCCCCGGTTTCGCAGTAGTTTCCTCCTCTAGCCCACCAAAAGTCTTCGACATGGTGACTTGCAGGGAGTCGTCCTTTAAACCAGGGGTCTCTGACGGGCGCGCGGGATAGGATTTCGCAACCATCCACGGTCTGTTTCCAGGCGGCGGCCGCGTCTTCTGCGAGCTTCCTTGGCCGGACGGCGGGGAGGTCATCGTGGCGCGCTGCCACGTGCTGGCGGCGCCGCCGCCCCGCCCGGATGCCTTGGCGGGAGCCGGTGAAGCGGGCGGGTGGGGTCTACAAATGGACCAACCACACCACCCCTCCAACCAAAAATGGCTGATTTTTGTTTTTCCCAACAGGTGTGTTTGGGTGTGTGTGTGTGTGTTTGGGGGGGGTCCTAGTCAGAGGGATGTGATAGGAATTGGCTTGTTGGTTGAAGCAGGTCGGATTTCTTCTGGACCTACAAAAAGTGCTGAGGGGTGAACAGCAACCAGGTGCTGTTTGAGTCAAAGCTAAAGCAGTAGAGGTGTCTTTTCTCAAGGTCCATCAAAGGGAAATGTCTAAATTGGCCAAGGGTTCCTTTTTCGCAGCCCTTGAAGCATCCCTTGAACGCCAACCAAAAGGGGACACACGACTCGTTCGTCTCCACCGCTTCGGTAAAGCCAAATCACACCAGCAACGTCCACGGTTTCCGATTCCGATTTCGTGGTGGACCTCTGGGCGAATTGGATGGGGTTGTCGTTGCCAGACTTCGCCACTCTGATTGAAGCAGGCCTTGTACAACCTTAGCCACTCTGATTGAAGCAGGCCTTGTGCAGTGCAAGGGTGCGAAAGGAGTGCAACATGGGGCGTCCAACATGTTTCCCGCGTCTCCGTGTTATTTGAACCACCCGAATGTTGCTTCGTGTCCTGCGGCTTCTTCTTTTTTGGTTCCGGGATTTTTTTCTCCACTGCTGCGACCTATGTCCATTTTTTGGTTCCAGGGGTGGACCTTCAGATGGGTCAACCCCACCTGGCAGCCTCAAACCGCCCGAGTGCTCAGGTGGGGATCCCGTGTTGCGGCTGTCCAGCGTGTGGCGCCCGCAGGCGCGCCGCATCGGCAGATCCGCCCGAAGTGGCCGGCGTTCCTTTCCCTGGAGCCTCCAGCTGTCCGTAACAAAAGGAAAACCCTAGTTGAGGGTTCGGGAACTGAACTATGTTGATTGTTTCTGGAGGGTAAAGTCAGAAACTGAAGTTGTTTCCCTTAACCTACCCGTTAAGAACGAGTACTTGGTGGGTTGGACTTGTAGTTGGAAGATTTGATTCCTTTTGCTTTTGTAGATGGTAGACCCCTGAACTCTCCCATTTGCTTAAGTTGTGTGTCTGTGTCTTCTTTCCAAAACTGCTTGTTGTGGAAACGCCCTGTTTTCAGTTTTTGAGCAGATCATCATGTTTCTTCAAGCCATGATTCCACTGCAACAGACCATGCATGCACATTGTCGGTGGCCCCCGCCCGCCCGCAGTTCTCCGAGAGTTCAGTTCGGCAATCTGAATCTAGCCGCCAGCAATCTCTCTCAAAATTCCCCGCGGGTTGAACACGATGCTTTCCTGAAACACTAGGTCCCCCAGTAGTGCCCGCTCTTCTCACCCCTTTTTTGGTTGGGAGGGTTC